ATAGATGAGCTTGAAAAGAAAACCCTAGACACTTCACCGTAAACCCTACACGTGAAACCCTAAATGCTCCACAAGGGGCGGGTCCCTATAGGGTTTCAGGTTTGTAGTCCCCACACCTTGAAGCCTTATAGGGTTTATTGTTCAACCATGAACCCCAGACCTTTCAGATTCACCGTGTATTTAACAACAAGAATGTTTCACAGTAATTTTCGTTCGAGCACCTGTCCCAACAATAGGTTAGTTGGAGGGTATATCGTTGTTATTCCGTTTTGCGGGGCGTTCGCGTGCACGGGGCATGAAGGGCATGAACTCGCATGCACGGGAATGAATTCAAAAAATGAAGTATCTGCTCACAGTATTCTCGTGATACCGTGTCCGAATGTTTCATAATCTTTTTAAAAAACAACCTATCCCAAGAATAGGTTCCCACGGCGTCCTCTCCCCTAGAGCTTAGGGGTAGGTCTTTGGGGTTCAGTGCGAAAGAAACACACGGTGTAGTCTCTCTGTTTCGCCTCTAGGGAGGTAGGTAGGCTCTTGTTTTATTATATTTCTTGTTTTTCGGGCTTAGGGTTTAGGGTTAGGGTTTAGTGTTGGGGTTTTGAAGCAGTCTTCAGAGGAGCGTGATGGCCCTATTCGATAACTCTGTTAATCGTAGCAGTAGTATAGGCTAGTATGAAAACAAAGAAAGAGGTCAAATCATACATAAAGGTTCCTGCCTCACATATATATATATATATATATATATATATACATACGATACGTATGTCATATACAACCTGACAGCACATAAACTCGACGACCTTTGAACTCCAATCCATAAAGCCCACTTGAAGGTTCACAGTACTGTTAAGGTAGCATTACGAAGTACCCGAAAAAAAGAGGCTATAACCAGAATTACCCTACTTAGACCTGTACTGAAAAGGATCCATAAGCAGAATTGCCCTACTTAGAACTCTACTTCTAAGAGCCCAAAAAGAACCTCCAAGTATTCTACTAACCCTAAACCCTAAACCCTAAACCCTAAACCCTACACCCTACACCCTAAACCCTAAACCCTATGCCTGGATGCGCTGGGACAAGGCTGCTCGGTCCTGTGCACTTCATCACTGGGGATTCTAAAGTCGGGATAAGATTAGTGAGGCAGCTTGGGGTGTAGGTTAGCTCAACCCCTAAACCCCTAAACCCCTAAACCCCTAAACCCCTAAACCCCTAAACCCCTAAACCCCTAAGTGCCTAACCCCTAAACCCCTCAACCCCTCAACCCCTCGACCCCTCAACCCCTCAACCCCTCAACCCCTAAACCCCTCAACCCCTAAACCCCTAAACCCCGAAACCCGCTAAACCCCTAAACCCCTAAACCCCCAAACCCCTAAACCCCTAAACCCCTAAACCCCTTTTTTTGCATCCAGGTCTGACGCCGGGCATCACCTAACCCCTAAACCCCTAAACCCCTAAACCCCTAAACCCCTAAACCCCTAAACCCCTAAACCCCTAAACCCCTAAACCCCTAAACCCCTAAACCCCTAAACCCCTAATCCTAGACCCCAAACCCTAAACCTCAGTTTCAGGATCAACAGTCGTTCTTTTTGGGGGTCTTGCTACACTTCTCCTATCGGGGAGGTTGCCCAACCCCTACACCCCACCAGGACCCTCACCCCCGAAATGCATCCCGAGACGAGGGTCAGGGTCGATGGGCCTGGACTGATATGCCCTAAGCCTTGAAGGACAAACCCTAAGAGGCTTCGGGGTTTGGGGAGTTTAGGGTTTGGGGTTTCTAGGTTGGATTTATCGGGTTTTAGGGTTTAGGGTTTAGAGTACTCAGGATTCCCTCAAGAATTGGCGGCGCTTTGGGGGGGTGGTGCTGTGCTTGCTGTTCAGGGCGAGTTGAACGTGCAGGGCCCTTCAAAAAGGTTGAGAGTCGAGGGCTGAGCACCTCTATGTTCATGCTTCGTCCGCAGCATACTTGAAAGTTCATGGGTACTTAAAAGTTCCCACGGTTATAACCATAGCTGCTACTTACCTATAAGTGACCAAGTGAACCCTGTAAACCCCAAACCTAAACCCTAAAACCCTTCATGCCTCTTAACAGGCGTCGAAATCCCCCACACCCATCTCAAACCCCGAGCCCCCCGAAACCCTAAACCTAAACCATAAACCCTAAACCCTAAACCCTTTCTGCGCCCAAGAGCTGGCTGCTGCATCACGGCTGCGGCCATCTCGATCCTTACTTCTGCAAGAACCAAGGGGAAAAAAGGTTAGGGTCTAGGGTTTAGGGTTTAGGGTTTAGGTTTTAGAGTTTGGGGTTTAGGGTTAAACTGGAAGCCCTAAAACCCTAAACCAGGTTCATTTATTGTTCCTATACTAAATAAGGAAACCCAAAAAGTTTAAAGTTCAACTATTGGCTAAGCCGACTCCTCTGCGCGCTGAGCATCGCAAGGGACTGAGGGTGCCGGGATGTTCGTATAAAGGAGAACATCCCCAGGTTTAGGGGTAAAGGGCTCTGCCAGATCTGCCTGGCAAAAATTCCGGGCTTTGGGGTCGTAGTGGCCTGCGCTGCCCTTTGCTTGTCTCATACTTACCAAAAATGAAAGGTTTAGGGCTTAGGGTTTTACACCTAACCCCAAAAAAAAAAGGAATAAGGGCTTGCTCTGGGTCCTATAGACTTTGTCCGTGACAGTTTTCGAAGAACTCGTGGCCTTGGGGCGAACCCCAAACCTGAAAGTCGGCGTCCTTAGAGCCTTGCTGCTTTCAAATGGATCTGAGAACCCCTAAACCCTACACCGGGTTTAGGGTTTAGGGTTTAGGGTTTAGGGTTTAGGGTTTAGGGTTTAGGGTTTAGGGTTTAGGGTGAAACCCTCAACTTAGTGCTTCAAATCCAGATCCTACCAGGCTCTTCTAGAGCCAAGCCAAGCCATTGGATTCCACATTCTCGAAACCTGACCATGCCACCACGCGAATGTAGAGCAGCCCTAAACCCTAAACCCTAAACCCTAAACCCTAAACCCTAAACCCTAAACCCTAAACCCTAAACCCTAAGTTCGGGGTGCTGCTTGGTACCCAATAACTGCTTCCTACGTGCACCAGGTATGAGGAAATCCTAGCACGGAGACCCGACTTGGCGGTCCATGGTAATTAACAAGTCGGCTTATAAAGGGTAACATGGATAGCGCCTTATTTAGGATACTTCTGCCCCTACTAATCAGTGATCGGTGCCCCTCTGTGAAACCGTCGAATGCAACTTCCTCAAGAAAGGGTGGTCAAAGCGGGGGTTTGCAACCTCCCTTCTCTTCCCGCCCACCCATAGATACCCCCCCCCCCCCCCCAAAGGACCTTCTTTAGGGTGTTTAGGGTTGAGGTTTTGGGGTGCTGAGTTTGCTACTCAAAGCCTTACGTGCGGCGAAGGTGCCAGGAACGGGGACAAAAAAACTGTGCAAAATCTGGAGCCGCGTGGCCGACAAACCGGCGTAGCAACAGCATGCAGAATCAACGCTTGTACTTGGAGGGTCAGGGTACTTCTAACCCTAATTATAACTTATAAGCGCCCTGAGTCCTCGACGTCTTACAAATGGGGGTAGAAGTACCCATGAACCTCCAAGTAGACACCCCGAAAAAACTCAGATACCCCATATCGAAAGCAGAAACCTGAAATTGCAATGGAGTTCCTCATGCTATTCAAGGCAACGGATTTCCGTGACCGGTGCAGTAGTTGGCTCTTCGGGATTAACCCTACACCTTCTGTAGACCGTCTGCATCCCCATGCCCACACTGTAAACCCGGGTCGGATTCGAAGAATGGGTGAGAGGAGACAGACGAACTGAAGTTCAGGTTCGCAGTTAGGGCTGAGGGTTTTGGGTTTAGAGCTTAGGAGCCGTTGGGGTAAAGGTTTAGGATCTTAGGATCCCCTAAACCCTAAACCCGAAACCCTAAACCCCACCCCCCATCCCCCGCAACAACGAGGCCCTAAGCCTACTCAGCCTCCGGCTCTGCACCTCATGTGCACGAGCAGAGAGCCCTGGTGTCTTCGCCAGCATCCTGGGGGATCTTCGGGTTCAGGGCCAAACCCTAAACCCTAAACCCTAAACCCTAAACCCTAAACCCTAAACCCTAAACCCTAAACCCTAAACCCTAAACCCTAAACCCTAAACCCTAAACCGTGGCCACCCGACTAGCCACAGCGATGCGGGGGCTACCTTGCGAAATGCTGGGCAAATCCTAGGGCCAGGTTTAGGGTTTAGGGTTAGGGTTTAGGGTATAGGGCTTAGGGCTTCGGCCGTAGGGCTTCGGGCTTAGGGTTTCGGGTTTAGGGTTTAGGGTTTAGGGCTTAGAGTCTAAGCCCCAAGCCCGGTGACTCATTAAGGTTCAGACCCGATTCATCTTGGGTTTAGGGTTTAGGGTTCAGGGTTTAGGGTTTAGGGTTTAGGGATCAGGGTTTAGCGTCTGCAGACCTTGCCCTCTACTTCCAGGGACCTAATAATCGGGTGGCTTGAGCCGCTATTCCCCATGATTAGGCTGTACTCCCCTTAGAACCTTAACAACAATAATATCTTTAATATCCTCTTGGGTTTTACATGAAGAAAAATAAAAATTAATTCCCAAGGGGGATATAGTAGGTCCCTGGCAGGATGGGGTTAGCGGGTTCTAAGGTTTCGGCTCCGGCAAATTTGGGGAACTTCTTCTTTCTGTTTCTTTTTTGGGAGGGGAGGTTAGGGTTTAGGGTATAGGGTTTAGGGCCAGGGATCCTACGAGATAAAAAGAATGCCTTGGATGCCATGGGCATGGCGGTGCAGGGCCTATCTTGAAGTGCGTACTCTCACCTAGAAAAGGAGCTTCAAGCTCCTCAAGCTAGAAACGAAAAAAGCCATGAAGACCAAATCTTCGGGCCCTTGAGCGTTTTGCAGGCCCGCCTTACACAGAATCGGCCGAAAGGGCCAGGGCTGAGATGTCTGCAGGGTTTAGGGTTTAACCCTAAACCCTAAACCCTAAACCCTAAACCCTAGACCCTAAACCCTAAATCCTAAACCTTTAGGGTTTAGCAGGTTGTTAGCTGCTTTTTTTCCACCCTCTTCGCTCCCTGGCGCGGTCGCTGGGTCTAGACCATCGGCTGGCAACTCAAGAACCAGCACAGACTCCACATGGCGCGTCTGTGGGAAGAGGTCGAAAGGTCCTCGGAGCGCATGCTTAGGGTTTAGGGTTTAGGGTTTAGGGTTTAGGGTTTAGGGTTTAGGGTTTAGGGTTTAGGGTTTAGGGTTTAGGGTTTAGGGTTTAGGGTTTAGGGTTTAGGTTTAGGGTTAACCTGTTCACACCCGATGTGCAGGAACGGGAGTGGGGTATGGCTTGGGGTTTAAGCCATGTTGTGCAGGATGCCACACGTCAGGCTGCAAATAGATTCCCGCGATACTCCCTTGCTTTATAACTTTATAACCTATATACACTACACATGCAGAATAAGGACCCATGCCTCGGATCCCTATAAACAAGGGCATAGTTCCCTCCTTACACGAGATGAATCGAGACGAGCCTCTCACGCATGGAAAGAAGGGGTTAGGGGTTAGGGCTTAGGGTGGACCTACATTCTCCCAAAGTCCTACCTAGATGATCACTCAAGTTGGGACGCGTGTGCTGTTGAAAGTTCGTGCTTGGTGCACAGATGATGACATCTCAGCTCCCAAACACCCTCCTGACTCAACGTCGACTCCGCGCAGATTTGCTGCCAGAGGCACGAACTGACTGAGGCTCATATCCGGCAGCGTGCAGCACTTGCAGGTCGCGTGCCTGTCGAAATCTGCTCTCGGGTCGCCCCTCAACCACAGGTAAGCTCTGCAGTTTTAGGGTTTAGGGATTAAAGGGTTTAGGGTTTTAAGGGTTTAGGGTTTAAAGGGGGATGTAAAGGGTTTAGGGTTCACCTCCCAGCCAGCGTGACAAGCTTCCTTGAAATCCACATTCCGGCTCTCTAGGTCTGAGTTTGGGATGTGAGACTGTGGAGAGGCTCAGGGGCTGGATACCCTAGCCAAAAAGAAGAAAGGGTAACCTTATATATATATATATATATATATATATATATATATATCGTAGGAATCTGTAGATAACCGAAAAAAGTTGAAGGTTGCCTACCCAGTCACTAAGGATGGGTGGATTCTTATAGGGTGGCCTTTCTGAATTGAAAGCCCCAAAGAGACCCTTAGCACACAAGACCACAGAAAGCAACCCGAGAGGACTAGGTTTAGGGTTTAGGGTTTGGTGTTTAGGGTTCAGGGTTTAGGAGGTTCATGGGTAGAAATAGGGCAATTAAGGCGGAACCAGACCAGCAAAGAACCCACTCCTCTGCCCCAAACCGGAAACCATGGGATCCCTAAGCCCTAAGCCCTAAACCCTAAAACCCTAAACCCGAAGCCCTAAGCCCTAAACCCTAAACCCCCCAGCCTCATCCTGTAACTTAGCCCCCAAAGGCAAAGAACCTACAACCTTACTTGAAGGTTCATGGTTGCTTACAAGTATGGTTAGAAGTTATAAGTCCCCTAAATTGGCATGTTCCCACTTCTACTAACAGTCACTAATAGGGATTACTACAGGGGGTACTATGCTAAGGACTGTTAGTATAAGGGGGAACATCCCAAACCTTTAAAAATGTTATAGCCGTAGTTGCCTTACTTTTCACCCGAATCGCTTCTAAGTGTCCATGAACCTCCAAGTAACAGCTGAATTTCCCCCCCCCCCCCCCCCCCCCAAACCCTGAACTCTAAGAAAGAGCCCTGTATCCTCAACCCTGCTAGCCCCCTAAACCCAAGCTGCTCAACCCTTCCACAGGCCTGCGTGGCGGGGTCGCAGGAGACCTGGTTGCCGGCCCAGAAATTTCTCTTTTGCCTAAACCGTCAACGCTTTACCCTAAACCCCGAAGCCCTAAACCCTAATTTGTAACCCAGGACTGCTGAGGCTCCGCAAGACCCAAACCCGAAACAAACCCATAAGTCAAGGGACGGAAGGAGGGACCCTTGTAAGGGACCCTAGGGTTTGTTTTGGGGTTATTTCGGGGCGACTTAGGTATATAGGGGCTATATAAGGTGTCTAGAGTCCCCTTCTAGGGGTCCCTCCTTGTACCCCTTAAGTAAGCGCTTTGAAGCAGACAAGTCGGACATAACAAAGATGCAGGGCGTTTAGGGTTGATAGGGGCCGAGACTTCTGGGAGGTTGCCCTCCTCCCCCCACGCCCGCTTCGGGGGCAAGCGGCAGGCGGGCAAGACACCTAAGCCCCGAACCCCTCAGCCCTGACACCATGTCACCCCGTGCTACCCCTCCATTTCTGCCCCCCGCCCCCACCCCCGCCCTGAATCCTAAACCCTTTTCCCTACACCCTCAACCCAAAACCCTAAACACCAAGCCCCAAAACCCGAGGTCGCTTGGATATTTCGAGTTGGGGCTGTTAAGAGACTGCAACTGCGAGGCGTAAACCACTCGCCGTGGGCGCCACTCCGTCAGCAGCTGACCTGCAGACTTGGTGTAGGGTTTAGGCTGCGATTTGGGCTTTTTCAGGCTGTAGGACTCTTGCCTTGAGGCCAAACATAAAGTCGCCCTTGTGGCTAGGAAAGCCAAAGTCCATGTCACATTGAGAGGATACGAGAAGCGAAGAGAAGATGAGAGAAGATATGAGCGGGAGAGGGAGAGGGAGAGGGGGGGGGAGGGAGAGAGAGAGAGAGAGAGAGAGAGAGAGAGATAGAGAGAGAGAGAGAGACAGAGAGAGACAGAGAGAGAGTCAGAGTGCGCGGCTCAAAGGCGGCTGTTAAGGCTTGCTCTGCTGCCAAGTGGCATGTTTCTCGAGATAAGCCTGCATGGGTGGGGATCGAAGGCCTACATGATCATTTTCACGGAGATGCCTGCGTATGCGTGGGGCGCAGAATATGCAGCTTCGTTCCACACAAATGGACACCTCCGATGCAACAGGGGCAGTCTCCAACCTGCTATGCAATTCGCAAACCCTAAACCCCAAACGCAAAACCCTAAACCAAAAACCCAAAACGGAAAACCCTAGACCCTTCCTCCCCACACAGCCTTCCCTTGGAGGGTCCACAACAACTGTGGAGATCCGCGCCGGCGCCTCCTGTCCAAACGAACTCCCTCGATGGCAAAACATCTTACCTGAAGGCTTTAAGGCTCCAAGGACCCTCCTACAGAGGGACTGGTACCTCCCAAGTAAGGAGGGTTCTGGCGTCTCAATTCCTGGGGTTTCTGAGGGCCCAAGAGCCTTAATTAGGGCACATCAAACACTCTACCCCTAAACCCTAAACCCTAGAACCCAGAACCCCAAACCCCATCGGCCCCGCAGTAAGTACGCCATACCCCCTAAAACCCCAAACCCTAAACCCCAAAACCCCAAAACAGCCCTCCGTAAATCCTATCCGCCAACACTCATCCCCTCGAGACCCTGGAAACAAAACCCCGAGCTCCAAGCCCTCCTGAAGCAGGCTGTGCTGCGTCTCGACATGGGTTTCGGTTTAGGGTTTAGGGTTAGATGAGTTTAAATCATGTGGTATAGAACTTGTGCAGCTTCCCCACAGGGCCAAACTCTCAGCTCTGAAGCAAAGAACGCCCACCTTCCTCACACCCCTAAACCCTAAACCCTAAACCCCAAACCCTAAACCCTAAACCCTAAACCCTAAGCCCCCCCCCCCCCCCCCCCCCCACCCTCCAAGTCCTTCGCGACTTGTGCTAAGCCCCTCCGTGCATCGCCACGGATGAACTTTGCATTGCAGATGCTGTTGAGCTTGGCATTCCTAAGCTTTGGCGTTTAGGGTTTAGGGTTTGGGGTTTGGGGTTTAGGGTTTAGGGTTCAGGGCTTCGGGTTTAGGCCATTAGGGCTGGGTGGGTTTAGGAGGGGCTTAGATTTTGGGGTCAGTGCTATGTTCCGGGCAAGTGAGCGGATGGTGTGTTCAAAAAGTCTGAGGCATGTAGCTGGTGGGGGCTACACAGAAGAGAAGCAAAAGACGCAGGCTGAAAGGCAGCCCTTCTTCATGATTAGGGTTTGGGGTTTAGGGTAGTTTAGGGGTATTGCAATCTTTGCATGGAGGAGCAGAATGACAGTTATGTGCATGTCATGGGCTTGAGAGGCTGTCGAAGAGCCCTTTTAGGGTGTACAGGGCTTTGCAGGGTTTGTGGGGGTTCAGAAGGACCCTAACCCTGACCCTAAACTAACCCGAAACACTACACCCGGTTTATAGGGTTTGCAGAGAAACTTTCACTTCGGTTCACCTCTTGAGGCTTCTTGCAACCAAGCCTCTCGCGGGCAAGGGCGACGGCCTTCTTGTCTACCTCGATGCCGAAGGTGGCTTCGAAAAGGCTGCTTCCTTGTAGGCGAGCCCACAAAAATGGGCACCTTTCAGCCGTACAAACCCCCCGCAACCCTCAAGCCCTTAAGCCCTCCCCAAAACCTAAAACGATCTGTGGGGGAGACTTCGACGAATTCTGGCCCCCCCTAGTGCCTAAGAAGACAAGGTTTCGGCTGGTTAGGAGAAGTATCCTGCCGTTACACCAGACACTTGGGGTTGATCGGAATTAGGGATTTTAGGGTTTAGGGTTTAAAGGTTTAAGGGTTAGGGTTTAGAGCTTAGGGTGAATTTCAAGTGCTTCCTGCCAGGGCAAACAGCCCCACGCCGCAGTAGACATCGATGAGGAATTGAGGGCGGCCTCCAGGCAGCACGGCCATGACTTCCAAACTCGATTTTTCCCTATTTGCTGCATCCCTTCTCGCCCTAAACCCTAGACCCTTGAATCCTAAACCCTAAACCCTATAGCTAAACCCTAAGCCCTAAAGCAGCCTTGGAAGAAGCCAGCGAGCTCCCTGCAATGCGCCCGGGAACTCCGGATGCGCGGATTCAACCGCTTTGGGTTTAGGGTTTAGGGTTTAGGGTTTAGGGTTTAGGGTTTAGGGTTTAGGGTTTAGGGTTTAGGGTTTCAAGGCACTACCCACAGTGCTTCTCCCCGAAGAAAGCCTCCAGAGACCTTACAGGCTTGAGGGGGCTAGGGTTTAGGGTTTATAGGGTTTATAAGGGACAGCAAAGCGCCTTCCTCCCCTATCCACGAAGCGGCCGCTGCGTCCACCACAGCGCGGACGAAGCTAGGGAGGATGGATCCGTTTACCTGCGTCTGCGGGGATGCGGGTTTAGGGTAGAGAAAGATTTTGACATAGAAATGTGGTATGTGCAACGCAGGCCCCGTATTCGGCCCTTCTTTTAATGTAGAGTTTGCGGTCAAGGGTTTAGGGCGTAGGGGAATCTACCATCATGGCACTGGTAAACCCTAAACCCGCTCTTCGATACATGTTTCCGTCGGCAGCTTCATTCCGGGGTGAGGGGGCTTGGGGTTTCAGGTTGCGGGTCAAGGTTCGCATATATGCGCCCAAGGTCGCCTATGGCCCCCCGAGCGCCTGGAAGAAGCGGCCGGCAGCAAATTTAAACCTAGGGAGCCAGAAGGTTCAGGGGTCTAGAGGGCTTTAGTGGGTACAGAACTGTTATTTCAAACCCTAAACCCTGAAGCACATCTTTCTTTGAATGCAGACCTGTATAGCTTTCTGCGTTGCAACGGTGCTCGCCGGGTGATCGCTGCTTGGTTCCTATAGAGTTCTTTCCTACCTACTTACTGCAGTGGCTGGACGTAGAAAACCTAAGCCCTGAAACCCTAAAGCCCAATCTAGACCGGACCCTAAACCCTATACCCTAAACCCCAAACCCTAAACCCTAATTGAGTACCCCGATTCTGAGAGCCAGCCCAGAACAGATGCTCCACACAGGCAAAAAAAAACATGATGTCCCCTTTGGCAGATCCAGCTTTTGACAGTACTTGGAGGAACCGGGTACTTATAACCCCGATTATAACTGTACTTCTAAGCCCCCTAAGTCCTCTAAATAGGCTATAGGTAGACCGACAACTGGGTCTATAAGTACCCCTGAACCTCCAAGTAGAGTGTTAAGAGCCCGGCCACTGACTGGCCCGGCGGCTTTTATGGATTGATCAAATGGGAGTGCCGTACACAAACGACACTATGCACCAAATGAATTGGGGTTGGTTGAGGGTTGAGGGTTTAGGGCGTTGGCATTTCACGTTCATCCATCGTGAAGTTGGACGCATAGTGGCGGACACAGGGAGCACGTGGCAGCCACCCCGAACTTCGAAGCCCCGACTTGATAAAAGTGAATTCAAGATGCTTGCCAACTCCGGGGATCTCTTCTGTCATCACCTGCACGCAAAGTTGTGAACTGCGTGCTTGGGGAGTGGAATGATATGTGGCTGGTGTTCTTCCTTAAAGGGCAATATCGGGATTATGTCTTATTAATCGGAGGTTCTTAAGCAAAGAGTAGTGTAGGACCTGAGGCAAAGGAATCAGGAATTTTGGACACAGGGCGAAGACCCACACGGAGCTTGCGCAACGCTTGATCCAGGTGTGCCACAAGGTTCATGCGCCCAGAGATACTATAGACCCTAAGCCCTACCCCTAAACCCTAAACCATAAACCCTATAGCCCTAAACCCTGAAGCCTAAACTCGAACAGGGCCATCACACTAACTGCGCAGGTACATACACAAGTACAATGGAACCTCTGGGTATGAAACCGATACACCTCTCTGAACCGAATGAGCCGACCACGCTGAACAGTTCCGTGACGTAGTTGTTCTTCTGCACTGTTCGGCTGAGGTTAGGGTTTACGTTGGGATTTTCCTCCTCATTAAGTCCTTGATTGGGATTGTAGTACCCCCCTGTAATCCCTGTTAAGGACTGCTAGTATACGGGGGAACATCCCAAGTTTTGTGGCTTAAGGGATATCGTAAAACGCAGAGTCTTCCCAAGCAGGCCTGGTTCCACCTATCGCACACCACGCCATCTAGCCTCGTTTGACGGAGCAACGACACCTGGGCGCAATTGGCGAACATGTACATGGGGGTACCTTACTGGGGTTTTTCTTAGAAGGGCATCCTACTATTTGAGGGTCTAGTTTAGGGCTCCCTTATTTTCGTAAACCCCCACATAGGTTTATTTAGGGCTTAGAGTTGTGTTTGTTGCACTGCAGAGAGGGCTGATATGTCCTGCGTGGCATGCTAGGACGGAAAGTCCAGGCCTGTGGCCCTCTGAACTACGACTTGCCCGGCAGAATACCCCTGTTGCAGTTCCCAGCAACATTCCCAACTAGTGGTATCTGACATCGGTGTAGGGTTTAGAGCTCTAGGGTTCTACACAGTCTCAGGCCTTATATCATCTAGGCCTTACTACGTTTTAGAAGGATTTAGGGTGGCTGCGGCTGGGGTTTAGGGTTTAAGGTTTAGGGCCGGTTTAGGGTTTACGGCTTAGGCTTCAGTCTTAGTCGCTCACTCTCTCGCAAGGCCGGCAAGGTTCGTTGATCTGTGTAGGGACAAAGACGAGTCCGGAGACGCGATTGCTTGGGCTCAAAGGAGTAAAAAACGAGACAAAGTAAAACCCGACCCCCCCACCCCTCGGAGCCCATCAACCACACCTCCAGATCCAGCAGACTAAAAGATACGCAAAGTAATCACTGGACAGGGGTAAAAATCAATCAGACTGGCAGTCCGTCAGGCATGTGCTCAAAGAGAAACCGTCAAAAGGTAAGACCCATCACCCCAACCATTTCCTGACAGACAAGCCCAAAAGGTCCTTATCACCAGGAAATGACTCATGGTGAAACTCCCCTTCGCTTCTCATTTCAGCTCCTCAGTCTCCCTCCCGTATCTTGGCACTTTCATGTCACGTCTGTGCGCTTTCACCTCGCCTCAGCACCACACACTGCCGTGGCCGAGATGCCTCCTTGACGTCATGACGCTCCTTCCTTCCCTTCTTCCCTTCCGAATTCCCGGGCTGTCTTGGGCTCGGCAGCGATGGTGTCGAAACGCCCTGGCTTAGGCGCTGACATGTTGGCACAAACTGGCATTCGAGACCTTTGCTCCCGAACACCTAAACCACGCCAGAAATCCGAACTGCCCTAGTCAGCACTGCGCTGGCAGTCTCCCTCATAGGCCATCGTAGGCCGTCTGTCCCGCTGTGCCGAACTGAGGCTGTGTGAGATTTCGACTGGGCTGGACGGTTTAGATTGACCAAGAACTTCCTAAGCCCTTTCTGCTCACGGGCTCGCTCATGTGCCCGGCCGGTGGTGTACGACTAGTGAACAGATACGTCATATGCGAGCAAAGGTAGGGGGTATCGAAAGAATGACTCCACGACAGACACTTCACAACAGATGTGGGCTTCAACATCTGTATGCACGCATGACAGGTAAACCTGACACCCTAAACCCTGAAGTCCCTGAACCTCAGCTGAAACCCTGAAAACAACAAATCGAGCCCAGACCTGATTCCTAAAAGAAGCAACCCCTAAACCTGTAACCCTCTAACGATCCTCTAAAGCATCGCCAAAAAAATGGACCCCGGACTTTCGAAACCGAAAGCCCTCAAACACAAAAAACACACCGCTAAACCCACCAAACCTTTTTTGCATCCGGTCTCCCTCCTGCTGGATACAAACCTCACCCTAAACCCTAAACCCTAAGCCCTGAACCCAAAACCTCAAAACAGGAGCTCCCTGAACCCTAACACCTACTTGAAAGGTTCATTCATGAGTGCATACATTGCAGGGTTCTAAGTCCCCTACAGAAAACCCAAACTTGGGATGTTGCTATCACAGTCCTTATAGTACCCCAAATTAAACTCCCCATTGAGGACTGTTAGTATAAAAGGGGTAACATCCCAACCCTAAACCCTAAACCCTAGACCCTAAACCCTAAATCCTAAGCCCTAAACCCTAAACCCTAAACCCCTAAAGCCTAAAGCCTAAAGCCTAAAGCCTAAACCCTAAACCCTACTTGCAGCCCTGGTAGCCAGCTCCCCGCGCTTCCGCTGCGAAGCAGCACGCCGGGCAGCTTGAGAGAGCGGTGCCTTACTGGAAACCAAACACCTTTTTGTTTAGGGTTTAGGGTTTAGGGTTTAGGGTTTAGGGTTTAGGGTTTAGGGTTTAGGCTTAGCAGGAGGGTTCAGGTGCTTAGGCTCGTTGAGGTTCAGGCTTTGGGGTTCTCGGGGTGCCTTGCTGTGCCAGAGCTCCCGAGGCCCACGAAAAGGAGGGTCGGTTGGAAGGTGCTCTGACTGGGTGACACCACAGCATCAGTTTCAATGACGTTCTGATGCTTTTCAAGTGTACTAGATCGTATAGAGTTCACGGCCAGGCTAGGGTTTAGGGTTTAGGGTTTAGGGTTTAGGGTTTAGGGTTTAGGGTTTAGGGTTTAGGGTTTAGGGTTTAGGGTTTAGGGTTTAGGGTTTAGGGTTTAGGGTTTAGGGTTTAGGGTTTAGGGTTTAGGGTTTAGGGTTTAGGGTTTAGGGTTTAGGGTTTAGGGTTTAGGGTTTAGGGTTTAGGATTCGGGTTTATAGGGTTTAGGCTCGAGAAAGGGGCTCCTCTTGCCGCTTGTCTGGACCCTTCGGCCTCCCTACCTTTGGGAACCTCCCCCCTCCTTCGCGCGTACTTCAAGCAATCGTTCTTCTGATATGTGTCTACCTCTGGTGATCTCTCTAAAGTATGTTCTTTTTTCGGGTGCTTATTTCAAGACCCTAATTTGGAGGACTGACCATATATAGATCGAAGTATATATATATATACACCCACACATGCGTAGGCATGTAGATCCGTGTGTTCGAGTGGGAAGTTGGGAAGATTTGTGTTCGAGCCTGTATGATACTAGACCCAACAGTAACCCAGGAATGAAAAGGGTACCCCTTTTGGGTTTAAAGGTGGTTGGGAGAGAACCTGAACCCTAAACAACAGGGAAGAAGGGCCTACTCTGGGTCCTAGAACAACATTCACAGCAATCACAACGATTGAGCAATGCCATCGCCATCGAGTCAGAGGTGTATACTTAATCCCTGTTCCCCTAGGAAGAAAAAAAGGATCCTTTTTGTTTATGTATAAGAAAGCCCATAGCCCAAAAAGTAAGAAAGGATCCCTAACACTGATCTAGTATAGGGGCAGGACCTCAGCAGAGGTGCCAAGAATCTTGCCGCACGCTTGCGAAGCAATGCCTGGCCACAGCTGGTTTGGGGAGCTCCTCTGGGTTTAGGGTTTAGGGTTTAGGGTTTAGGGTTTTAGGGTTTTAGGTTTTAGGGTTTTAGGGTTTCAGGGCTTAGGCCTTAGGGCCGCTGCGTCCAAAAGTCTTGTGCAGCCCGGTACTTCAAGCAAACCAGCCCACACAAACCTGGTGCCCCGAACCGAGACCTGGAAACCTGACCGGGACAGTGTAGAATGCACCCGTCCAAGTGGACTTCCCTGAATCTTCCAGGGGCCGAATAGATAGGCTACTAGAACCCTGAAGGACTCAACTATTCGGTCCCTGGAAGTATAGGGCTACTCTTATCGTTTGATCGAGCAGGGATGCTGCTGCTGGGAACGCTTGCGCTTTATTGCCGTTCTCATCGTTGCATCGAGAAAAATGCAATTTTTAGGCGTTGTGTGCACTTGTCTTTGCTTTTCGAATTGTAGGGGAAGGGGGGTCGTTTATCATCCCACCCACTGGCGATTCGGGTTGCGCATTACAGGTCTTCTCATCTGTGTCATTGGAACACCCCCGCGCGAGGGCGCAGGGCTCGTTTCAGGATGGTTTTGCGGGCTCTTTGGAGATAGGGCCCAAGGTCGACCCTAAACCCTGAACCCTAAACCCCACACCCTAAACCCTAAACGCTAACAACATTGGCCCCCCAAAGGGAAGATCCGGCCCACCTTGGCAGTGGGCAGCGCTGCGTTGATGGCCTGCACTACCGAAGGCTTTGGTCAGTCCGGATCAAAGGTCTAGGGTTCAGTGGTTTCAGGCCCTGAGATGATTGCCCTAAACACAAACCCTAAACCCTAAACCCTAAACCCTCAACCCTATGGTTCTAGTCCAGATGATTGCTGCCGCCCCCCAATTGCCAACCATGCCAGGGAGCCGGGCGGCTCTGGGCCACGGATGTCCGATCTCCGGCCCTAAACCCTAAACCCTAAACCCTAAACCCTAAACCCTAAACCCTAAACCCTAAACCCTAAACCCTAAACCCTAAACCCTAAACCCTAAACCCTAAACCCTAAACCCTGGATGGCCCTTTAAAATCATCTGAAAATTATTCCTGAATATGATATCGATGGTCCCATTAAACCCAATAAGGGAGAACAGCAACAATATTTTACTTCGAACATCCCCAACCTTGCTCCGCGTTAAGAGGAAAGAGCGCAAATAAGATGTTCAAGCAAAGGCACGTTGATTCAAATACGCTTTCTTAGTTTCACTTGCACTTGGGGTTGGTCCCTCTTAAACCCAATAAGGGAAAGTGTATATTCGATCCCAAATGCCTACCTGGCAACTAATCGCAAGGCTCAAGTCGCTCTCCATAGCCCCGGAGATCATGGAGGGCTTAGGGTTTAGGCTTTTTTTAGAGTTTAGAGTTTAGGGTTTAGGGCGAGCTTTGTTTTTGGCTGCACATTATGTTCGCTGATGTTGTCAGTATTGGTATGACCAAGTGGGCCATGATACCCTCGACCCTAGAACCTACTTGGAAGTTCATGGGTACCTCTAGGTACGGCTGTAGGTACCCCTAAAAAAGGTTTAACCGTAGCTGCCCTACTAACAACCTTACTTACAAGTACCCGGAACCTCCAAGTAGGTACAGCTAGCTCTCAGGATTCCCCGCCTCAGTCGCCAGTGGGCAAGCCTGACATTGAAAGGCACGGACTCGGCGAGGATCCCAAAACCCACGCAGCCAGCATCAGACGAAACCTCACGAGCCCGGCTAAACGCTGTAAACCATTTCAAACCCTTGAAGACCTCTAAACCCTGTAAAAGAAGGAAAAACCCTATGAACCCGATGATTGCAAGACACATAACTCCTGTAAACCCTATGAACCCTACAAGCCCCGTGGGAGGCCCGAACCCCAAAATCCTCGAAAAGCCCCTGGACTCGACCTTCTTGCGAGCTGGAAAAGTGCTTAGGGTTCAGGGTTCCTAAACCCTAAACCCTAAACCCTAAACCCTAAACCCTAAACCCTAAACTTGACCGAACCCTCACAGTGATGTAAGGAAACTTGGCAAGTCCGCGTGTTTCCCAAGCCTCAATCTCCACGACGGGGCGAAAGCGGCGGCCGTTCGCGTCCCGATAGTCGCCCCACTCCTCAGGCGGCTGCAGATATGTAGCGAGCCTTCTTCAGTCCTTGGGATGAAATATTTAGGGGTTCTGCAGAGAAATAAGATTAAGGGTTCTGGGGGTCCCTCCTTATACCCCTCTAGGGGAAGAAGGAAGAAGGGACCTATAGGAAAGAGCTGCCTGGCAGACCTGCATCAAACAATGCAGCATGCTTTGCATCTTGCACAGCTGCCGGTGCAAATCTCGACCCTCCCCCGCCCATTCTTATAGGGTCCTCAAGGGAGGGTCCTCAAGGGAGGGGGTGTTCTCTAAGCGAAGTTACATGATCCCTTAATATGGGCCCTTAAAAGGGGACCCGGAATATACCCCTTGTATACCGTAGGGGTACTTCAGAGCCCGTTTAAGGAGGTAAGGAACCTCTGCCCTTTGAGGTTCGTGGAGGGGCAGGTACCTAAGGAACCTTAGGGAAGCTTCGCGAGCCGTAGGCAGTGGTAGGGAGTACCTGGAACCTTGGGATACATCCTTCCCCCTTTGAACCCCCCTCCCTCAAGGACCCTATGACGTTCTGACATCTCTCGATGCTGCAGGAGCCATGTTACCAGAGAGCGTTGCTTGCAGGCATAGGCTACCGTGCATTCGTGGTGGCACGAACACCAAAGGAACTAACGAAGTTGAGACCCCTCAGCCGTGCCGATTTCTGCGGGCCATTGCTTGGGCATCGGGTCACAAGGCCCAGCTGCCAAAGTTTAACAATACCTCTACAGTTAAACTGTTTCTCATTTGGCGCCCGCCAAACCAGGCAACTGAAAACATGATATGAAACTCGAAGTATCGCGAAACAGTTTTCGGATTTCGTGTCATTCCCAAGCTCTCAAGTCAACAGATTGTTCCCAGATTTGCCGACCGGCCTGCGCGCAAATGCCAATAGGCCCATCTGCATCAACATCCTCCAAAGATGGATGGAGGGTTCAAGTCTTAACCTATGTTCCCGGATCCCACTTACATGTGTCAAAAGCAATCGGCAGAGCACGACCCATCCAACATGCACCCTAAACCCCAAACCCCAAACCCGAAACCCTAAACCCCAACCCTAAACCCAAAACCCCTGATTTCAAATCCCAACATTAATCCTCACGCCCCGCAACACGAAGTCCCACCCCCCGAGCTGCTGAAAAACCAAACCCTCATACACCTAGCCGAGCACACCAGGGCCAAAGCTCTGTAAGCCTGAATCCATACTAGACCCAAGAGGAACCTAGTAACACAAAAGGGTACCCTTTGTGGTTTAAAGGGGCTTATATAAGGGAACCACAAGGGCATAAGGGCCTTCTCTCTGGTCCTAGCTAAAGCCGCGCATGCCCCCAGACTCTGGGACTGCCTGGAAACGTGGGTCGCCACCTTTGGGCGCCATACCCTGAAGACGAGGGGTGAGCTTCTGCCTGGCGTTTAGGTTTAGGGTTTAGGGTTTAGGGTTTGGGGTTTAGGGTTTAGGGTTTAGGGTTTAGGGTTTAGGGTTTATGGTTTAGGGTTTAGGGTTTACTTGGAAGTTCATGGGTACTTGTACGGTTCTTGAACTGCCTGTCAGGAATATTTTCTGGGTTTGCAAGACGTGCCCCTCAAGTGCTGAATAACCCTGAATCCTCCAGGCCTACCTTGAAATATCCTCAAACAGCCGTAAACCCTAAACCCTAAACCCTGAACCCCAAACCCCAAACCCCAAACCACGTCCGCCACGGCCCTTGTTCTGCAGGGCCTGTAGTGGTACTCCTTCGGTGAGGCTGTCGTTTCCTGGCGTCTCTTGCCCTAAACCCAAAACCATAAACCCTAAACCCTAGACCCTAGACCCTAGACACCGTAAAACCCCGCCCTTGATGGATTCAGGCATCGCTCGCTGCATACCCGAGTAAAGCTTAGCGTTCGAGCCTAGGGTTGTAGGCACGACACAATTCCTCAGTCCCTAACCCTAAACCCTAAACCCTAAACCCTAAACCCAGCTTCCTCAGGTGGCAGCATGGGCTGTATCGCTGCTTTCGTAGCCCGAACCGCCCTCGACCTTCATCCTATGCACCTAGTCAGGGCCGCTTAAGTCACGAATTCTAAACCTTATTCAGACCCTAAAACCCTCTGACCGCTAAACCCTAAACCTTGTTTCTCTAGGAAACCTTCTACTGACCCCCCCCCCAGAGACAAAAATAGAAGGTTTAGGATTTATGTATATATATATATATAGTTATTGGGTCTAAGGGTACCTTAATGCGGATGCTTTGGACCATCTTACAGGTACTTAAGGGTCTAGGTACATGAAGCCATAAACCCTAGACCTGGTAACCCCCCCCCCCCCCCCCCCCCCCCGAAATTCCATCCGCTGCCGCGGCTCGGCGACAAGCTCCTCTGGTAGTTTCATCCCGGAGAAATCCTCTGAGGGTTGGCAAGGGGAGGGGGGGGGGGTGGCCGGCTTACAGGCCCCTGGTAAGGGTTAAGGGTTTAGGGTTTCGACCTTTACACTTCGCACGAGGCAAGGGTTTCGGGTTTCGAGTTGATATAGGGCTTAGGATTTAGGGTTCAGGGTTGAGGGCCCTAAACCCCCTAAACCCCTAAACCCTTACGCCCTAAACCCCCAGACCCTAAAGGGGCGGCAGGGCTCAGGTTTGCAGGCTTTCGGAGCTCAGGGCTGCAGCTCAAAAGAGGGCACGCTGGCGGACACGGGTCCCAAAACCCTAAACCCTAACCCCAAACCGCAAATTTTGGCCAAAAAAATCGTCCAGGGAGACATCTGTATCCTCAAGGCCAAAAATGAACTTTTCCTTAGGTTAATGCCGGTATTCCTGTGACGCTACACCCTAAACCCTAGAAAGCCCAAATCCCCTTTGCGACAGGCTTCGTACCTCGCCCATGAAGTCGGTCGCCCCGAAGCCCTATAAACCCTAAACCCCTAAACCCCTAAGCCCCTAAACCCCTAAACCCCTAAACCCCTAAACCCCTAAACCCCTAAACCCTACACCATAAACCCAAAAAGGGGTTTAGGGTTTAGGGATTCCATGCAGCCATCCCCTGATGGAAACCTTTCCCTGGATTCGCCTCCAGGGCTGACTTGACGTGCCGCCTTTTCCAGTCGAGCTCGGCAGAGTATGCCAGATGCTGGTACCTCAGGGGCGTTCGTTCAGGGTTGAAGGTTTAGGGTTTAGGGTTCAGGGTTCATGTTTTAGGGTTTAGGGCTTGGGGCTTGGGGTTCAGGGTATTGGGTCTAGGGTTGTTCTGTCGGGCTGTGGGAGGAGCATCTTCGCGAGTAGGTGAGCGCCCGACGCTTGGCGACGTAGTCCGGGGGCTTCGGATTCAGGATGGGCTTCTGAATCTGTTCAGGGGTTCCCCTATACTACCCCCTCTATCCTACCCACCCTAAACCCTAAACCCTAAACCCTAAACCCTAAACCCTAAACCCTAAACTCTAAACCCTAAACCCTAAACCCTAAACCCTAACCCCCTTGGTTCCCCCCATTCGGGAACCCATGTGAAGGGTTGGAGGTGAGTGGGCCAAGCTTTTGCTTCTTGGACAACCTACGTGCTAAGTACTCTGAGTCCTTATGCAACCACCTCATAATAAACCCTCTCTTTCTTATATATATTTAAACCTTCGGCCGATTTCGGCCACGGCCGAAAAGCCACGAACACTGGTCCCCCCAGTGTTCGGCCGATTTCGGCCACGGCCGAAAAGCCACGAACACTGGTCCCCCCAGTGTTCGGCCGATTTCGGCCTGGCCGAAAAGCCACGAACACTGGTCCCCCCAGTGTTCGGCCGATTTCGGCCACGGCCGAAAAGCCACGAACACTGGTCCCCCCAGTGTTCGGCCGATTTCGGCCAAAAAGCCACGAACACTGGTCCCCCCAGTGTTCGGCCGATTTCGGCCTGGCCGAAAAGCCACGAACACTGGTCCCCCCAGTGTTCGGCCGATTTCGGCCTGGCCGAAAAGCCACGAACACTGGTCCCCCCAGTGTTCGGCCGATTTCGGCCTGGCCGAAAAGCCACGAACACTGGTCCCCCCAGTGTTCGGTCCGAAAAGCCCCTGGTCCCCCCAGTCCCTCCCCCCCCCCTCCCCTCCCCCCCCTCTCTCCCCCCCTCTCTCCCCCCCCCCCCTCTCTCCCCCCCTCTCACTCCCTATCCTCACCCCGTCCCCTCCCCTAATCTGACCCTATTGTTCGTCGGTGGAAGGTTCAGTGGAAAACGTGTCCGAGTTGGGTAGGTACTCTGGGGAAGATGACAACCGTTTATTTTCTTAATGTTATGGGATTCTTTGGGCGGGTGGTTTTTTTTTTCTGAGCCTGGAATGAATGCTAGAACAGTGACCCTCTAGACCCTAAACCCTAAACCCTAAACCCTAAACCCTCATACCGAGACATCTACATGGCCTGGCATGCTCATTCAGCCATCGTAGGGCTGCACAGAACCCCGACTTTCAAGCTGGACTTGGCGAATGCCAACCCTAAACTCCCAAAACCCTAAACCCGTAAACCCAACCTTACTCCCACAGCCTGTGAACCTGAAGCCCGAAACCCGAAACCCCAAACCCCAAACCCAAAACCCTGAACCTTTGGATCCCCGAGTGGGGCTCAAGTCCATAACTTGGGTCGAAAAGCTGGCAGCCGCCACACTTCGTATACCTCGGCCACTACTTGCAGGGTTCATGGGTGCTTTTCGGTAGGGTTTAGGGTTTAGGGTTTAGGGTTTAGGGTTTAGGGTTTAGGGTTTAGGGTTTAGGGTTTAGGGTTTAGGGTTTAGGGTTTAGGGTTTAGGGTTTAGGGTTTAGGGTTTAGGGTTTAGGGTTTAGTCTTTAGGGTTTAGGGTTTAGGGTTTAGGGTTTAGGGTTTAGGGTTTAGGGTTTAGGGTTTAGGGTTTAGGGTTTAGGGTTTAGGGTTTAGGGTTTAGGGTTTAGGGTTTAGGGTTTAGGGTTTAGGGGTTAGGGGTTAGGGGTTAGGGGTTAGGGGTTAGGGTTTCGGGTTTAGGGTTTGGAGCTACTTGAAGGTTCATGGGTACTTGCAAGCAAGGCTGTCTGTACCTAAATAAGGTTACAACCATCATTACCCTGCTCAGAACCTACTTACAAGTACCCGCGAGCTACGCAAGGTGCCTGAGGCTATGCATCTCGGGTTGAAGGACAGTTCTGTGAAGAACTGGCCAGTCTTGCCCAGTTGCCCTAATCCCTGAAGCTCGAACCCTGTACCCCAGCTGTGATGCAAGCACTTTGGTGAGGGCAGGAGCATGACCATGACGCAAAGGGAAACGAATGTACACCGAACCCGAAGCATCCTTTCTAGGGGCTTCGGGTTAAGGGCTAGGGCACGTTTGCAGGTATGTGCTCGTGGAAGGTTGTTGAACGCCCCCCGCCCCCCCTATCCACCGTGGGTAACCTACCCTTTACAACACCCTAAACCCTTTTTCAACGAGGGCAAGTGCCTCGCTCTCTGCCAAGGCTGCTACCCTTAAACCCTTAACCCTTTACAACGCCCCCTTTGAGTGCGAGACTTCCGCTACGCACTCCTTGAAGCCCCCACCCTGCAGGAAAGGCCGGAACGTGCAATCTGACGCACGTCGTATGCAGCTTCCGGGCAACATCCTCATGTCCAGATTCGGGGCGATGGCACCCCTAAGCAGCTTAATTAGGGCTTAGGGTTTAGGGTTTAGGGTTTAGTTTTTAAGGTTTGGGGTTTAGGGTTTAGAGCTATTAAAAAAAAAAAAAACAACTCCCACTACCAGGGCGCAGTGGGCACTTTGGCTCCACTCTGTCTGGAGAGGGCTCCAGGACATTGAGCAGCTTCGCCTGCGCCACCGGACTCCCGTACTTAAAAGGCTCATGGGCACCTGTCTTTGTTTTTGGGGTTTAGGGTTTAGGGTCTAGGGTTTAGGGTTGTAGAGGAATACGTATGGTAACTATGGTTATAGCACGACTCAGCTCAGGGTACATCGAACCCCTACTTCTCAGTACCCGTGAACCTTCTCAAGCAAACCCTGACCCTAAGCCCGAAAGCCCCACCACAACAGACCTTCAGCTAGGGTTCTGGTACTTCAAAAGGAAGGCTTCTTGATAGGAAGCGCTTTGCCCCCTCTATTCTACGTCCCTTTGGGGTCAAGAAGTACGTCGAAATGGATGGGACCCTAAACCCTAGGCCCTAAACCCTAAACCCTAAACTAGGGTACATGGACCTGTTGAATTAGGGTGCTTAGGGTTGACCGAGGGAGCCCTATGAGGCGATTCTTGTTCATATTAGCAAACACAGTCGCTTATAGGGTTTAGGGTGTAGATGGTTTAGGGTTTAGGGTTTAAGGATATAGGGTTTAGGATTTAAGAGTCATGAAGTTTTAGGGTAAACTAGTGCTGCTGCGGTAGGGCTTGGCGGTGAAGACATTTCAAGCCCACAGCCAATCTAATGGTAGATGGTGTCCCTCAGGCAGAGTCCCCCCAAACCGCAAGAAGAATTTACCGCTTGGTTCTGAGGGAATTAGGGCCCTATATATATATATATATATATATATATATAGCCTTTAAGGGATTATGTAGGGCCCTCATTGCCTCATTGCCTACTAAGAACCAGCCAGCTTATAGGGCATTCCCACATCAGAGGCGGCCTCCAGATCTCCGGCCGTTTGATTCTAGCGGGTAGCACTGGGGGGAAATACTCCCTACCCCCCACGGGCAAATGCCCCCAAAAGCCCTAAACCCTAGACCCTAAGTCACAAACCCCAAGTCACAAACCCATGGAGGCACCTTTCAACCCCAAAGCCCCAGATACCACACTGTCCTCCAGTCCCAAGCAGTCCGACGCTTCCGTTTTAGTCGTCAAGCTTTGCTAGGAAGGATGGCTTTAGGGTTTAGGACTTAGGGTTTAGGTTGTAGCAGTCCTTAATAGGGATTATCGCCCCATTAAGGACTGTTAGTATCCCTAAACCCTAAACCCTAAACCCTAAACCCTAAACCCTAAACCCTAAACCCTAAACCCTAAACTTTAACCCTAAACCCATAAGAGGAACCTCCCAAGGTTTAGGGATCAAAGGTGAAACGATGCCATGCAACGCGGAAGGCCTCTGAGTAGCGGCTGTAGTTTCGCTCGATGCGCACCTCTACGAGCTGCTCTCGGTTCACCACATTAGAATAACGAGTTTAGGGTTTAGGGTTTAGGGTTTAGGGTTTAGGGTTTAGGGTTTAGGGTTTAGGGTACGGCACCCTTATTTGGGGTTGGTTATTACTCGTTATTGCGGAACCCATAACCACCAAAAAACGGCAAAGGGTCCCACCATCTGAAGCCCTGAGCTCGAAAACCCGAGAGCTGCGTTGTTTCGGGCGGAGGGCAGAGAATCGAAGATCCTCAACCCATGGGCGTTTGGTGACCCTTGCAATGAAAGCCCTCAAACAGCGTGCCGACAAAGTCGAAGATGCTGGTGCGAACACCACTAGGTTGCTCAGTAACCTAATTAGGATTAAACACATTCTGCCATAAAGGGGTTGATAAGGGAACCTACTCCCCCCAAAGGGAATAAGGGTACTCATCTTAGACCATGAAAAACGAAACTGACATGCCGAATGGCATGTACCCAGACGTCCATGCCCAGCCCAGGAGTGCTCGTCTGCTGGGCTGGCTTGTGTCGGGGACGATTCAATGAGAATGGGTATTTGGGGGTAAAACGCATATTATATATTGTGGTTCTCGAAGGACCATGATAAGTTTGAAAATTCAAACGCGTCCTGGAACTCGACTTGAGACCCCAAGAACCAAAAACCCTAAACCCCAAAACCCGAAAAACCCCAAAACCCCAAAACCCGAAAACCCTAAACCCTAAGCCCTAAACCCGAAAACCCTAAACCCTGCACACCCGAAGTTGGCCTGCCTCGACTAGCTCCCCAGGGATCGCAAACATCACCATGACAACCTGGTGGGGGTGGCGGTGGGGGGGGGGGGGGGGGGGGGGCGGGGGGCTCCTGGGTTTAGAGATGTGTCCCGAAGAACTCTTTACCCATGATTTTAGTGTGATACCACCAGGGTTTAGGGTTTAGGGTTTAGGGTTTAGGGTCTTTTTAAAAGCGGGGGAGTTCCAGGAAACGATGCCGAGCCCCTTGCCTTGCTTCTTGTGCAAACCCTGCCAAAAAAACCCGAAACCCTCTCAGCCCCCAACAAACCTCAAAACCCTCAAAACCCCAAAACACCATCCCCCCCCAAGAAAAAAAACAAAAAAACAACATATATATATATATACATATATATATATGTGTGTATAACTCAAAAGCCACCAAACTCTCAACGAATCCGAGCCGCCCAGTCGCTGGGCCCATGAAGGCCGAGACTCTGCCCATGGGAGAGCCTAGCGTCGCGAGCAAGAGGGGTTTAGGGTTTAGGGTTTAGGGTTTAGGGTTTAGGGTTAGTCTGAACCCCAAAATAGGTGCAGGGCGAGCTTATTGTGAGAGTTGGGGTGGGGGGGAGGGGAGGGGAGGGGGGGGGAGGTGGGGGTGACCCCAAAACCCTTAACCCTAAACCCTAAACCCTAAACCCTGAACCCTGAACCCTAGAAGTAACCGCAAGCACCGAAACAAATTTGCTAACCTTGTAAGGTTCTCGGAAGCCAAGTTTGAGTGGCTGCTTGCTGCTTCTTTGTTATGGTTATGATTCTCGTTGTTGTTACTGATATAACAATTTTTTCTAGATCACTATGTCATTATTATTGTGTTTACTGCCATTACTATGCTATGGCGATCATGCGATCATGACAAAGAGGAACATAATGCGCCGAGCACCCTTGCCCCGCGCAGAGCCGTAGGATTATATCAAGACAGCTTGGGCACTGTAGCCTCACCCCATCCCAAACCCTACATCAGCCCAAATCCTTATGGGGATTTTCGAAAACCGGTACCCCTAATATAGTCCCCAAATAGTAGGAAAAATAAGGACCCCAATAAGGTCCTTTGGCAGTCCGGTTTATAGAGTTTAGGGTTTGGTCCAAGCCTGTCCTTGCTTCCCAAGCCCTGTATCTGCCCAAGACCTCAAAGCCTTGGGCACGACATGAACCCTAAAGGGTTGTATGGCAGTGGTGCACTTGCACAGAAACCATCGTAGAACGGCCCAAACCCTACATCAGCCCAAATCCTGCATGGGGGGTTTACGAGAAGAAGGTACCCCCTATATCGTCCCCAAACAGTAGGACTCCCTTAGAAAAAGAACCCCAATAAGGTACCCCCGTATTTTCGGAAACCCCTAAACCCTCAACCCTCAACCCAAACCCTAAACCCTAAACCCCAAACTCTAAACCCTAAACCCTAAACCCTAAACCCTAAACCCTAAACCCCACATATGATGCAGCCCAAAAGCAGCTTCACAATGCGAAGCTTGAGAACGCTCCCTTCTGCCGGCGGTCCTTTGCCCTGTCAGGGGTTTAGGGTTTAGGGTTTAGGGTTAGGGTTTAGGGTTTAGGGTTTAGGGTTTAGGGTTTAGGGTTTAGGGTTTAGGGTTTAGGGTTTAGGGTTAGGGTTTAGGGTTTAGGGTTTAGGGCTAGGCGCTTAGGATTCTTTACGGACACACGAAGCCCCAGACCTCAACCATCCTACCTTACTTGGAGGTTCCTGGGTACTTGTAAGTCGGGGGTTTACGAGGGGTACCCTTTTTTATAGCCCAAATAGACTAGAATCCCTTTAAAGGGCCACCAAAAAGGGTGTCCTCTAATATCGGAAACCCCCAAGTAGGGATACGAGTAGTGTAACTTTATGGGTATAAATTTATTTAGGGTACGTGTAACCCTATTTTGCATAAGAACCCAAGAACCTGCAAGTAACCCCTTACTTCGTAGCCTTTGCCTAACCGAGGTGTGTCGCGCATCGTTGCCGAGAGGAGGGGACCCCAAACCCTAAGCCCTAAACCACTAAGCTGCAGCGATTCAACCATATCATCCCCCCTACCCACAGTTTCGAGGTTGCTCCAAGCCGACGGCTCTCAGGGCTCTCATTTTCAGATCTTTGGGACCCATACTGTCCACAGTTTTGCGGCCTTTCTTGGAGGGTATGTAGGTAGAGCACAGGGTTTAGTGTGCTAAGCGCATTCGACTCCCCGTGAGCAGGGACTATGCACGTGAAAGGCCACAAAAATCCCCCAAACCAAAGCTCAAAACCGTCATCGACTTAAGTGCATCCCAAGCTTTCTTGGGTTTTCGGGGGAAGCCCCCCAAAACTTAACCCTAAACCTCATGAACCGAACATCAAAGAGGGACCAAGCGCCCTAAGCCCTTAACCTTAACCCTCCCCCTTCCTCTCCCCTAAAGACCACCCTGCCTGCGGCTGAGGTTGAAGCGTTTCGATCTGGGCCACATCAGGCTCGGGGGCTAAACCCTAAACCCTAAACCCTAAACCCATTTGCACCCCGATGGATGGCTTAGAGGTCGCATCTAGACCCCAACAATAGTACCCACTATCATGGCTTGGGATGTTGCCCTTATACTAACAGTCCTTCGTAATAGGGGGTAGTACAGTCCCGATTAAAGACTCTGCTAGTATTACCGTGCTTTGCGCCAGGTAAGAGAGCCCCGTCCCCTAAGCGGAAACCCAGAGGATAGTTGGAAAGAGGTGTAAATGAGTCCTAGAATTTCCATGGCAGACATCAGCCCCATCCGGGACATGGGTCTCCAGTTTTTTGTTGTCTGAGGGGCAGCACGCGCTCCGAAAAGGCTCATGCGCAATGGGTTGGTCAGGCCTGGCGCCAAATGGGTTTCTTCCTGAACCTTGTGCTACGAGGGGTTGCCGGCGGCTCTGAGCTTTTCGGGCTCATACAGGGCTTAGTTTGGGTTCATGGTGTGAACTGTCAGGTCTTGGTCGCTGGCTTTGGGGGCTGCTGGCAGGAGCAGTTGTGGCAGTGGCCGTGCCAGGGATGGATCCGCCCTGCGCAGTGCTTGCCCTTACTTTGTGCCGTTTGCCTGGTTTTAACTACGTACCCAGCATAGATTTGTGAAGTGAGCTTCGGCAAGCACTGCCGCACGAGGCACGGTGCACGATGTTGCAGTGAACACGAGCAATGCTGTCTTGCTGAACGTATTCAGGGGAAGTGTGCCCTCGCCCTTGTACGCGTGAGTGTCGGCTGCGAGACACTTTCGTGCCCTTCTATATGGGGTCGCAGGCGCGTTTTTGTTGCAGCAGCGCATGTGCTGACAGTATACCAAAGAAAGTTAAACCGTAAACCCTAGACCCTAAACCCTGAACCCTCAACCCGGCTTAGAAAGCGTCAGCTTCGACGCCTCGCCCGGCGCGCGGGTCGCGATCCGCGCTGTTCTGGAGTTGACCTGCAGCCTCGGGCACTTAGAGGAGTGCACTAGGTTTAGGGTTTAGGGTTTAGGGTTTCGGGTTTCGGGTTTCGGGTTTCGGGTTTGGGCGCGCTTAGGGATACTGGGGTTTAGGATGGTGAATTAAGGGATATAAGGAGGGACCCTTACAAGGGACCCTTCATCTTATTCCCATATATAACCCTTTAGGATGGTTTAGGTTTACTGTTTAATTGGGGTTCAGCATTTCGGGTTCGGGATGGTTCAGGTTTTTAGGGGTCAGGGTTGCAAGGGTTTAGGGGTCAGGGTTTTAGGTACCCCCTGAGAACCTCTCTCCTAGAAGGACCGTGCATAGATGTCCTGTGTTCATCAGTGTACTTGGAGCTTCATGGGCAGCTAGAAGTAGGCTTACCAGGTACCCGAAATGTCCAGCAATGACAATGAAGCCAGAACTGCAAGTAAGTGCTTGGCAGCCCAGTAACCATATTACAACACGGGCACTCCTTTTGGGCAGTTGGTTACTTGAACAAAGGGAACCCATAACCCAAAAAAGGGTGAGGGTACACTGGGCTACCTTTTCCTCCAAGTGCAATGAACCCGGGCAGCTTGCCACTATGTATACACCAAGAGGTTGCTCCGTGGTTCATCGCAGGCCACAAATTAAACCTTACCTAACCTAACCCTAAACCTTCCACGGCTAGGACTGCTGCACTGCCCTAAACCCTAAACCTAAACCCCAAACCCTCAACCCTACACCCTAAATCAAACTTGAGGTTCTAGACTCTAGATGATCGGCTAATTGCATCACAAAGCCCAAAGGTTTTAAGTAAACCCAAAACCCCAAAACCCCAAAACCCCAAAACCCTAACCCCTAAACCCTGATGAGGCGGCGATGGCCTTCGGCCGCCGCCCAACGCCGCGCAAGTGGCAAGAAGCGGCCAAGAGGAATCTCGGGGTGGCTTGGAACCTGGCTCGGATTGGAAAAAAGGGTTTAGGGTTTAGGGTTTCGGGTTTAGCTCCTACCTCCTATATAAGGCTCCAAGGAACCTCTTACAGAGGGACGGGTACCTAAAGGAGGGTTCTGGGGTCTCAATTGTTGCGGTTTCTGAGGGCCCAGGACCCTTCAGGTAGAAAAGGTCACTCCAAAGGGATGTAGTAGGGTTTAGGGTTTAGGGTTTAGGGTTTAGGGTTTAGGGTTTAGGGTCTAGGGTCTAGGGTCTAGGGTTTAGGGTTTAGGGTTTGGGGTTTAGGGTTTAGGGGTTACTTCGGTTCTCAGTTGCTGTCTCCTGATGGAAAGGATAAAAGAAATTGCTGGGGCAGCGTGTTGCTACCCTTCACTCCGCACCTCCGCCACCTGATGCTGGTGCGGCGGCCAGCGTCGGGCACGACAGCTGGGGCTGCACCCGACAAGCAGGGCCCAGTGCCATGACAAGGGTTTTATAAGGTTTAGGGTTTAGGGTTTAGGGTTTAAGGTTTAGGGAAACACGCTTCAGCCCCTTCCTGAAAGCACCCAGCCTCTGAACTTAGACAAAGCTGCGCGGTGCCTACCGCTGAACAGCTTGAGTTGGTTCGGATGGGCAGGCTCTAGACTTTAGCTTAGGATGGGACACGACCATCGCATCCAGGGCTCGGGACCAAGGGGGTTTAGGGTTTAGGGTTTAGGGTTTAGGGTTTAGGGTTTTGTTGTTGCTTTTTTTTTTTTTTGAGGGAGGGGGGGGGGGGGGGGCTGTTCGCAGCTGCGGCAATGAGACGGGATGCTGGTACTTGGCGGTTAGGGTTTGGGGTCCAGGGTTGAGGTTTAGGGTTACTCGAAGGTTCTTGTAGGTACTTGTATTACAAGTAGGGTTCTAAGTAGGGTAACGATGCAGTTCAGGATACTGAAAACCAAAAAGTAAGTACCCACGCCTTAACATGCAGGCATAAATACGGCAACATCAGCCATGCTACTTGCGCATGCAACGACGTAAGCTTTCCCTTTCTTCGGCGACGCGAGCACTAGTCTCGGACTTAAAAGCGATAACAGATCTAAACTCGACTTTCGCGCTAGCACAAGCCAATCAGTGAAGAGCCCGAATTCCCCCAATCGCGCCTGCAACCTGAAACCCCACAACCCCTGTGACCTGGCGTTTGTGCATGGAGCTTGTCGTGGCCAGAATCATTTAGGGTTTAGGGTTTAGGGCTTAGTGGCCAAAGCTTTGCAGCACGAAGTCATACGAAGTCTGTCCATGGGAACACGCAGCGCCCGTCAAACATGCTTCCAGATGAGGTGCCGGAGCTGCAACTATGGACAATCAATCAATTTGATTCGATGAATTCTGGGACGACTCCTTCAGCTTTCGCCTCGAATTCCAAGTTAGAAGTGGGCATTGGCTAGAACCTTTTTTTTGGGGCACTTATAACCCTACTTATATGTAGAACCTTCAAGCAGCCCTAACCCTGAACCCTTAACCCTGCCCATGAACCTTCAAGTAGGGGTGTTATAGGGGTGTTAGGGTTTGTTTAGGGGCTTAGGGGTGTTTAGGGGTTTTGACGGTTTAGGGGTTTAGGATGCTTGGGCTTCAGGATGCCTAGGGTAAACCCGAAACCCTCAACCCATGAACCACTGCCAGTACTGTGAAGTCACAACAGCGCAGAACATCACTGCCCAGAAGCGGGTCTGTATAGAACTCTGGCCCAGATACTGCGAGGTTTAGGGTTTAGGGTTTAGGGTTTAGGGTTTAGGGTTTAGGGTTTAGGTCACTGGGGTACTTACAAGCAGGGTTCTAAGTACCATCGAATGAGGATATCACCATACTTATCCCACTTAGAACCCTACTTGTAAGTGCTCATGAACCTCCAAGTAGACGCATGATGTGCAAGATATGGGTCTTTGAAACAGAGCACGGAGGCGAAAAGCTGGGAGCACCATGGAGCAAAGGCCAAAACAGTGTCAGGACATGGGTGAAGCGGTCAGTAGCAGAGACCATGGCGAGACTGCGGCGTTCAACTTAAATTTGAGCTTCTTCACCTAGATGGGTTTAGGGTTTAGGGTTTAGGGTTTAGGGTTTAGGGTTTAGGACTTAGGGCCTCAACCTAAACACTGAGCAGCTCTAGGAAAGGTAACCGCCAGTCTCTCACGTGCCTGGTGCACTCATGGTCCGTGCCATGCCCAAGGAAGAGGCAGCGGCTGAGGACATTGTTGGGCAAGTTCATCATGGGTTTAGGGTTTTAGGGTTTTAGGGTTTAGGGTTTAGGGTTTAGGGTTAGTTCACCATGGGTACACTCAGGGCTAACAGCTTAGTCCGGACGAGCTTGTTGCTCGTAGATACGCTGCGATGTTCCTGGAAAAGGCTGCACTTGGCCAAGCTCAAAATTCTTGCCATAGCCCCTGATCATATGCATCAGGGGCTTGCGCCTATGATGTACGCTTCCTGTTAAAAAAAACACGGCGAGGGGAGGAAGTGTGAGTAGCGACGCGGACAGCCAGGAAGCCATCTTTTCGGTGGAGCCCTCCGGCATAGATGCGCGTGACACACGCAAGCGTGGCTCAGGCCCTCAAAGTAGGTACCAAGCCTAACTTCTAGGGTTTAGGGTTTAGGGTTTAGGGTTTAGGGTTTAGGGTACTTCAGGGGCATGTAACCCAAGGTTCCCTGATAATCCCTACTACTCCCTAAGGCTCCAGAAGCTTCCCGAAGAACGAAGGTTCCCTAGGTACCTACTCCCTTGAACCCCCATCCCTTAAGAACCCTGTAACTAACACAGAAAACACGACCTACTCACTTTGGGGTCTGAGTTCTCTACGTCGTGGTCCTCTCTTGGATCCTTGTTGCAATACGATCAGAAGCAGGGTAGTCTTTTTTTTTCAGAGCCGGGCTTGAATCCTAGCACCCTGAGCCCTATAGAACCCTAAGCCCTAAACCCTCACATTTTTTTCAGGCCACTTCCGATTGTAGTTCTTTTTTGGGGGATACCGCGTCTTCTTAAGGAACACTCTAACTGCTAATGCATGGAACTACAGCAAGGGGATGGCCCATCGCCTGTGGCAAGTGGGGTTTAGGCCAGATAGGGTTTCGGCCATATAGGGTTTCGGGTTAGGGTTTAGGGTTTAGGGTTTAGGGTTGAGGGTTGAGGGTTGAGGGTTGAGGGTTGAGGGTTGAGGGTTGAGGGTTGAGGGTCCAGGATTTGGTTCGCTGCCGAGATGTGATACTCAATAGTGGTTGCGGGCGACCTGGGACCCCAGATTTAGGCCTTGCAGGCTTCGAAAGCCAGTGAGGCTTCCGGTTTTCTCATCTTCAAAGTGAACATCTAAGCCCGAGGCTGTCCAGGGAAACTATCCAACTCCAAAAAACCTACAAGGATCAACCCTGCCAAAACCCTGCATGAAACCAAATGTACATCTAAGCCCCCTTTTAACTCAATACCCTACAATGTCCCATATACCTTACAAGCCCAAGAGCCATGCTTACACGGAGCTGTCTTGCTCTGGTGCTACGTTGGAGCACTCAGGTGATGTTGGCTGGTCCTGGTCCGCAGGCAAGCTTAGGGCTTCCCTCTTATGCGAACAGTCCTTAATAGGGATTGTACTAGGGGGGGGGGGGGCACTATAAGACCTGTTAAGGACTGTTAGTATAAGGGGTAATATCAATCTAAACCCTAAACCCTAAACCCTAAACCCTAAACCCTAAACCCTAAACCCTAAACCCTGAACCCTGAACCCTGAACCCTGAACCCTGAACCCTAAACCCTTTTCTGGATCCGGTCCGGTCACAAGGGCGGCAGGCTAAAAGGGTTCGAGTCCTGTCTGGGTCGTGTGCCTGTACCAGGACGGGCTATAAAGGGCCTTAAAATCCAAATAGAATGAACCCTATAAAGGGCCTTTTAAGGCATTATAGAGTAAAATAGCTGCGCCGCAACATGTGAAGTAGCCGTGGAACTGCAAGCAGGCCCATATCTAAACCCAACGACTGCGCAGAACAACTCTAAACCCTAAACCAGAACGTCTGCGAAGTGCTACGCTAAGAAGAATGCTTGTCAACCGTACAAGTTCGTCCGAGTGAACGCGGCATACTCCTGTCTGACGAGCATCTTACAACCATCATTCTGCGCACCACCGACATACACTCTAAACCCCAAGCCCGCTCTGTCTAAACCCTGAACCCAGCGAAGCCTTAAAACCCTAGAAAACTCCAAAGCCCTAAACTCCGAAAACCGCGAACACCCAAAAACCTTAAAGCCCCGAAAAAAAAACCTAACCACCCCCCCCCCCCCCCCCCCCCAAAAAAAAAAACACACACACACACACAAAAAAAAAAACGAAAACAAAGCCAACAAGCCCCTAAGAAACCCCAAAAGAACCCTAAAGCCTTAAAACCCCGGTGTCTCCAGCTGCTGGTCCGAATTGACCTGACCATCCACGACCTTCACCTGGCAGATTACCCTAAATCCTAAACCCTAAACCCTAAACCCTAAACCCTAAACCCTAAACCCTAAACCCTCAGCCTCGCAGGGGCCTAGGGAGTTCAGGGTTGAAGTTGGTACGTTCCCCCTTATACTAACAGTCCTTAATAGGATTATAGTAAGGGGGTACTATGAGCCGTATTAAGGACTGTTCATGTAAGGGGGGCCATCCCAAGGTTGAAGGAACGTAGAGAGTTTAGGGTTCAGGGTTTGGGGCCTAGAGCTCTAAAAATGTCATCCTTTTGAGGCTTTAAAGCCCAACATGTCCCAAAGACCAAGCGGTGTAATGTAGGTGCAAAAGAAGGCGTGTGTAGGGTTTGGGGTTTAGGGTTTAGGGTTTAGGGTTTAGGGTGTAGGGTTTAGGAGTTTTTCTTAGAAGTGGGAGCTTCGAACCTAAAAGGGAAACTGCTGAGACCTGAACCCCCCCCCCAACCCTCTAGCCTCGACGACCCAAGCCTAGGTTTAGAGTTTAGGGTTTACGGTCTCGGGTGAACTCCTCAATCCTAGGCCCCAAACCCTAAATCAACCCTAAACCCTAGGACAGCAGAATTCTGGGCCCAGCCCGTCGGCTCCCGCCCACCTTTTGGCTTACGAGCTTGTGAATGTTTAGGGTTTAGGGTTTAGGGTTTAGGGTTTAGGGTTTAGGGTTTAGGCATTTTGCAACAAAGCCAACATGCCATTCATCATTTCTCTCTCTCTCTCTCTCTCTCTCTCTCTCTCTCTCTCTCTCTCTCTCTCTCTCTCTCTCTCTCTCTCTCTCTCTTTCTTTCTTTCTTTCTCTCTCTCTCTCTCTCACACACTGGCCTTTGTCGGCCAAGACTCAAGGCTCGCCTTCGCAAACACACTTCCTCCTTCTCTTTCTTTCTCTCTTTCTCTCTCTCTCTCTCTCTCTCTCTCTCTCTCTCTCTCTCTCTCTCTCTCTCTCTCTCTCTCTCTCTCTCTCTCTCTCTCTCTCTCTCGCCCCTTTCCCTCTCTCTCATTCCTCACGCCTCGTCGTCCTTCTTGTCCTCAGCCGGCGCTTCCTCAAGACTCACTCTGTTTCTTTCTCGCTTTCTCACTCACTCTCTCTCTCTCTCTCTCCCCTTTCCCTCTCTCTCATTCCTCACGCCTCGTCGTCCTTCTTGTCCTCAGCCGGCGCTTCCTCAAGACTCAAGACTCACTCTGTTTCTTTCTCGCTTTCTCTCTCTCTCTCTCTCTCTCTCTCTCTCTCTCTCTCTCTCTCTCTGTGTTTGCTACCCCTTTCTACCACACTCCCTCATTCCTGCCTCTTCTTCGCGTGCTGCTGCGTAAAGCCTCAATCTGAGAAAAACGCTCCCTGGCCACACAAGCTCTGTCAGAACCCCGAGGAGCCAACTTCTTGAAGCGCTCCGGCGACACCATGACGTGCCTGGAGTTCCCTTTTCCTGACGAACGAAAAAATGTAGAACTCGCGCCGCAAAAACACTCCCCACCCCATCCAAGCCGCAGACCCACATCAACGAAGACGACGATGTGGGAAGCCTCCACGAGACCACGCCGCTCCCACCCGCCCGCTCCTCCCTCCCACTCTCCAATCCACACCTCTTCCGCAGGCCGCTGCTTCTTTGCCTCCTTGCGCGGCTTCTTTACCTGCTGCCCCCCCATCCCCGCTTCCCCCCTTCTCCCCTTCCCACACGCTGCCAGCCTTGCCGGCGTTGCCCTGACCAAAACGTCTGTAAACGTGAAACAAGAACGCATCACAAAAAAACAACGACGAAACACTGGGACCACGACGCAATTGCGGCACAAGAGGGTCCCCTTCGACTTTGAGTTGTAGTAGTTGCCACAGGTCTCGAACTTGGCATCCACCGCCCCTCAATCCCAATGCCTCCCGCACTTAAACCCCATGAAATGTCTAAGAAGCGGACGTTTGCGCACTTTGCCTGGTGTTTCTGTGCCTGACATTTGCGCGAGCCCACGCACACACAAGCACGCGACCTTCCCAACAACACCTGCCTGCTTAGACCGAGAAGACGAAGACGGCTGTTTCAACAACTCCGTCTTCACCCTAGCCATCGGGCGGTTTGCCCTAACAGACGCCGGCCCCCTGCAATATGCTGTCATCCTTTGTATAGGAACACCCCAATGGTTTTGGGGTCTAGGGTTTAGAGCACCGCCATTTTAAGGGAAACACACATGTAGAGCTGTGAAAGCTGAGTGAAGGGATGGGAGCCCCGAAGCCCAGCTACGGGGTTTAGGGCTTACAGGGTTTCGGCTCCCGCGCTCACACGCGACAGGGTTTAGGGTTTAGGGTTTAGGGTTTAGGGTTTAGGGTTTAGGGTTTAGGGTTCAGCATCTCAAGTTCGAGCATTTACTAGGCCAGCAGTGTGTTCAGGCAACGGAAAAAAACCCACCCGCCCAAAGAATCCCATAACATTAAGAAAATAAAAGGTTTTCTTCCTACTCCAAAGAGTTTTACCTACCCAAGTCAGACACGTTTTCAACAACATTAGGAAAATATCCAACCTCCTTCTTCTCTAGGCACGTGGTCAACAGAATGGGTTTGTTAACCACATGTTTCTGTTTCGAGCGGACAAGAAAACCAAACGTGGTCAACAGAATGGATTAGTTAACCACATGTTTCTGTTTCAAGCGGACAAGAAAACCAAACGTGGTCAACAGAATGGATTTGTTAACCACACGTTTCTGTTTCAAGTTCCGTCGAGCTACAACTGGGCCTCTCGCTTGCCACCTGTACACGTGTAACGCTTCACGCCTACTCCTGAGGGCGATGCGAGAAATGGCAGGCGGAAAGAAAAGCCCACGCACGCCTACTTCTGAGGGCGGTGCGGTATTACAACAGCACACTGCAAGAAACGACTGACCCGTGACTTCGCGGATCTGCGCTTCGCATGGGCACACTCAGCTTGCCCGTCTGTTCCAAGTGGACAAGAAAACCAAACGTGGTCAACAGAATGGATCTGTTTATCACATTTGGAAGCCATCTTGAGTTTCTTGAATCGATTGAGGGGCTTCAGGGGCCTCAAAAACAGGCGCGGTCATTCGGGAACTTATTCTTTGGAAGCCATCTTGAGTCTCTTGCTTTTGAGGGGCTTCAGGGGCCTCAAAAACAGGCGCGGTCATTCGGAAACTTATTCTTTGGAAGCCATTGACAAGCGCTTCCCCTCCCCGGGGGGGGGGGGGGTGGGGGGGGGTGGAGGTGGGGGGGGGGGGGGTGGGGGGGTGGGTGGGGGAGGGGTGGTGGTGGGGGAGGGGGGGGGTTGGGGGGGGGGGGGGGGGGTGGGGGGGGGGGTGTGGGGGGGGGGGGTGGGGTGCGGGGGGGGGGGGGGGGTTGGGGGGGGGGGGTGGGGGGGGGGGGACCTTTGCCCACTAAATATGATCTTGCCCGCCCGCCAAATACATCAGCTTGCCCGCTAAACATATGACCTTGCCCGCTAAATATATGACCTTGCCCGCTAAATATATGACCTGGCCCGGGAAATATATTTCGCGGGCAAGGTCATATATTTAGCGGGCAAGGTCATATATTTAGCGGGCAAGGTCATATATTTAGTGGGCAAGGTCATATATTTAGCGGGCAAGGTCATATATTTAGTGGGCAAGGTCATATTTTAGCCAATGGACCTTGCCCACTAAATATATGACCTTGCCCGCAAAATATATGACCTTGCCCGCTAAATATATGACCTTGCCCACTAAATATATGACCTTGCCCGCTAAATATATAACCTTGCCCGCAAAGTCATTAACATTTATGTTATATATGAAAGAGTGGTTTAGGGTTTAGGGTTTAGGGTTTAGGGTTTAGGGCTTAGGGCTTAGGGTTTAGGGTTCTACTCTCTGCATCCTGTCATGCAGGGAGCGGCCTCGCCCACCTGGGAGCAAGGCCTGGCAGGGAACACCGGAACGGGCGGCGTCTGCCGTCACTGGGTTGCAAGGGCTTAGAGGTTAAAAGCTTCAGGGTTCAGAGGGTTGAGGGTTTAGGGTTTAGGGTAAGGTTCAGGGTTCATGAGGTTTTGGAGACTGAAGAGTTTAGAGTGTTCAGGGTTTAGGGTCTCTGAGGCTTATGATGTGTTTAGGGGTTTTGCGACAAGGAATATAGACAACGCGGAAGCACCAATCCGCAGGGACGACTCGATGCAGAACGGCGGCCAGGACTACTCAGAAGGTCAGTGTTTGACTAGGTTAACAAGAGTTTAGGCCTTATAGGGTTTGGGTTTGGGGTTTAAGGTGCTCCTAAACCCTCAGCCCTTGTTTGTAATCCTAAACCCCCAAACCCTAAACCCTAAACGCCCTGTAAGCCCAGCCCTAAGCCCAGAACCGGATGAGCTAATTCGGACCCGGAGTCTTCAGCAGCGGGCCTCAGTTTATCTGATCCTCCCGAAAGGAACATCTTTTTCGGGGCTTTTCTGGGGATCAGGGTTTAACAGGGGTACCCTTCTGCAGGGTCCCTCCCCTAAACCCTAAACCCTGAAACCCCCAAACCTCAACATTTCGTAGTATGATGTCTCTCCCCCAAACCCTGAACCCAAATTTTCTAACTGCCCGCAAAAGGCTCAGGGTTAGGGTCTGAAGGCCCCTTGAACATAGATATCCACCCCCGGGCGCAGGCTTCGAAACCCTCCAACCCTTCGCGCCTAAAAACTCGAAACGAGAGGCCTAAACCACCCTAAGCCCTAAACCAGAGGCCTTCCAAATTTTGGGGATCCTAGTATGACTTGCGCATGATTTGGAGACTTCCGCCCCCCATTACTGCCTCACTAATCCGACAAGGGGGGCTCCAAACTACCCCCAGGGCTGAAATACCTGGCAGATTTAGGTGGATTCTGTCGTGTTTGGGGGCAAGCCCGAGTACTTGAATTGAAATGCCTGTGTGTGCGTGCGTGCGCGCAAGAGCTTGGTGGGGCCGGAGCGAAACCTTTTCTGAGGAGGCGGTTGGAAGAGGTGGTTGGTGATTTCCTAACATCCGCAGCACTTACGCTAGAGCCAACCGTCTCTTGCCCATCTCCTTTTGCATGTTGCGCGGAAGTGTATGGGCCTATCTAGTGGACGACCCCTAAACCCTAAACTCTAAACCCCAGAACGCAGCAGCAAAGTTTCTGAAAGCTCCCCCTCCCCCCCCCCCCCCCCCCAAAAAAAAAAAAAAACACCTGAAAAGCAGGAAGATGATGGCCTCCCGATTACCGGCTCGGCTCCGCCAGCCGTGGCCGTCTGCTCAAACTGCCGAAGCTGCACCTACGGATGCTTCCCCTGAGCCCTGAACCGCAAACCCCAAACCCTAAACCCTGAACCCTAAACCCTAAACCCTCCACTTCATTTTTGCGGTGCCAGCCAAGATGACACAGCCGCCTGTTGCGAACCTCTTGCTAATTTACTCCTTTGGCTCCAAATACCAATATCACTACCGTCCACGGTACGATATCTAATGTACCATCTAATGTACCATCTAATGTACCCATCTAATATACCATCTAGTTCAGAACCACCATCTGAAATCCGCATTTACTCCGTCAAGGGGTGCAAATTGCAAGAACAGGGGAGTAACGGCAGTAACCTAACCCTATACAGTCGCCTTTGCCGCACTTGCCTTCCGGCACCCCTCTGTACCTAGCACTTGGGATGTTCCCCCTTTTACCAACAGGCTGCAATGGGGGTTATAGTACCCCTAAACCCTAAACCCTAAACCCTAAACCCTTTTCAGGACGTTTAGTATGAGGGGGGAACATCCCATCCTAGCACCCTCAAGACTAAAGCGCACCAAGAAATCCGATTTCAAGGCGGTGGTGTGCGGTGCCTACGCAAATCGAATTAGGGTTTAGGGGTTTAGCGTTTACGGTTTAGGAACATGTCCGCCTGCTGACTACGACAAGGCTGCTAGAACTGGTATACACGACGAGGAGCCAGAGAAGAATTCAGCCCACAAGCACAAACAAAAACCCATAATCATCCCAAATCTGAAGCCTAAGCCTAACGAACCACAGACAAGGAAACAAATTATGATGGTTGTACGTACCATTCAGGATTGCGCGCTCTCTCTCTCTCTCTCTATATATATATATATGTATACATATAGCTTCTAGAGCTTTGCTATGTGGTGACTTCCTTCACAACAGTAAACCCACCTGTCAGCGAGCCTTGTTCCGATAGCGGCGGCAGGCGACCACACCAAGCGCGCCAAAGCAGCCCAGCGCCAAGGTGGCGATGAGGAGCAGCCAAAATCCCACCTTGGCAGGCTCCAGAGCCTATACTTAAGGTTTTGGGGTTTATAGGGTTTATAGGGTTTGGGGTTCATAGGGTTCAGGGTTCAGGGTTTAGGGTTTGGGGTTTCGGGGTAGCCGAATATAGAGGTCGGAATAAGTACTAATAGCATTCTTTTAGGGTTCTTGGGCCTTGCATTGGGTGCACTGTTCTTTGGCCCCCTCCCCTTTCCACCCAGTGTACAGTGCTCAGGGCTCTGCAACTCCAGCGCCGAAGTCTTTAGACTGTTCTCTTTCACAAGTCTCAAGCCAAGCCAATCTTAGACCTTCCCTCTACTTCCAGGGACCTACCGATTCGGGTAATTGAGCCCCAAAGGACCCCATAATTCGGGCCCTAAACCCTGAACCCTGAGGACGCTAAAGAAGGACCCCATAATTAGGCTCCTGGAAGGATAGGGAACTGAAGGCTAAGCATGAGCTGCCGCTCCCCTCTTGGCCTGCTGGCCTTTCGGGTTTAGGGCTTACCCGCATGGGCGATTATACCCTCTAACCCCAAAAAAGGCCCTGTATAGAACCCTAAACCCTAAACCCTAAACCCTAAACCCTAAACCCTAAACCCTAGGAAAGGCATCCCCCTACCGCTATCTTGTGCGCCTCATCATGCGCAGCGGCCACCCAAGGAACATCAACCTCATGGTCGAGCGTGTGACCCTACTTAAGACCCTTTGGGTTTAGGGTTTAGGGTTTAGGGTTTAGGGTTTAGGGTTTAGGGTTTAGGGTTTCGGGTGTTTATAGGACTGTCTGACATACATGCTGGGGGGGGGGGGGGGGGGGGGTTGTGAAGGGCCTAGCGTGCTACCAGCAGCGTCGTCGTGGCTACTAGTAGCCCTGTGCAGTTGGGGGCGAGATGTCCTAAAACTTCGATGCCCATGAGGACCTTTGGTCTCCGCCAGGAGGCGACTGGGCAACTGCTGGAATCGAAGTGCGTGTTGGCGTTGAACATGCTCAAAGCCCCGCTCAGGGCTTCGAGACTCAGGGACAAGGGCGCCTGCTCCGTTTCCCCACCTTGGTAGCCCGCTAACCATGCTGTAGTAAGGGGACCCTTTTTGGGGGGGTGTTGGCTACTTTATGAGGGAACCCAGAACCCAAAATAAAAAGTACCACTGGGCTACCAAGCCACAGGTGAGGAGGGCAAAGTGCCAGTCCCTGATTGCCGTCTTCTGATACACGCTGATGCTGAAGAAGAAGTCGTCGAGGTTGTGGGTCTCGCCCAGCTGTCGCTTCATGTTTGCGGCACTCAACCTTCTCCAATAACCAAGGGAAAAAAGGTTAAACTCTATTGTCCCCACTAAAAAAGGGAACCCAGAAAGTTTAAACTTCAAGTGAGCAACTTCTCCTCGCACGACAGCTGGCCCCAGGAATCCTTCACGGCACCCCAGCGATGCTCGCTCGCATCGAAGGCCACCAACATCACCTCGACGGGCCCTTAAAAAAAACTTCTGAAACACTTGGCTGCACTCAGGAGGGTAGCCTATACATGAAACTTCTAGCTGCCTTATAATAAGAAACCCAAGGAAACCCTAAAAAAGGTAAGGATCTAAAGTTACAGTAAAGTACCACAAAGAACAGATTCCCGAAGATAAGCTTCATAAACCCAATAGCAACATGGGCCATTAGGGCCAAGAATCCCCATAAATCAACTCTCTAAAGGGCCTTTTTGGGAGGGGTTATAGGGCCATAATCAACCCTATAAAGGGCTTTTTTGTGGAGGGGGTTACAGTGTTGCAGGGTATAGTAGCCCAGGCTGGTCAGGGAAAAGGCACAATATCCCAAGGACCTACCCAGTCACGGGTCCAGTATTGCCGAGATCCTTGCCGCCTTGCCAGTCCACGTGAGCTTTAAGCTCCGCTGCCTTCGTCTCCTCCGGGCCCGCTTGGCCGAAGCAGAAACCTCCCAGGTGCCAAGAGCCATTGGTCTGCAGAGTCACCTTGGCTTAGGGTTCAGGGTTTAGGGAGTTTAGGGTTTAGGGAGTTTAGGGAGTTTAGGGAGTTTAGGGAGTTTAGGGAGTTTAGGGAGTTTAGGGAGTTTAGGGAGTTTAGCGAGTTCAGGGAGTTTAGGGAGTTTAGGGTTTCAAGAGCCATTGATCTGCAGAGTCACCTTGGCTTCGATCTTCGCAGGCGTTGAGGAGAAGTAAGAATCTGCTGCCGTCAGCAGCGGCAGGAAGAGCACCATGCACATGCGGGGAAGAAAAGCCATGAGCACGGTGGGCAGCTGCGCAAATGGACGCTACCTAGACCTTCCTGCTTCAGAGCACAAACGCCTGCAAGAAACCCTGCTGTGGAGAGGTCCTCTCCAAATGCCTTTTTGTGATCGACGACATCCTGCCCCCACGCATCACGCAAAGTCTGAAGCTGTGCAAAACAGCAAAGCCTCCAATGCTATCAGGACTCATGTGTCGAAACTCGCGCATGAAAGCATTTTCGGAGCAGTGCGCTCATGAGGCTGTGGAGATGCAAACAGGGCACTTGGGAAGACCTGCGAGTGTGGTGCCGGAGAGGTCAACATTGCCAACGGCCCCGAACAACATCTGCCAACCCACAGCCGTATGAACCCTAAACCGCAGTGGCGTTCATCAGAAGGACCCCCCTGCAACACCGAAACCTTTGTACACCCAGATCACAGATCTTGGAGGCCCTAAATGGGAGCAAAGTCACCATCGCAAAAACTTCATGTTGAAGATGCGGGGATGCGAGCTCCGGCGCTGCAATTACTAGAGCGCCTCAGGTCAACAAGGTCAACCGAGACGGATCATAACCCTCAATCACAAATCGTTACTGGGGCGTATGGTGAGTGTGTTTCTTTTGGTTTAGGTTTTTTATGGTTAGGGTTTAGGGTCTAGGGTTTATAGGGTTGTGCCCACACACACGGTCACCTCTTTGGTGGAGTGTCGGGTCATGAACTGCACAGGCACAGTCAGGAAATTCACATAAAAGGCATTTCAATCCATGCCTGTAGCCCAACGCTCGGCAGGGGCTACGCTCTACGGCGGCATGCTGCGCAAGTGCAATAAATGGCGCACGTGCCCAGCGAGATGTGCTGTACACCTGCTCACTTGCAGCTGCATGCATCGCTTACACCTGACAGCTGTCTTCCAGGGTAGCTGCATTTTGCGCGGAAGGAATGTCCTGCGGCCAGGCTCGTCAAAAGGGTTTGGGTTGAGGGGGGCGGCAGCATCCGCAGCCGCAGCCCATGCGCACCCCAGAAAGGCAAACAAATCACCAACCCGAATCACTAAACCCTAAACCCTGAACCCTAAACCCCAAACCCTAAACCCTAAACCCTAAATCCTAAACGCTAAACCCCATCTACCTGGAATCTACCTGCGGCATATCATCAGGGTCCGCGTTGGTCTGGCCATCAACCACTTTTGCCTCACCGATCTGGCTGCAAGGCCTGACCATGGTGTATGTGCTCCATACCAACAAGGGTTTAGGGTTTAGAGGGTTTAGGGTTTGGAGGGTTTGAGGGTTTAGGGTTTAGAGGGGTGAGGGTTTAGGATTTTAGGGTTTGGGGTTAGGTGCCCCTTTCATTCCCCAAAAAGAATAGAATCTCCTTCTAGGGACCCTACCCCTATTTTCGGAAACCCCCACAAGGTGGTGGCATGTACCCTCGAGGTTCTTTGCTAGAAACGGGCATCTAGTTGTTGCTGTACCAGACGCCTGTCCGTTTCGACTCTAGCCCTCCTGGTTCTTAGTAGAGAATGAGGGAATTAGGTCCCTATGTACTCCCCTGAAGGGTTTAGGGTTTAGGGTTTAGGGTTATATGTGGGACCCGAATTCTTCCCTACTAAGAACCAGGGGGACAACATCTCCGCGGCTGATCGAGACAACACAAGTGAAAGAAGCCAAAAAACTGTAGGGCACCATCTATGTTTGTACATGAAGGCTATGTGTATTTATTTTTTGAACAATGCTATTCTTGTCTAGATATATTCTAGATATAAATATGAATATCTTTACTACTTGTTCAAAAACCCAGGGAAGAAACGGTTAAACTTGACCCTAAACCCTTGAAAACCCCTAAACCCTAAATTGTTCCTATAGTATAAGGACATCCCCAAAATAGTAGGCTTTCGAGTTTCGGGACTGTTGGCTAGGAAAGCTTTTGAACTCCCCTTTCTGGGGGATCAGGGTACTTATACCTAACCCCAATTAGAACTGTACTTATGTAAGCCCCTTAAGCCCCCTAAGTCCTCTAAGTAGGTTATAAGCAGACGTATAATTGGGGTTCTAAGTACCCATATGAACCCCCAAGCCCTAAGCCCTTAGCCCTAAACCCTAAACCCTAAACCCTAAACCACTTATGATTGGGGCTATAAGTAATTACCCATAAACCTCCCAGTGGAGGCACAGATCTGAAACCGCGAAGCCCACACCACGAATTCAACTCGTGGGCTGCAAAGGCTTGCTCCGTGAAGTTTCGACAAGTGGTTGGGTTCAGGGTTTAGGGTTTAGGGTTTAGGGTTTAGGGTTTAGGGTTTAGGGTTTAGGGTTTAGGGTTTAGGGTTTAGGGTTTAGGGTTTGGGATTTAGGGTTTAGGGTTTAGGGTTTAGGGGCTTTAGAGCGCCTGCCGATGACAGGCTCGGCTCCGCCAGCCGTGGCCGTCTCTCGAAATCGCTTTTGCTGAGCCTGCAAGAAGGCTAAGTGGTGTAAGAATTTGGGGTTTAGGGTTTAGGGTTTAGGAGTTCGGGTTTAGGGTTTAGGATTTTTCTGGGGCTGCATTGACCTACTTTTGGGGGTTCTGTGCCCGATATTTAGGGGGCTATGACCTACTATTTTGTAGGGTTGGGGAGTCACAGGTGGAACAAGGGTGCAGGGCTTTAGGCCACCAAATCAATAAAGGGTCCATGTACCTTTACTTGGTGGGGGGTGTAAGGGTGTAGGGGTTTCGGGTTATGGAGTTTAGGGTTCAGGGTTTAGGGCTACTTGGAGGTTCCTGGGTACTTATAAGTATAGGCTCTAAGTTCTAAGTTGCCCAACTAAGGTTGAAAACATAAAGCGAGCTACCCTACCTACACTACTACTTATAAGTGCCCATGAACCTCCACGTAGAGCCTACAGACTTTCCAAATTGAGACCCAAACCGCGTTGTCAAGCCACTACGTGGAGGTTCAGGTTCAGGGCACTTCTAACCCTAGCTGTAGCTATAAGCCCCCGAAGTCCTCTAAGTAGCTTATAAGTTTAGGGTTCAGGGTTTATAAGGGTTTAAGGGTTTAGGGTTTAAGGGTTTCGGGGTTTAGGGGTTTAGGAGTAGACTTGCACTTGGGGCTAGAAGTGCCCACGAAGCTCCCAAGGAAAGAGCGGAGCCGCCGCCTTCTTGCGGAAGTGGCGGCAAGCAACCGCAGCGAGGACCGCGGAGCATCCAAGCAGCAGCGCCCCGACAACCAACAGCCAAAAGCCCACCTCATACTCTATCTGGCGAATTCTGGACAGAAAACAACCCCTTTTATGGGATTCCTAGGCTACCTATACAACACAGAGTCTCTCCACATGTACATATTTTCTGCACTTTTCTTCTTTCTTGCTTCGCTTCCCTGTCCGTTGTAGCTTTGGTTGCGGCTTCCGCTTTCTTTCTTCCCTTCCGACTGTCTCTCTCTGTCGGTAAGTCGCTCAGGGTGCTTGGGGTAGTTTTCAGGGTGTATAGAGTAGGGTTTATATAGGGTTTAACTCAGGTTTAGGGTTTAGGTTTGTTTTCTCCAACTGGCGAAACCTACGATAACCCTATGACAGCCTAACCCAGACAGATCCTGCCCCGCGGACTCAGGTTTCTCGCTTCCCCGTGCGTGTGTGAGACGCCGACTGTTTCATTTTGGCCTCTTCGCCAAACTCAACTATGCCCATTCCTCAAGGATTAGGTTTAGGGTTTAGGGTTTAGGGTTTAGGGTTTAGGGTTTAGGGTTTAGGGTTTAGGGGTTAGGGTTTAGGGTTTAGAGTTTCGGGTTTCGGGCTTAGGGTGTCGGCCACCTCCACCTCTACTCCCTCTCTCTCGCGGCTCGCGTTCTCTCTTTCTCACGCATTCTCTCTCGCTTTCGGTCTCTTCATCGCTCGGCCGGTTTCTTTATTCCTTTGGATCTTGATATATTTCTGTTTGCGTTGTTTCTGTATTTATGCATGACTTTGTCGTTATTTCTTTATTTTCTTTCTCGCTTTCTTATGGCGCTTCCTTCTATGTCTCTTCCCCTCTCTCTCTCTCTGCCTCTGTGCCTCTCTTTTGTTTCCTTATATCCTTCTTTCCTTCTTTCCCTCATTTCTTCCTTCCAGCATGCATAGCCATGTGGCTGGCCCAAGGGGCGCATGCTGTTCAGCGAGTCTCTTTGAAATGGAGAGGGTGTGATGCGTTCCCTCGCTTTCGAAGAACTCTACAAGGCATCACCCAGCGTATGTGACCTGATAGCCGAGCGAAACGGGCACAGACTCTTTTTGTCCGCTCTCTCGCTCTCTCTCTCTCTCTCTCTCTCTCTCTCTCTCTTGTTCTCTCCTTAACTCTGTTTCATATCACCAAGACAAACAAACCTTCCGGGCGATATATCTGCACAGAAAACAAAGGAGAAGTGTCTACAGATAGGGTTATATAGATGCACGTGTGTGTATTATTTTGGAACTACAGATGTGAACAACAATGGCATGTTTAAATAATCACGGTGTACACGTGTGTACATGTATGTATGTATATGTATGTATGTATGTATGTATATGTATGTATGTATGTATGTATGTATGTATGTATGTATGTATGTATGTATGTATGTATGTATGTATGTATGTATGTACGTATATGTATGTATATATAAAAAATAATAACAAATAAATAAATAAATAAATCAATATATATATATATATACACACACACCGTTTTTCGTCAGCCACACCTCGTCGTGGGCAGCCTCGAACCACGGCATGCTCACCTGCAGCGACACAACAAAACAAGGCCCCCCCAACTTGTCCTCGGCCCCATTTAGGGTTTAGGGTTTAGGGTTTAGGGTTTAGGGTTTAGGGTTTAGGGCCCCATTTAGAGGTTCTTACCTTGCGTACTCATCTTGAATGATCACACCAACAGGCAGTCTCCCCCAAGCTTCTTACGACAGTCAGGCGAAACGCGTTGACGTTCGGAACTTTTGGGGCGAAGTGAACAAGAAAAACGGTTCAGTAGAGCAGTACTGTCTTGCTCGCCAGGGCGCCACCGGGCAACTGCTGGAATGGAAGTGTGTGTTGGCCTCGAACATGCTCAGGGCCCCCTTCGTTGCCGACAGCCTCAGGGACAAGGGCGCCTGCTCCGTTTCCCCGCAGGTGAGGAGTGCAAAGTGCCAGTCCCTGATGTTCGACATCTGATGGACAGTGATGCCAAAGTAGAAGTCCGTATAGTCGTGGGTCTTGCCCAGCTGTCGCTTCAGGTTTGCGGCACTCAACTTCTCCTCGCATGACAGCTGGCCCCAGGAATCCTTCACGGCACCCCAGCGATGCTCGCGCGCATCGAAGGCCACCAGCATCACGGGTCCCGTCTCCCCGAGGTCCTGGGTGCCTTCCCACTCCACATGGGCCGCAAGCTCCGCTGCCTTCGTCTCACCCGAGCCTGCCTGGCCGAAGCAGAAGCCTCCCAGGTGCCAGGAGCCGTTGGTCTGCAGGGTCACCTTGGCTTCCAGCTGCGCGGGTGTCGAGGAGAAGGTCTCGGCGGCAGCGAGCACTGGGAGGAAAAGCAGCACGCGAAGGCACCTGAAGGAAGCCATTCTGTGTGCACGGAGACGAGCTGGAGCGGTTCGGCCTGCCTGCTTTGAAGCGCAAATGCCTGCAGAACACCCAAAAGATGACCAAAAGATGAGCTGGAGTGTATGTTTTTTAGGGTTCAGGCTTCAGGTTTAGGGTCTTGCAAGCTCAGCTTGCCATCCCCCCAGACACGCAAGGATCCTTACATGGAAACATGTCTCCGGCCAGCAAGCCCACGCCGGCCTTGCATGTTTTGCGCTGTCTCTGTGCGTATAAGAACGATACGCCTGAAGCAATAACCTGCGAACTCTATAAGAGAAACAGGACTGGCGGCACCTTTAGTGCAGCAAGACCTCATCGCCCGAGTCGGGGACGAAGGCCAAGCACATCCAGCTACACAGCTTCTAAACCCAGGTAGGCCCTGTCATTCACCCCAAAAGAGTAAGACCACAAGAGTAAGAGCTGTAGCAAGGGCCCACTGCAGATACGTCGGGCCGCTGCATCAAGAACCAGGTCAATTGGGATTAGGGTGCTTAAGGACGTCATGGGGCAGGCTCAAAAAGCGAGCAAAGGGCCCACCTGGCAACTGTTAACTACAAAGTCTGCACTCCCCGAGCATGCTTCGTGGACTCCATGAACCTTACAGATGTTGTGCCTGTGCTACCATTAACAGCGAGTAATTACAGCAGCACGGAGTTTGCACGATGGATCCTAAAATCATATACATATATATATATAGGTATGTTCATGTCGCTCCCAGAGCAGGGGGGGAGTCGAGCACACACCATTTTCGGTGAGTGCTGCTGCAGAGAAGAACCACTGCAAGATACCTACTTGAAGGTTCATGGACTTACGCTTCAGAAGGGCGGTTATCACTATCCAATAGGGTATAACTATAACCATAACTTAAAACCTAAATCGTCTCCATGCACCTCCAAGTAGCCAAGGAACGAAAGCAGCAGCTGTGCCTGCCACATGTAGTATGTGGCTGCACGTTAAAACCTCCATCTCAAATGGAACATGCCTGTATAGGCTTGTTTTGATCTCATGGGTTCCCATACCACACCCCCCCCCTATACTACCCGCCCCTAGGTTCCCCCCATACTTAAGGCTATTTGGATAATTAAGCCGAATTAAGGAAACCTATGATGATCTATGAACAGCAAGCCCTGGTTCAGAACAGCCGTGACTCTACACACAGCTATCGAGCGCGGCAGCTTCGTCGCGTTCAGTCGTCATGTCCTGCGACATGATCGCGCGACCATGGGAATTGTGGGTTTAGGGTTTAGGATTTAGGGTTTAGGGTTTAGGGTTTGAAGCCACCAGTTTGAAAGCTCGTGTTTGAGCTTTCCCGGGAATCACATGCCGACAAGGTCTTTATTTCTGGACTACATAAGCCCCCAAAAAGGGAGCCTTTCGTGATCAAGCAAATGCAACCAGAAGGGCGGTGGGGTATTTATGCTCGCCCCACCACCACCACCCCAGCCCCACTCTCGGTCCGAAATCACAGAATTGGGAAAACGTGCTCATGAACCCAACATGCGCAAGTCATCTGCTGCTGCCTTGCCGAATCGAAGACGGCTAACCTGTGTTGTCAAGGTTCAGAGTTTATACGCAGGACACACGAAACGTTGCAGGCACCACCAGCAATGTACCCTAAACCCTAAACCCTAATTAAACCCTAAACCCTAAACCCTAAACCCCAAACCCCTAAACCCTAGTCCTTGTTGGTCTGGCCGTCAACGACTTTTGCTTCACCGATCTGGCTGCACGGCCTGGCCGCGTGGAAATGGTAGAGGCCAAGTACTAGACCCCAAATGCTATAGGAACCCTAAACCCTAAACCCTAAACCCTATAAACCCTAAACCCTAAACCCTAGGAACCCCAAAGCAAGCTTGAGCCATCCCCTTGCTGGCGCGATCCGGCATGGAGCAGTGGATTTTTCTAATTCCCCAATCCGACATATGGCCTCACGCGTGCTCTCGCAAAAGGCGCAGTCTTACGCATCTTACGCACAGGAACGAATCCTGAAGTCTGTACTAACGTACTAATGCTAGCCGCTAGCCCATGGTTTGGGACCTAGCACGCGGCCCACAGTCCTCAGCCACTTTGTTCAGGATGGAGCCCGCGGATGGACGTGTACAGTTTTGTTGGTCGTGGTACGTCGTGCTATCGTGACGAAAGCACGCAGGAAGGAGTGCTGAAGCTGAAGCGTATTCTTTACTAGGACCCAGAGTAGGCTCTTCTTTTTTAAAGGGTTAAGAAGGCTACCTTGCAATAACCCCCTTTAAGCCAAAAAAGGGCACCCTTTTGACTCGTAGGTTTCTCTTGGGTCTAGTTTAGTTTCTGTCCACAGTCGGTTTGCATGCCTTGTTTTATGCGCATTGTAAGCTTCAAGCGTACTTGTTTCATTCATCGCAGTATCTGCCTAGTCCTTCGCGTGGCCAGCTGGGAACATGCCTCACAGCCCCCTCCCGGGCAGAGTGGAAACGCAAAACCTTTCCACGATGTGTTGGAGGCTGGTCTCAAGCTCCTGGCTACCCCCCCTCCCCCCCTACTTGGAGGTTGATATCGATGGTTACTTTTGAGTAGGGTTACAAGTAGGGTAACTATGGTTATAGCCTTACTTAGGGCACTGTAGCAGAAAGAAGCAATGGGCAAAACAAAGCAACGCAACCGACTGTGGACAATTACAGGAAGCCCCTAAACCCTAAACCCTCAACCCTGCACGTCATCACCTTGCGCTAACATGGGAACAGCCGTGCCTGCCAACGACTGGCGAGGCTCCTCGGGCAGCAGCTATCTCTCGACAGCGATCAAGATCCGCCTGCCAGTGCTTGGAGGTTCATGGGTTTTCGAGTTTAGGGATGTAGGGTTTAGAGTTTAGGGTTTAGGGTTTAGGGATATATAGCCCCAATTATAAGTCTACTTATAACCTACTTAGAGGACTTCGGCGGATTGTACGTGCAATGGGGTTATAAGTACCCTGAATCTCCAAGTGTGAAGTACAGAAACAGGATGTTGTAGAAAAGTGGTCGTAGCAACCTTTCGAAGTAGTGATATTCAGCAAAAACGGAAACCACGAAAGCTTTAAATAGAACCCATATTGCCAGAAGTGCTGTGGGACTCATCCCGTCCAATTGCGCAAGTTGCTTGTGAAAAAAAGCAAAGCCGATGATGCGCGTCTCTAGCCCTGCAAGCACACATTATGTCAATGAGTGTGAGTCTGTAGTGTCCAGGATGTGCTATTTGGCCTTAAAATCCCCATAATGAACCCTATTAAGGGCGGCCTTTTAAGGGATGATAGGGTATGATCGCCGACCACGGGTAGCCTTCTTGCGGAAGTTGCGGCAAGCAACCACCGCCAGGACTGCGGAGCAGCCAAAGAGCACCGCACCAACGAGCAGCAGCCAAAAGCCCACCTGGCTACGCAAAGAAGCCTAAGCCCTGAACCCCTACGCATCCGGGCTTGGGCAGTCGGCCGGGAAAACCCTACATCCTAAACCCTAAACCCTAAAACCACCCTAAACTCCTAACCCTAAATCCTAAACCCTAAACCCTAAAACCACCCTAAACTCCTAAACCCGACAAGTTCGAGACCTGGGAATGGGCAGGGCCCCTTGTGTCAGGAAATGCATCGGTTCAACTGCCCATGTGGGCAGAAGGATGCCCGGCGAGGTACTTGCAGGTTCCTGATGACTTACAAGTAGGGTTCTAAGGTTTAGGGTAGATAGGGTTTAGGGTTTAGGGCCAAGTTTAGGGTTTAGGGCTATTCTAGCTAAAGTTGCGGCCATCAACTTTACCTATAGCCCTTTTGTTCTAAGTACCCATGAACCTCCAAGATCCTCCAAGTAGAAACCTTGAAGAGCCGTAAGCTGAACTATGAAAGGGCTCCGCACCTCGTCGTGAGCTGCCTGTAACCATGGAACATCCACCTTCCATGCTAGGGTTTAGGGTTTAGGGTTTAGGGTTTAGGGTTTAGGGTTTAGGGTTTAGGGTTTAGGGTTTAGGGTTTAGGGTTTAGGGTTTAGGGTTTAGGGATCAGCTGGAGGCACACAAGAGGGCCACCGAAGACACATACACAGCTCAAATAACTCTTTCCTAATGAACCAGTCAAGGCACCACCGGGCAACTGCTGGTATGGAAGTGCGTGTTGGACTCGAACATGCTCAGGGCCCCTTTGATTGCCACGACCCTCAGTGACAACTGCGCTGGCTCCGTTTCACCGCAGGTGAGGAGTGCGAAGTGCCAGTCCCTCATTGCCGTCTTCTGGTGCACCTCGATGCGGAAGAAGAAATCTTCACGGTTGTGGGTTTTTCCCAGCTGACGCTTCATGTTTGCGGCACTCAGCTTCTCCTCGCAAGACAGCTGCGCCCAGGAATCCTTCACGGCACCCCAGCGATGCTCGCGTGCATCGAAGGCCAGCAACATCACGGGCCCAGTCTCCCCGAGCTTCTGAGTGCCTTCCCATTCCACGTGAGCTGTCAGCTCTGCTGCCTTCATCTCGTCGGGGCCTGCTTGGCCTAAGCAGAAACCTCCGAGATGCCAGGAACCATTGGTCTGCAGGGTCACGTTGGCTTCCAGCTGCGCGTGCGTCGAGGTAAGGTAGGTCTCGGCGGCAGCGAGTATTGGGAGGGAAAGCATCATGCGAAAGCACCGGAAGGAAGCCATGATCGCGGTCGGTACCGTCTGCTACAGGTACAGCTTGCCTGCAATATGGGAACTGCAAATGCCTGCAGCAGAAAAAGTTATGGCGATTGGTGCGGCGTTGTGCCGGAAAGGACCTCGAAGCACACATGGAAGCAGCGTATGGTTTATGATGAGTACCTGCACCTCTTTACCTACAAATGGCCTATACCTACTACTTCAGCGGTAGTTAGTACGAAACTGTAGGTAAATAGCGTCCCAGGAAAGGCCTGCCGCCTCTCGTCTGTTATCTCTGCGTGCGTGAGAGTCACCAGCACCTCCGAATTTCGAAGCGCTCTATGTAGACTCTACAGCCAGCTGCTGCAACGAGAAACCTTGGACTCTCTTCTCCGATATTGCTCCTCTCATCTACAGGATTCTCTGTTTAGGGTTTAGGGTTTAGGGTTCAGGGTTCAGGGTTTAGGGTTCACTGTGCCTTGCCCAAGGTTCGCTCAGCACCGGGCCACCTTGATAAAAGCAAGCGATGAGGGAAACCTGCAAAACTCGGGGAGTTGCAGCCTCTGCCCGCACAAACTTCGTGCTGATGCGTCAGAGCTGCCTCCAGGGAAGCAGGCCCATGTTCGGCCCGAACAGTCGGCCCAAAAATTGGCACGGCTCAAGGGGAACCCAGACTGCTTGAAGCAGGTGGGCCTCAAACCTTACCCTTCATAAACAGAAATTGTGCGCACACCTTTTCGGTGGGGGTGCGGAGGGGCGGACCGTGCGGAGGAATCGGAGGAATCGCACCGCGATCCGGCCCACCCCATCGAAACGCCTGTACAGAGTCTAAAGGCCGATCACAACCCATAGATGTCTTACACGCAGCTTTCTGATGCCGCCGACTCTTTCGACACTGTGGACACGTCCTGCGGCCAGACCCAAACACAGGCACAAAGCAACTCCACGTGCTCTATGAATATATTCGATGTATCTATGCTCCGGTAGGGAGGTGGCGTGGTTTTATTTCGGCCGAACCTGCAACATCCCACGATTAAACGTGAATTGGAGCCCGATTTGAACTCAAAAAAGAGCACCGCACCCAGGTGAGAGCTACCCGCCAATCATGTCTAGAATCCCTGGCTAGGGTTGAGGGTCTAGAGTTTATCGTTTGGGGTTTAGGGCATAATATCCATGCACTTGTTATTGCACGGAGACTGCAAACCAGCACTGGGAAGTGCACGGATGTCCGCGAATGTATTTGCAAAATATAGTGACTAGATTTCAAGTTGGGCTAACGGCATTTATGCAGAGGATAAGATGCCCTGCCGAAAGTGCACATGTGGTGTTCATGAGCGGAGGCCGGCGAACCCTAAACCCTAAACCCTAAATCCTAAACCCTAAACCCTAAACCCTAAACCCTGATATGACTGGGCCCAGGGTCCGCGTTGGTCTGGCCGTCCACGACTTTTGCCTCTCCGACCTGGTTGCACGGCCTCAAGGAGCTGTCAAGGAGCACCAGGGTTCAGGGTTTAGGGTTCAGGGTTTATAAGCGTTTAGGGAGCACCCTGCGTAATCATTGCGTTTAGGCGAAGTTACTGGAAGGTACCAGCATGGGCTATTGTGCCCTACAACCGCCCAAAAAAGGCCCTGGTTAAACTATGGGGATTTTAGGGCCTCGTAGCCCATGAAGGTAGTTGAACATGTGTGAAAAGCAGCTTCGGAGCAGCCGTGCCTGCCGATCACAGGCGAGGCTCCACCGGCAGCAGCTGCTTCTCGAAAGCGCTGAAGCTCCGCCTGCAGCCAGGAAGCGGTGCTATATACTATTACTATTACTATATATACAGATATATATATATATGTATATATATATATATATCGACAAAAAGCACACACTCACACGCATCACTGATCCATGAATGCCGAACATAGCAACGGCTGGGGGCCTTCTTGCGGAAGTTGCGGCAAACAACCACCGCCAGGACTGCGGAGCAGCCGAAGAGCAGCGCTCCGAGGAGCAGCAGCCAAAAGCCCACCTGGCGGCCCACAGCATCTGAAATCTAGGGCGCGATCTTCTTAGAATGGGGCTATCGAGTATAGGTGGCTATCCTGGACAGTCAAGCGGGTCAACTACGTTGGGACCATGTGGCAGGTCGGCATGACAGGAGTCTGACAGAAAGCTGTATGCTGGACGATCAAGACGATCCCACGCCTCATCGTGGGCGGCCTCCAGCCATGGGACGTCCACCTTAGATTCTTAGATCACAAGCAACTCAAGATGCAACCATGCAGGCGTGCTGCATGGAGCTTGTGCTTCAATACAGCCCTGCAAGCCGCCAGTTCCCTGTGTGACATAGATCTGGGCACAACTGTGATGACATTCTTTAAACATGCGGATTGTTTGAAGACCTGAGCAGGCATCTGTATACTAGGGTTTGGGGTTTAGGGTTTAGGGTTTAGGGTTTAGGGCAGGCCACCAGCACCCATCACCCACCCCCGTACGTGATGTACTTTCACTTCGGGAGCGCTTGTAAGATCATGCCACTCGCGGCTCAAAGGGTTTAGGGTTTATAGGGTTCAGGGTTTATAGGGTATAGGGTTTAGGGTTTCGGGTTTAGGGTTTAGGGGTTAGGGTCAAACCCTGATGATGCAAAGGCGCTATGGGGCAGCTGCTGGCATCGAAGTGCGTGTTAGACTCGAACATGCTCAGGGCCCCTTTGTTTGCCACGAGCCTCAGCGACAATTGCGCCTGCTCCGTTTCCCCGCAGGTGAGGAGTGCGAAGTGCCAGTCCCTCATTGCCGTCTTCTGGTGCACGTCGATGAGGAAGAAGAAATCTTCGAGGTTGTGGGATTTTCCCAGCTGACGCTTCATGTTTGCGGCACTCAGCTTCTCCTCGCAAGACAGCTGGCCCCAAGAATCCTTCACGGCACCCCAGCGATGCTCGCGCGCATCGAAGGCCACCAGCATCACGGGCCCAGTCTCCCCGAGCTCCTGAGTGCCTTCCCATTCCACGTGAGCTACAAGCTCTGCTGCCTTCATCTCCTCGGGGCCTGCTTGGCCTAAGCAGAAACCTCCGAGATGCCAGGAACCATTGGTCTGCAGGGTCACCTTGGCTTCCAGCTGTGCGGGTGTCGAGGAGAAGGAGGTCTCGGCGGCAGCGAGCACCGGGAGCGCAAGCACCAGGTGAAGGCACCGGAAGGAAGCCATGATCGTGGCCTGTACCGTCTGCTACAGGTATAATTTGACCCGCCTACCAGGTACCTAAGTGCAAATGCCTGCAGCAGAGGGAACTGTCGATTTGGTGCAGTGTTGCACCCTCGCATTCCGGAAAGGCCTCTTTACGTGGCCAGCAGCAATCTGCCATGCACACATGGAGGCACTTCACGACGAGAAAAGCCTGCGGCCTCCCGTCTTTTAACTCTGCATGCGAGCCACACGAGCAGCTCCACGTCTCCAATGAGCTCTACAGACTCTTCAGCCAGCTACTAAAACGAGAAAAACCTTGGACTCCCTCATTCCTCACTCGGTCTCCATTCTCAAAAACATGTCTCAGTGTGCCTTGCCCAAGGTTTGCTCAGCACCGGCTACATTGATAAATAACAAGACCAAGTCAACCTGCAACATTTGGGGACCTGCAGGCTCTGGCCGCACAAACTTTGTGTTGATGCGTCAGAGCTGCAGGGAAGCAGGCCAATGTTCGGCCATAGAAATCGGCCCAAAATCTGCATGGCTCAGGGCTTTCTTTCTAACCCTGGGACCCAAACTGCTTGAAGCAGGAGGACCCGAAAGCCTGCCCCTGATAAAAGCCCGAAGAGGAAGATTTCTGCACACACCTTTTCGGTGGGGTGCTGAGGGGTGGACCGTGCGGAGGAATCGCACAAGGAACCGGCACACCCCATAGCCCAAAACGTCTGTACAGAGTCTGAAAGACTATCGACATGTCGACCCATAAACGGTCTTACACACAGCCTTCTGATGCAGCAGCCTCTTTCGACACTGTGGTCACGTCCTGCAGCCAGATTGTTGCTAGATGTGTCTGCCGGACCGACAAAGATGCAGTAGCAGAATTTAAAGGTTTTAGAGTGTAGGTCTACAAGAAGTAAAAGCCTCCGCCCTAAACCCTAGACCTAAACCCTAGACTCTAAACCTTGAAGAGTACCCCAAGCTCCGCAGCTCCGAAAATCACATTGTACAGCTGCGCTACGTTACTTGTACTGTGAAAAACGCGATGGACTTAATCTTGATTCGCAGACGTCGCAGCTCCTGAATTGAGGATTCAGGGTGAATCAGACTCGACAGCAAGGACAACTGCGCACTTCGCAAATAAGCATGCGCACACAGTTGCAGTTGCCGGGGCCTCTGAGGCAGGCGAGGCTGCGAACACTACGTCCCTGCTCTGTCTTGGCGATGTGGTCCGTTCTCAAAATTAGGGCCCCTTTTTGGGTACCCTAAATGAGATCCCAAAAAATTATGCCCGGCCGCCTTGTAATTAATAAGGACCCCAAAGGGACCATGTTTTCGAGTAGTCGCCAGGTTGAGCGATTCTCAGAGGCTTGTGATGTGCACGTGCGCGAGAAATCCTACAGGTTAGGGTTTAGGGTTTGGGGTTTAGGGTTTTAAGGTTTAGGGTTTCGGGTTTAGAGGCCAAAGCCCGTCCCGGCGATGGGGCTTGCGGAGGGCGATTTGGGCCCAACGCGTGCAACCGCACCAGTGGGTGGCACGGAGCCGAGAGCTATACGCGCCAGACCGATCTAGTCCACTTCGCTCCCTGCGTCCTAAACCCATGGTTTGTGCATGGAGAACACCCTGGCAGCAACGTTAAGTGCCCATGGTCCGCGTTGGTTTGGCCGTCCACGACTTTCGCCTCACCGATCTGGTTGCACGGCCTCACAGGCTACTCAAGGATCACACGGTGGCTTCATGCGTCTAGGTGCGGCCTAGTGATGTGCTTGGATGGCATTGCGGAAGACATGGTGCTGAGTATGCAAGTATCAAAGCAACTTCGGAGCGCCTGCCGATCACAGGCGAGGCTCCGCCGGCAGCGGCTGCTTCTCGAAAGCGCTGAAGCTCCGCCTGCAGCCAGGAAGCGTGCTGCGGACAATGCTGCCTTGGTGTTATTTACGCGCATCACTGAATACCGAATAGCAACGGCCGCAGGCCTTCTTGCGGAAGCTGCGGCAAACAACCACCGCGAGGACTGCGGAGCAGCCGAAGAGCAGCGCTCCGAGGAGCAGCAGCCAAAAGCCCACCTGGCGGCCCACAGCATCTGAAATCTAGGGCGCGATCTTCATTGAATCAACTACGTTGGGACCAGGTGGCAGGTCGGCAGGGCAGGCCTCTTGACAAAAAGCTGTATGCTGGACGATCAAACACGAGTCCACGCCTCATCGTGGGCAGCCTCCAGCCATGGGACGTCCACCTTAGATCGCATTCACGCAAGCGACGTGCGAATCAACCATGCAGGAGCGCGCCATGGAGCGTGGAACGCTTGAGATGGATGCCACCCGAATGCTCGAATCTGATGATGCACAGGCGCTACCGGGCAGCTGCTGGCATCGAAGTGCGTGTTGGCCTTGAACATGCTCAAGGCCCCGTTCGTTGCCGACAGCCTCAGGGACAAGGGCGCCTGCTCCGTTTCCCCACACGTGAGGAGCGCAAAGTGCCAGTCCCTGATGGCCGCCTTCTGATGCACGTTGATTGCGAAGGCGAAGTCAGCATAATCATGGGTCTTGCCCAACTGTCGCTTCATGCTTGCGGCACTCAACTTCTCCTCGCAAGACAGCTGGCCCCAAGAATCCTTCACGGCACCCCAGTGATGCTCGCGCGCATCGAAGGCCACCAACATCACGGGTCCCGTCTCCCCGAGGTCCTGGGTGCCTTCCCACTCCACGTGGGCCGCAAGCTCCGCCGCCTTCGTCTCACCCGAGCCTGCCTGGCCTAAGCAGAAACCTCCGAGATGCCAGGAACCATTGGTCTGCAGGGTCACCTTGGCTTCCAGCTGTGCGGGTGTCGAGGAGAAGGAGGTCTCGGCGGCAGCGAGCACTGGGAGGGAAAGCACTACGCGAAGGCACCGGAAGGAAGCCATGATCGTGGCGCTACAGGTATAATTTGACCCGCCTACAAGGTACCTAAGTGCAAATGCCTGCAGCAGAGGGAACTGTCGATTTGGTGCAGTGTTGCACCCTCGCATTCCGGAAAGGCCTCTTTACGTGGCCAGCAGCAATCTGCCATGCACACATGGAAGCACTTCACGACGAGCAAAGCCTGCGGCCTCCCGTCTTTTAACTCTGCATGCGAGCCACACGAGCAGCTCCACGTCTCCAATGAGCTCTACAGACTCTTCAGCCAGCTACTAAAACGAGAAAACCTTGGACTCCCTCATTCCTCACTCGGCCTCTATTCTCTCAGAGCGTCTCAGTGTGCCTTGCCCAAGGTTTGCTCAGCACCGGCTACATTGATAAATAACAAGACCAAGTCAACCTGCAACATTTGGGGACCTGCAGGCTCTGGCCGCACAAACTTTGTGTTGATGCGTCAGAGCTGCAGGGAAGCAGGCCAATGTTCGGCCATAGAAATCGGCCCAAAATCTGCATGGCTCAGGGCTTTCTTTCTAACCTTGGGACCCAAACTGCTTGAAGCAGGAGGACCCGAAAGCCTGCCCCTGATAAGAGCCCGAAGAGGAAGATTTCTGCACACACCTTTTCGGTGGGGTGCTGAGGGGTGGACCGTGCGGAGGAATCGCACCACGAACCATCACACCCCATAGCTCAAAGCGTCTGTACAGAGTCTGAAAACCTATCGACACATCAATCCGTAAACTGTCTTACACGCAGCTTTCTGACCCAGCGGCCTCTTTCCACACTGTGGTCACGTCCTGCAGCCAGATTGTTGCTAGACGTGTCTGCCGGACGGACTAAGATGCAGTAGTAGCATTTAAGGTTTAGAGTTTAGGTCTACCCTAAGTAAAAGCCTCGGCCCTAACCCTAAACCCTAAACTCTACACCCTAGACCCTAAAGAGTACCCCAAGCTCCGAACGTCCTCAACGCAATTGCACTTGTACAGCTGTGCTACGTTACTTGTATTGTGTAGTACGTGCTGGACTTAAATCTTGATTCGCAGATGTCGGAGCATCCTAAATTCAGGATTCAGGGCAAGGCAGCAAGTTGCAGCGGGCCCGTGAGGCATATGTGAGGCTGCAAAACTACGTCCCTGCTCTGTGTTGGCGATGTGGTCAGTTCGCAAAGTTAGGGCCCCTTTTCGGGCACCCTAACAAGAAATGCCCGGCTAGGGTTGAGGGTTGAGGGTTGAGGGTTGAGGGTTGAGGGTTGAGGGTTGAGGGTTGAGGGTTGAGGGTTGAGGGTTGAGGGTTGAGGGTTGAGGGTTTAGGGTTGAGGGTTTAGGGTTTAGGGCTTAGGGTCCCCTGAAAGGAACCAACATGTTTTAGAGAAGTGGCCATGTCGAGCGATTCTCAGAGGCTTGCGATGTGCACGTGCGAGGGACTGAAGTGAAACTGCGATTCGGCGCTGAACGGTTTAGGGTTTAGGGGTTAGGGTTAGGGTTTCGGGATTAGGGTTTATAGGCGATGGGGCTTGCGGAGGGCGATTTGGCCCCAACGTGTGCGCCGCACCCAGTGGCAGCCGGGCGTGAGCTATATGTGCTAGACCCATCTAATCCCCTTGGCTCCCGGCCTCATAAACCCACGGTTTGTGCACTTTGAGAAAACCCTGGTTTACACAATGTGGTATATATTCTTTGTGCCCATGGTCCGCGTTGGTCTGGCCGTCCACGACTTTTGCCTCGCCGGTCTGGTTGCACGGCCTCACAGGCTACTCCAAGATCACACACTGTGGCTTCATGCGTCAAGGGAGGCCTAGTGATGCGCTTGAATGGCATTGTGGTCGGGAATCAATATGAAAACTATTAACAGTATCTTGGGAGCAGCAGCGCCTGCCGATCACAGGCGAGGCTCCGCCGGCAGCAGCTGCTTCTCGAAAGCGCTGAAGCTCCGCCTGCAGGAAGCGTGCTGGGCCAATAGACAACTGACTATCGTCAAGCATACGCGCATCACAATCGCAACGGCCGCAGGCCTTCTTGCGGAAGTTGCGGCACACAACCACCGCCAGGACCGCGGAGCAGCCGAAGAGCAGCGCTCCGAGGAGCAGCAGCCAAAAGCCCACCTGGCTGCCCACAGCATCTGAAATGTAAGGCGCGATGCCCTAAACCCTAAACCCGATAATTAAACCCTAAACCCTAAACCGGCTATCCTGCACAGTCAAGGGGCTCAACCCTTACCAAGTACGTTGGGACCATGTGGCAGGTCGGCAGGACAGGACTCTTGACAAAAAGCTGTGTTCTGGACAATCAAAACCACGCCTCATCGTGGGCGGCCCCCAGCCATGGGACGTCCACCTTAGACTGCGTTCACGCAAGCGACGTGCGCCATGGAGCGTGGAACGCTTGAGATCGTGCCACCCGATGCTCAAATCTGATGATGCACAGGCGCTACCGGGCAGCTGCTGGCATCGAAGTGCGTGTTGGCCTTGAACATGCTCAAGGCCCCGCTCGTTGCCGACAGCCTCAGGGACAAGGGCGCTTGCTCCGTTTCCCCACATGTGAGGAGTGCGAAGTGCCAGTCCCTGATCGCCGTCTTCTGATGCACGTGGATTCTGAAGGCGAAGTCAGCGTACTCATGGGTCTTGCCCAGCTGTCGCTTCATGTTTGCGGCACTCAGCTTCTCCTCGCAAGACAGCTGGCCCCAAGAATCCTTCACGGCACCCCAGTGATGCTCGCGCGCATCGAAGGCCACCAACATCACGGGTCCCGTCTCCCCGAGCTCCTGAGTGCCTTCCCACGCCACGTGAGCTGTCAGCTCTGCGGCCTTCGTCTCCTCGGGGCCTGCCTGGCCTAAGCAGAAACCTCCGAGATGCCAGGAACCATTGGTCTGCAGGGTCACCTTGGCTTCCAGCTGTGCGGGTGTCGAGGAGAAGGAGGTCTCGGCGGCAGCGAGCACTGGGAGGGAAAGCACTACGCGAAGGCACCGGAAGGAAGCCATGATCGTGGCGCTACAGGTATAATTTGACCCGCCTACAAGGTACCTAAGGGCAAATGCCTGCAGCAGAGGGAACTGTCGATTTGGTGCAGTGTTGCACCCTCGCATTCCGGAAAGGCCTCTTTACGTGGCCAGCAGCAATCTGCCATGCACACATGGAAGCACTTCACGACGAGCAAAGCCTGCGGCCTCCCGTCTTTTAACTCTGCATGCGAGCCACACGAGCAGCTCCACGTCTCCAATGAGCTCTACAGACTCTTCAGCCAGCTACTAAAACGAGAAAACCTTGGACTCCCTCATTCCTCACTCGGCCTCTATTCTCTCAGAGCGTCTCAGTGTGCCTTGCCCAAGGTTTGCTCAGCACCGGCTACATTGATAAATAACAAGACCAAGTCAACCTGCAACATTTGGGGACCTGCAGGCTCTGGCCGCACAAACTTTGTGTTGATGCGTCAGAGCTGCAGGGAAGCAGGCCAATGTTCGGCCATAGAAATCGGCCCAAAATCTGCATGGCTCAGGGCTTTCTTTCTAACCTTGGGACCCAAACTGCTTGAAGCAGGAGGACCCGAAAGCCTGCCCCTGATAAGAGCCCGAAGAGGAAGATTTCTGCACACACCTTTTCGGTGGGGTGCTGAGGGGTGGACCGTGCGGAGGAATCGCGCCAGGAACCGGCACACCCCATAGCCCAAAACGTCTGTACAGAGTCTGAAAGACTATCGACATATCGACCCATAAACTGTCTTACACACAGCCTTCTGACGCAGCAGCCTCTTTCCACACTGTGGTCACGTCCTGCAGCCAGATTGTTGCTAGATGTGTCTGCCGGACCGACAAAGATGCAGTAGTAGCATTTAGGGTTTAGAGTCTAGAGTTTAGGTCTACCCTAAGAAAAAGCCTCGGCCCTAACCCTAAACCCTAAACTCTACACCCTAAACCCTAAACCCTAAAGAGTACCCCAAGCTCCAATTGTCCTCAACGCAATTGCACTTGTACAGCTGCGCTACGTTACTTGTATTGTGTAGTACGCGCTGGACTTAATCTTGATTCGCAGATGTCCCTAAACCCTAAACCCTAAACCCTAAACCCTAAACCCTAAACCCTAAACCCTAAACCCTAAACCTCGGAGCATACTGAATTCAGGATTCAGGACGCTCAAACCCGACATCAAGGACACTTTCGCACTTGGCAAGGCAGCAAGTTGCAGGGGGCCTGTGAGGCATGTGAGGCTGCAAACTACGTCCCTGCTCTGTGTTGGCGATGTGGTCAGTTCTCAAAGCTAGGGCCCCTTTTCGGGTACCCTAAACAAGAAATGCCCGGCCGCCTTACAATAGGACCTCCTAAACCCTAAACCCTAAACTCTAAACAATGTTTTAGAGAAGTGGCATGTCGAGCGATTCTCAGAGGCTTGCGATGTGCACGTGCGCGGGACTGAAAGCACGATTCGGCGCTGAACGGTGTAGGGTTTAGGGTTTAGGGGTTAGGGGTTAGGGGTTAGGGTTTAGGGTTTATAGGGTTTATTTAGGCCCGAGAGGCCAAAACCCGTCCCGGCGATGCGGCGATTCGGCCCCAACCTGCGCGCCGCGCCCAGTGGCTCCCAGGCGAGAGCTAGATGCGCCAGACCCATCTAGTCCCCTTCGCTCCCGGCCTCATAAACCCATGACTTGCGCACTTTTGGGAAAACCCTGGTAGCAATGTGGATTTATATTCTTTGTGCCCATGGTCCGCGTTGGTCTGGCCGTCCACGACTTTTGCCAGACCGGTCTGGTTGCATGGCCTCACAGGCTACTCCAAGATCACACACTGTGGCTTCAGGCGTCAAGGTGAGGCCTAGTGATGCGCTTGAATGGCATTGTTTTCGGGAATCAATATGAAAACTATTAACAGTATCTTGGGAGCAGCAGCGCCTGCCGATCACAGGCGAGGCTCCGCCGGCAGCAGCTGCTTCCCGAAAGCGCTGAAGCTCCGCCTGCAGCCAAGAACCGTGCTGAGGCCAATGCTGCCCAGGAGCTCTGGACAAAACAAGCACTCGCGCATCACTGAATACCGAATATAGCAACGGCTGGGGGCCTTCTTGCGGAAGTTGCGGCAAACAACCACCGCCAGGACTGCGGAGCAGCCGAAGAGCAGCGCTCCGAGGAGCAGCAGCCAAAAGCCCACCTGGCTGCCCACAGCGTCTGAAATCTAGGGCGCGATCTTCTTTGAATGGGGCTATAGGCGGCTATACCGGACAGTCAAGGGGCTCAACCCGGATCAACTACGTTGGGACCAGGTGGCAGGTCGGCTGGACAGGCCTCTTGACAAAAAGCTGTATGCTGGAAGATCAAAGACGAGTCCACGCCTCATCGTGGGCGGCCTCCAGCCATGGGACGTCCACCTTAGACTGCGTTCACGCAAGCGACGTGTGCCATGGAGCGTGGAATGCTTGAGATCGTGCCACCCGATGCTCAAATCTGATGATGCGCAGGCGCTACCGGGCAGCTGCTGGCATCGAAGTGCGTGTTGGCCTTGAACATGCTCAAGGCCCCGTTCGTTGCCGACAGCCTCAGGGACAAGGGCGCCTGCTCCGTTTCCCCACACGTGAGGAGCGCGAAGTGCCAGTCCCTGATTGCCGTCTTCTGATGCACGTGGATTCTGAAGGCGAAGTCAGCAAAATCATGGGTCTTGCCCAGCTGTCGCTTCATGTTTGCGGCACTCAACTTCTCCTCGCAAGACAGCTGGCCCCAAGAATCCTTCACGGCACCCCAGCGATGCTCGCGCACATCGAAGGCCACCAACATCACGGGTCCCGTCTCCCCGAGCTCCTGGGTGCCTTCCCACTCCACGTGGGCGGCAAGCTCCGCCGCCTTCGTCTCACCCGAGCCTGCTTGGCCTAAGCAGAAACCTCCGAGATGCCAGGAACCATTGGTCTGCAGGGTCACCTTGGCTTCCAGCTGCGCGGGCGTCGAGGAGAAGGAGGTCTCGGCGGCAGCGAGCACTGGCAGCGCAAGCACTACGCGAAGGCACCGGAAGGAAGCCATGATCGCGGTCGGTACCGTCTGCTACAGCTACAGGTATATAGCTTGACCTGCAATATGAAAACTGCAAATGCCTGCAGCAGAAAAAACCGATCGCACCCGTGCATTCCGGAAAGGCCTACACAAGGCTGGCAGCAATCTACCATGCACACGCGGAAGCACTTCACGATGAGCAAAGCCTGCGGCCTTGGACTCCCTCTTTCCTGACTCGGCCTCCATTCTCGAAGAATATGTCTCAGTGTGCCTTATAACGTCTACATTGAATTGCTCAACAAAAAGACCACGTAAACCTGCAACATTTAGGGAGCAGCAGCCTCTGGCCGCACATACTTTGTGTTGATGCGTCAGAGCTGTCTCCATGCAGGGAAGCAGGCCAATGTTTGGCCCTAGAAATCGGCCCCAAATTTCTACATCGCTCAGGGCTTTCTTTCAAAACCTGCTTAAGCAGGAGGACCTGCAAGCCTGCCCCTGATAAGAGGCCAAAGAGAAAGACTTGTGCACAGACCTTTTCGGTGGGGTGCTGAGGGGTGGACCGTGCGGAGGAATCGCGCCAGGAACCGGCACACCCCATATCTCAAAACGTCTGTACAGAGTCTGAAAACCTATCGACACATCGACCCATACACTGTCCTACACACAGCCTTCTGAAACAGCAGCCTCTTTCCCCGCTGTGGTCACGTCCTGCCACGACAAAGATGCAGCAGCAACGTTTAGGGCTTGTGGAGTTTAGGTCTAGCCTACGTAAAAGCCCAGCCCTAAACCTCAACCCAACACACCCTAAAGAGCACCCCAAGCTCCACAGCGCCGCTGTGCAGCTGCGCTACGATACTTGTATTGTGAAAAACGCGGTGGACTTAAATCTTGGTTCGCAGCCGTCGCATTTCCTGAAGGATTTCGAGTTGGCCCCAACATGTGTACCTCACCCCATATGCGAAAGACCGAAGTCCCCTGCGTCCTAAACCAATGACTTGCGCACATAGAGAGAAAACCCTGGTTTACACACTGTGGTATACAATTCTTTGTGCCCATGGTCCGTGTTGGTCTGGCCGTCCACGACTTTTGCCTCGCCGATCTGGTTGCACGGCCTCCCAAGCTACTCAAGCATCACACCTGTGGCTTCATGCGTCAAGGTGAGGCCAAGTGATGCGCTTGAATGGCATTGAGAGGAAGACATGGTGTTGAGTATGGTCGCACATCGGAGCGCCTGCCGATCACAGGCGAGGCTCCACCGGCAGCAGCTGCTTCTCGAAAGCGCTGAAGCTCCGCCTGCAGCCAGGAACCGTGCTGCGGCCAGGTGCTTTTGAAAACTGATTGTCGTTAGAAAGGTGTTGCCAGAGCCGTCTCAAGCATACGCGCGTCCCTGAATACCGAAAAGAGCAACGGCCGCAGGCCTTCTTGCGGAAGCTGCGGCACACAACCACCGCCAGGACTGCGGAGCAGCCGAAGAGCAGCGCTCCGAGGAGCAGCAGCCAAAAACCCACCTGGCTGCCCACAGCATCTGAAATCTACGAGTAGGGCGTGATCTGCTTGAAAGGGGGCTATAGGCTATCCTGGACAGTCAAGGGGCTCAACCCTTACCAAGTACGTTGCATTGGGACCATGTGGCAGGTCGGCAGGGCAGGACTCTTGACAAAAAGCTGTGTTCTGGACAATCAAATCCACGCCTCATGTATTGCGAGATCTCTTTTGCATGGGGCTATAGGCGGCTATCCTGCACAGTCAAGGGGCTCAACCCTTACCAACTACGTTGGTAAGGGCGTGATCTTCTTTGAATAGGGCTATCGAGTATAGGTAGCTATCCTGGACAGTCAAGCGGGTCAACTACGTTGGGACCATGTGGCAGGTCGGCAGGACAGGACTCTGACAGAAAGCTGTGTGCTGGAAGATCACAGACGAGTCTACGCCTCATCGTGAGCGGCCTCCAGCCATGGGACGTCCACCTTAGATTGCATTCACGCAAGCGACGTGAGAATCAACCATGCAGGAGTGCGCCATGGAGCGTGGAACGCTTGAGATCGTGCCACCCGATGCTCAAATCTGATGATGCGCAGGCGCTACTGGGCAACTGCTGGCATCGAAGTGCGTGTTGGCCTTGAACATGCTCAAGGCCCCGTTCGTTGCCGACAGCCTCAGGGACAAGGGCGCCTGCTCCGTTTCCCCACACGTGAGGAGCGCGAAGTGCCAGTCCCTGATCGCCGTCTGCTGAGGCACGTTGATTCTGAAGACAAAGTCAGCATAAGTATGGGACTTGCCCAGCTGTCGCTTCATGTTTGCGGCACTCAGCTTCTCCTCGCAAGACAGCTGGCCCCAAGAATCCTTCACGGCACCCCAGCGATGCTCGCGCGCATCGAAGGCCACCAACATCACGGGTCCCGTCTCCCCGAGCTCCTGAGTGCCTTCCCACGCCACGTGAGCTGTCAGCTCTGCGGCCTTCGTCTCCTCGGGGCCTGCTTGGCCTAAGCAGAAACCTCCGAGATGCCAGGAACCATTGGTCTGCAGGGTCACCTTGGCCTCCAGCTGCGCGGGCGTCGAGGAGAAGGAGGTCTCGGCGGCAGCGAGCACTGGCAGCGCAAGCACCAGGTGAAGGCACCGGAAGGAAGCCATGATCGCGGTCGGTACCGTCTGCTACAGCTACAGGTATAGCTTGACCTGCAATATGAAAACTGCAAATGCCTGCAGCAGAAAAAACCGATCGCACCCGTGCATTCCGGAAAGGCCTATCACAAGGCTGGCAGCAATCTACCATGCACACATTGAAGCACTTCACGATGAGCAAAGCCTGCGGCCTTGGACTCCCTCTTTCCTGACTCGGCCTCCATTCTCGAAGAATGTCTCAGTGTGCCTTATAACGGCTACATTGCTCAACAAAAAGACCACGTAAACCTGCAACATTTAGGGAGCAGCAGCCTCTGGCCGCACAAACTTTGTGTTGATGCGACAGAGCTGTCTCCAGGGAAGCAGGCCAATGCTCGGCCCTAGAATTCGGCCCCAAATTTCTACATGGCTCAGGGCTTTCTTTCAAAACCTTAGGGCCCAAACTGCTTAAGCAGGAGGACCTGCAAGACTGCCCCGGATAAGAGGCCAAAGAGAAAGATTTGTGCACACACCTTTTCGGTGGGGTGCTGAGGGGTGAACCGCGCGGAGGAATCGCACCACGAACCGGCACACCCCATAGCTCAAAACGTCTGTACAGAGTCTGAAAACCTATCGACAAATCGATCAATAAACTGTCTTACACACAGCCTTCTGAAACAGCAGCCTCTTTCCCCGCTGTGGTCACGTCCTGCCACGACAAAGATGCAGCAGCAACATTTATAGGGCTTATGGAGTTTAGGTCTAGCCTACGTAGAAGCCCCAGCCCTAAACCTCAACCCTACACACCCTAAAGAGCACCCCAAGCTCCGCAGCTCCGACAATTACACTGTACAGCTGCGCTACGATACTTGTATTGTGAAAAACGCGATGGACTTAATCTTGAATCGCAGCCGTCGCATTTCCTGAAGGATTTCGAGTTGGCCCCAACATGTGCACCTCACCCTATATGCGCCAGATCGAAGTCCCCTGCGTCCTAAACCAATGACTTGCGCACTCTCGAGAAAACCCTGGTTTACACAATGTGGCATACCATTCTTTGTGCCCATGGTCCGCGTTGGTCTGGCCGTCCACGACTTTTGCCTCGCCGATCTGGTTGCACGGCCTCCCAAGCTACTCAAGCATCCAACCTGTGGCTTCATGCGTCTATAGGTGAGGTCTAGTGATGCGCTTGAATGGCATTGTGAGGAAGATATTGTGTTGAGTATGGTGGTTTTTTGAATATCAAAGTAACTTCGGAGCGCCTGCCGATCACAGGCGAGGCTCCACCGGCAGCAGCTGCTTCTCGAAAGCGCTGAAGCTCCGCCTGCAGCCAGGAACAGCGCTGCGGCCGATGCTGCCCAGGTGCTATTGAAGCGCATCACTATTGCAACGGCCGCAGGCCTTCTTGCGGAAGTTGCGGCAAACAACTACCACCAGGACCGCGGAGCAGCCAAGGAGCAACGCTCCGAGGAGCAGCAGCCAAAAACCCACCTGGCTGCCCACAGCATCTGAAATGTAAGGCGCGATACCCTAAACCCTATAAACCCTAAACCCTAAACCCCAAACCGGCTATCCTGCACAGTCAAGGGGCTCAACCCGGATCAACTACTTTGGGACAATGTGGCAGGTCGGCAGGACAGGACTCTTCTTGACAAAAAGCTGTGTTCTGGACAATCAAACCCACGCCTCATCGTGGGCGGCCTCCAGCCATGGGACGTCCACCTTAGACTGCGTTCACGCAAGCGACGTGCGCCATGGAGCGTGGAACGCTTGAGATCGTGCCACCCGATGCTCAAATCATCTCAAATCTGATGATGCACAGGCGCTACCGGGCAGCTGCTGGTATCGAAGTGCGTGTTGGCCTTGAACATGCTCAAGGCCCCGTTCGTTGCCGACAGCCTCAAGGACAAGGGCGCCTGCTCCGTTTCCCCACACGTGAGGAGCGCGAAGTGCCAGTCCCTGATCGCCGTCTTCTGACGCACGTTGATTCTGAAGGCGAAGTCAGCATAATCATGAGTCTTGCCCAGCTGTCGCTTCATGTTTGCGGCACTCAGCTTCTCCTCGCAAGACAGCTGGCCCCAAGAATCCTTAACGGCACCCCAGCGATGCTCGCGCGCATCGAAGGCCACCAACATCACGGGTCCCGTCTCCCCGAGCTCCTGAGTGCCTTCCCACGCCACGTGAGCTGTCAGCTCTGCGGCCTTCGTCTCCTCGGGGCCTGCTTGGCCTAAGCAGAAACCTCCGAGATGCCAGGAACCATTGGTCTGCAGGGTCACCTTGGCCTCCAGCTGCGCGGACGTTGAGGAGAAGGAGGTCTCGGCGGCAGCGAGCACTGGCAGCGCAAGCACCAGGTGAAGGCACCGGAAGGAAGCCATGATCGCGGTCGGTACCGTCTGCTACTGGTATCGCTTGACCCTCCTACGATATACCTAACTGCAAATGCCTGCATCGGAGGAGACGATCGATTGGTGCAGCGCTACTCCTTTGAATTCCGGAAAGGCCTCTATTCGAGGCCGGCAGCAATGTACCATGCACACATGGAAGCACTTCACGACGAGCAAAGCCTGCAGTCTCTCGTCTTTTAACTCTGCATGTCACGAGAAGCCCCACATCTCCATAAGCTCTACAGACTCCAAAGCCAACTAAAACGAGAAAACCTTGGACGCCATCATTCCTCGCTCGGCCTCTATAAAGAATGTCTCAGTGTGCCTTGTCCAAGGTCGCTCAGCACCGGCTACATTGATAAATGAAACGCCTGCAACATTTGGGGACCTGCAGCGTCTGGCCGCACAAACTTTGTGTTGATGCGTCGGAGCTGCAGGGGCGCAGGTCACTGTTCGGCCCTAGAAATCGGCCCAAAATCTGCATGGCTCAGGGCTTTCTTTCTAACCTTGGGACCCAAACTGCTTGAAGCAGGAGGACCCGAAAGCCTGCCCCTGATAAGAGCCCAAAGAGGAAGATTTCTGCACACACCTTTTCGGTGGGGTGCTGAGGGGTGGACCGTGCGGAGGAATCGCGCCAGGAACCGGCACACCCCATAGCTCACAACGTCTGTACAGAGTGTGAAGGACTATCGACACATCGACCCATAAACTGTCTTACACACAGCCTTCTGACCCAGCAGCCTCTTTCCACACTGTGGTCACGTCCTGCAGCCAGATTGTTGCTAGACGTGTCTGCCGGACCGGCAAAGATGCAGCAGTAGCATTTAGGACCTATAGAGTTTAGGTCTACCCTAAGTAAAAGCCTGAGCCCTAAACCCTAGTACGCGACGGACTATGAATCTAGATTCGCAGACGTCGGAGCAACCTGAATTCAGGATTCAGGACGCTCAGACCCGACATCAAGGACACTTTCGCACTTGGCAAGGCAGCACGCGCACACAATTGCAGCGCACCTGTCGGGCATGTGAACCTATACGCACTACCTCCCTGCTCTGTTTTGGCGCTAGGTTGTAACCTAGGATTAAAAAGGGTGCCTTTTTTTGCTTAAAGGGGTTTATATAGGGGAACGCCCCCTAGAGCCCCCAAAAAGGGAATAAGGGCACTACTGGGCATCCTAGGTGGTCAGTTCTCAAAGTTAGGGTGCCTTTTTGGGGTACCCTCAATCAGAGGGGCCCGGCCGCCTTCAAACAAGGACCCCCAAAAGGGACCACGCTGAACGGTTTAGGAGTTTAGGGTTTAGGGTTTTAAGGTTTGGGGTTTATACGTCCACGCGCTGGGGCTTGTGGAGGGCGATTTGGCCCCAACGTGTGCACTGCGCCCAGTGGCACACAGGCAAGCACTAGATGCGCTAGACCCATCCAGTCCCCCTCGCTCCCGGCCTCATAAACCCATGACTTGCGCACTTTTGAGAAAACCCTGCATGGTAGCAATGTGGATTTATATTCTTTGTGCCCATGGTCCGCGTTGGTCTGGCCGTCCACGACTTTTGCCTCACCTGTCTGGTTGCACGGCCTCACAGGCTACTCAAGGATCACTCCGTGGCTTCATGCGTCAAGGTGAGGCCTAGTGATGCGCTTGAATGGCATTGTGGTCGGGAATCAATATTAAAACTATAAACAGTATCTTGGGAGTAGCAGCGCCTGCCGATCACAGGCGAGGCTCCACCGGCAGCAGCTGCTTCTCGAAAGCGCTGAAGCTCCGCCTGCAGCCAGGAACCGTGCTGCGGCCGATGCTGTCCAGGTGCTATTGACAACTGACTATCGTCAAGCACACGCGCATCACTATTGCAACGGCCGCAGGCCTTCTTGCGGAAGTTGCGGCAAAGAACCACCGCCAGGACTGCGGAGCAGCCGAAGAGCAACGCTCCGAGGAGCAGCAGCCAAAAACCCACCTGGCTGCCCACAGCATCTGAAATCTAGGGCGTGATCTGCTTTGCAAAAAGGCTACAGGCGGCTATCCTGGACAGTCAAGGGGGGTCAACCCTTACCAACTACCATGTGGCAGGTCGGCAGAAAGCTGTATGCTGGACGATCAAAGACGAGTCCACGCCTCATCGTGGGCGGCCTCCAGCCATGGGACGTCCACCTCATGCAGAAGTGGGCCATGGAGCGTGAACAAGAGTCGTTGTTTCGTGGCAGGCCCCTTTCATGGCATGTCTAGGTTCGGCACCAAGACATGATGTGAATCTCTACATGTTAACCCCTTGAGCTGAGAAAGGGCTTGAGAATAATGCCACCCGATGCTGAAATCTGATGATGCACAGGCGCTACCGGGCAGCTGCTGGCATCGAAGTGCGTGTTGGCCTTGAACATGCTCAAGGCCCCGTTCGTTGCCGACAGCCTCAGGGACAAGGGCGCCTGCTCCGTTTCCCCACACGTGAGGAGCGCGAAGTGCCAGTCCCTGATCGCCGTCTTCTGATGCACGTGGATTCTGAAGGCAAAGTCTGCAAAATCATGGGTCTTGCCCAGCTGTCGCTTCATGTTTGCGGCACTCAACTTCTCCTCGCAAGACAGCTGGCCCCAGGAATCCTTCACGGCACCCCAGCGATGCTCGCGCGCATCGAAGGCCACCAACATCACGGGTCCCGTCTCCCCGAGCTCCTGAGTGCCTTCCCATTCCACGTGAGCTGTCAGCTCTGCTGCCTTCATCTCCTCGGGGCCTGCTTGGCCTAAGCAGAAACCTCCGAGATGCCACGAACCATTGGTCTGCAGGGTCACCTTGGCCTCCAGCTGCGCGGGCGTCGAGGAGAAGGAGGTCTCGGCGGCAGCGAGCACCGGGAGGGAAAGCACTACGCGAAGGCACCGGAAGGAAGCCATGATCGTGGCCGGTACCGTCTGCTACAAGGTACCTAGGTGCAAATGCCTGCAGCAGAGGGAACTGTCGATTTGGTGCAGTGTTGCACCCTCGCATTCCGGAAAGGCCTATACCATACGGGCGGCAATCTGCCATGCACACATGGAGGCACTTCACGAAGAGCAAAGCCTGCAGCCTCCCGTCTTTTAACTCTGCATGTGAGTCACGAGCAGCTCCACATCTCCATGAGCAACTACTAAAACGAGAAACCCTTGGACGCCCTCATTCCTCATTCCGCACTCGGCCTCTACTCCCGAAGAATGGGTTTAAGGTTTCACTCACCTTGGCTTGCAGCTGTGCAGGCATCGAGGAGAAGAACGTCTCCGCAGCAGCGAGCGCGGGAAGGCATCATGCGAAGGCACAAGCAGCAAAGCCTTGACTGACTCTCTGAGTTGTCCAGTAGCCTGGGGGAAGGTTAAACTTTGGGATTATAAGGGGATTGTACTACCCCAAAATGGTTAAAGGTTACCTACTCTACTACTAGGAAACTTTGGGAGTTGTGACCTCGCCTTCAGAATGCAAATGGCTACTCGAGCAACATCTGGGCCAGCGCAGCGGGCGTCAATGCTGATCGCAGAACTGCATCTACGTGAACAAACTGCCCATGACCAGTCTATGTACGACTGCTTTCAGCACGCATCGCCCTAAACCCTAAACCCTAAACCCTAAACTTTAAACCCCAAAACTTTTGGAAACCATGCACTTGAAGGTGGCACAGCCAAGTCCTTTCTTGATGTTGCTCAACACCTTTGCTCGTGGCTGTGCATGTATATGTGCCGGTCGAACTGCTATTCCTTCCGGGCTGTCCCTGCTGCTGTGACATACACGGTACATGGACCCCGAGGGATTCATACCCCTTGAAGCCTAAACCCTAAACCCTAAAGCCTAAAGCCTAAACCCTAAACCCTAAACCCTAAGGTACATGGACCCCTTGAAGCCTCTGCCCGAATCCTGTGCACAGGGGGGCGGTCCGATAGTAGATCGCTTCATCCGGCTGGATGCGAATCACAAGCTCATTCTGTGGCTGGTCCTAGGGTTTAGGGCTTAGGGTTTAGGGTTTTAGGGTTTAGGGTTTAGGTTTTAGAGTTTAGGGCTTCGGGTTTGGGGTTTAGGGTTCCGTGCTGAACAAGGTGGTGTCGTCGGTGTATGGGTGTGGCTCTGGCTTTGTCGGCCTACTTTGGAGTAGACCGTAGAAAAAGCATACATGCTTTTCAGGTATAAGTAGCCATAATAGGTACCCAGAAACAAAAAAAACCTAAACCCTAAACCCTAAACCCTAAATCCTAAACCCTAAACCCTAAACCCTAAACCCTAAAAAAGACTAAGTATAGCACTCCGAACCCAGGAAGTTTTGCGTCCATGCACGCGTACGCCCGCGAGCAAATCCCTAATCCTAAGCTTTAACCAGGGGTGCCCTTCAACCACTTTTGCACAATAAGCATATACATATGTGTGTATATTTGTTTTAACATAACAAGTGTATGTATGTGAATATATATATATATGTGTACTTATACATGCATAATATATATATATATATATAAAGATGTATTTATTTATCTATTCTTTATGTATATATTTATACATTTTAGGGCGGCGCCAAACGGAGCTGGGGACCCTGCGCCGAACAGGCTCTGTGGCGGAGCCTTCTTGAACTGAAGACGCCTCAGCCAGCCAGGATTTGGGTTGATGTACCCTATACTTGGAGGGTTCATTAGGGTATTTATATGGGGGGTTAGGTTTAGGGTTTAGGGTGCTTAGGGTTTAGGGCTACTTGGAGGTACATTTTGGTACTTACAAGTATGGCTATAAGTAGGGCAACTATGGTTATGACCATATTCAGGGTGCTTGTACCTAGAAGTACCCATGAACCTTCAAGTATCCTTCCAGGGACCTAATTATGGGGCCTCCTTAGGCCCTAAACTTAAACCCTTTGTTGTGGCAGGCTTTAGGGCCTAAATCCTAGCCCCTAGTTCTGATGTGCATTAGGTCCCTGCAAGGATATAGGCAACAAGTTGAAACAGACCCGTAGCCTGAGGATCTTCCGGAATAAGTCGGCTGCTGAAAGTTCCTACGGGTCATGACCCTAAGGATCCATGTACGTTTACATAGCAACTAACCACCTGGGGCCTAAAGCTTTTACATAGAAACACCGTTAATCCTCCAGGTAAATATACTATGTATATTGTATACATGGACACTTGGGGTTTAGGGTCTTCTCGAAAAACGCCATGCTGCGATGGATAAGCGGCCATGCTGGCCTGATGTCAGTCAAAGCTTCTGACAAAAAGAACTCCTCAATTGTCAGCAGACTTACATGACTTACGTGAACATCCCTCGTTCTACTCGCTGGCAGGCGCTTAGTTTTTTAATGGCTCACATGCCTCTTGACATAACCCATTTCCCCATACAGAAACATAAATCAACATCTTCAAACGTTTCCACCTTGAAACTATGCCTTGCACTTGGGCGCTCCCGCAATGTTTTTGGGATGTGGTGTTCGGACCTCTGGGGGTGGGGGGCCCTCCATGGTACTCTGCGAGATTCTGGGGAGGTAGGCGCTCCGGGGTTTAGGGTTTAGGGTTTAGGGTTTAGGGTTTAGGGTTTAGGGTTTAGGGTTTAGGGTTTAGGGTTTAGGGTTTAGGGTTTAGGGTTTGGTGTTTCGGGTTTAGGGTTTAGGGGGGTACATTGTGGGCACTCCAATTTAGAGGGGTCAGAAGTAATGATGATGATGCGCATGGGGCGAGGTGGCATTTCGATTCCGCCCACGAAGGACAAGCATTCGCCGAGCGCAATAACAAATGGAAGAACAAAGCACAACAGATTGGAGGGCATGGGCAGCCACCCGAAACCCTGAACCCTGAACCCTAAACCCTAAACCCTAAACATCTACCTTTTGCCTTCATGAGGGCGGTCCTGGAGTTTTGGAGCAGAGAGCCACCCGAAACCCTAAACCCTAAACCCTAAACCCTAAACCCTAAACCCTAAACCCCCGTCAAGTGCAGACCTCGGGCTGCGGCACGATGGTCGAACGTCTCTCAAGGCTTTTGCCGGCCTTCATGATGATGGGGACATTGGACCTGGGTAGTTTAGGGTTTAGGGTTTAGGGTTTAGGGTTTGGGGACATTGGACCTGGGGGAGTTTAAGGGTTTAATTGGGGTCGAGCAAGCAAGGCTAAGGGTCGAAAGGGTTTAGGGCTTCGGGAAATCCAAGTAGGTACCAGAGGAATCGCATTTTGCGACCTAAAACTGCTACACTTCTTCATTTTGATATACACGGCGGGCTCCAAGACTCTCTGGCTCAAGCTGATGTTACTTCGGCAGCAGCCATTGCGCAGTCTCCTTGCTTTGGGCGGGGGAAAGGGGTGGACATCCCTAAACCCTAAAACCCTAAAACCCTAAAACCCTAAAACTCTAAACCCTAAACCCTAAACCCCAAGTTTTTGGGATTCCGGTAGTCAGGGTTTAGGGTTTAGGGTTTAGGGTTTAGGGTCGAGCGACATGGCCGGCACAGCAAAGTCTTAGGGGGACCCTGGGCCCCTAGGGGAACTGCGGCCATCAGGCGCCCCAAACCCTAAAAACCCTCTCAACCCACACAAAAAAAACCTTCAAAAGCCTGTAAACCCTCAGAAGTCCTATAAAGCCGATAAGGCCTCTGAAGCCTGCTTGGAGGTTCATGGGTACTTTGAACTTCTAACCTCAACTCTAAGTCTACTCAGAACCTACTTCGAGGACTTAGAGGACTTAGGGGACAGAGGGGTCTTGTAAGGTTGAAGGGAGCCTAGCAGGATGCGAGGGTTTCGAGGTCTAGTTGCAGGGTTATGGGGTTGCAGGCTCAAAGGTTTAGGGAAGGAGGTAGAACCCTGTTAAAGCCTTCAAGCCCTCCACCCTTGCCTGCAGTAGCGATTTCAAGCAGCCCTAAACCCTAAATCCTAAACCCTAAATCCCAAACCCTATAAACCCTAAACCCCTTGGCACCCCAAGCCCCTGAGGGAAGAGCCATCTCTCATTGTCAAGGTGCAGGACCTTGGAAGATGCCATGCGAATACTTGGAGAGTCAGGGTCTATTACCCCCACCTCAAAATGGTTTAGGGTTTAGGGTTTAGGGTTTAGGGTTTAGGGGTTTAGGGGTTTAGGGGTTTAGGGTTAACGGTTTAGGGTTTAGGGCTACTTGGAGGGTCAGGGTCCTTTTCACCCCAATTCGTTTAACCAAGTAAGTTATAGGTAGACTCATATTTGGGGTTTTAAAGTACCCATGAACCTCCAAAGTAGAGAGTCCACGGTTGAGGGTTTAGGGTTTAGGGTCTAGGACTACTAGATCCAAGAGGAACCTAGGAATGAGCAGAGCGCCCTTTTGGTTTTAGAGGGGCTTTATCAGAGAACCTAAGGCTTAAACAAGGGAAGAAGGGCCGACTCTGTATTCGAGATTTTTCCCCTGCCGAGCAGACCATATTGCAGGGCACATACTGAGCAAGTCTGGGATTCCGAGGAAGCATGCCTTTATAAAGGCTAGCAGAAGAAGAGTGCCAACATGCAACGACCAGCAGGAGCTAGATCCTCAGATGCAAAACCCAGGGTGGATGGGTTTAGGGTTTGGGGTTTAGGGTTTAATTAGGGTTTAGGGTTTATTTAGGGTTTAGGGTTTAGGGTACACACATGTAAGAAAAAAGCCACACTGCCTTCTGATCTCGAGCCTCACCGCCCCCAAAAACTGCCATGCAGGGCAATGGAGCCTGGCGTGTTAACATCTAACAACAGTTTAGGGTTTACCGTTTTTGTTATATTAGGGTTTAGGGACACCCAAGAAGAACCAAAAGCAGGCCCTATAAACCCTGAACCCTGTTCAGGGCGGATGGCAAGCCAGGTTTGGCGTTTTGCCGCTGGGGGCTTGGCTGTGCAGCTACCGTGCCCAGCACGCACGTCAGAACATACGCAGCAGCCATGGCGGCAAGAAGGTCACGGTCACATCACAGAAAGTATTGATGATACTATATTTATGTAATTTTAGTAGAAATCTTCTTGCCGCCAGCCTTGTCCAGGGCTCGACGAGCGCCTGCTGCTTCGCGACCTGCGCCGCTGGTTGCGACGCCCGCTCTGCGCAGCCTGTCCGTCCTGGGAGAGCTGTTCTTGGACGGCGCTACTGTCGCCACCAGCATGGGCAGCACCCCAGGTTACGACGGAGCCATCGGCAAGAATTGCAGCAAATGCCTCAACAGAAGACTGGATGGACTGCACGTTGCTCAATTGCCGTTGCACAGCACTGCTGTCACCACCAGAATGGGCATCACCCCAAGTCACGACCAAACGATTTGCAAGAATTGCGGCAAAGGCCATGCCGGAAGACTGGATCGACTGCACGTTGTTCAGCTGCTGTTGCACTGCCCTACTGTCACCGCCAAAACGCGCGTCACCCCATGTCACGACCGAGCCATCTGCAAGAATGGCGGCAAACGCCCTTTCAGAAGACTGGATCGAGTGGACGTTGCTCAGCTGCTCTTGCACTGCCCTGCTGTCACCACCATAATCGGCATCACCCCATGTCACAACCGAGCCATCTGCAAGAATGGCGGCAAACGCCCCATAGGAAGACTGGATCGACTGCACGTTTCTCAGCTGCTGTCGCACTTCCCTGCTGTCACCACCAAAAAGCGCGTCACCCCATGTCACGACCGAGCCACCTGCAAGAATGGCGGCAAACGCCCCGTCGGAAGACTGGATCGACTGCACGTTTCTCAGCTGCTGTCGCACTTCCGTGCTGTCACCACCAAAAAGCGCGTCACCCCATGTCACGACCGAGCCATCTGCAAGAACTGCGGCAAAGGCCCATGTGGATGACTGGATCAACCGTACGCTGATCAGATGCTCTTGGACGGCGCTGCTGTCACCGCCAAAGGCGGCATCGCCCCATGTCACGACGCGACCATCTACAAGAATTGCCGCAAAGGCCGCGTGAGAAGACTGAATCTCCTGCACGTTGCTCAACCGCTGTTGCACTGCACTGCTGTCGCCACCGTGAATGGAATTTCCCCACGTCACGATGGAGCCATCGGCGCAAATCGCGGCAAAGGCCTCGCCGGAAGACTGGATCGACAGCACGTTCGTCAACTGCTGCCGCACCGCGCTGCTGTCGGCCTTGCCCCATGTCACAACACGACCATCTGCACGAATTGCGGCAAATGCATTCTGGGAAGACTGGATCGACTGCACGTTGCTCAACTGCTCTTGGACGGCGCTGCTGTCACCACCACATTCTTCTCTTCCCCACGCCGCAACAGTGGTGTCCCCAAGGAGAGCGCCAAAGGCCCCGCCCAACGAGTGCACCGAGGCGGATGCTACTTGAGTCTGTCTCTTTTGAAGGGTTAGTTGGTCCCAATCTCTCAACCCAGCCTGCTGCACTGTCTCAGCGCCGCCGAGCACAGCTCCAGTGGGACCCAACAAACATGCCAGGCCAAAGTCCAGAGCCGCCTGTGCCTGGTGCCTGAGTTCATCCAGAGTGATGCCAGGGTCCACTGCTATCGTCGCTTTCCTTCCGCTGAGGAGCACTATGGACAAGCGCATGTCCATGAAGATCACCCGCTGGCGGTACTCAAGCAAGAGAAACCCTGTGGGCTTTCAACCACCCTAAATAAGGCCTATTTTCTGTAGTTCTAGCCTACTTATGACCCTACTACGTATAAGCACCCATTAACCAAGCAGACGCAAAACCCAAATTTCGAGCCAAGGACTCCAAGCCCTGGACGAGAAAGACTGGAATCCACCCTCACCCCCCCCCCCCCCCCCACCAAAGCCTTACGCCTTACTTTAGGGTTTAGGGTTTAGGGTTTAGGGTTTAGGGTTTAGGGTTTAGGGTTTAGGGTTTAGGGTTTAGGGTTTGCCTGCAGGTGCCACACTTGCATTCGGGATTGTGATGGCTCGGTAGATGTATGCCAGGCCATGCCGCCGTGGAATTGTGCTGCTGCAACACACATGGCCCAGATCCTGTGTACAAGGCCCTGCATGCTACGCAGACGCCTTCCAACAGCACACCCCCCCCCCCATGCAAACTTACTTGTAAACGACCTCTAGTTCAGCAAGGCCCAAGGACCACGCGCAAGCAGCAAAAGTAGGACACTTTGACTTGTGACCTCTGCTGCATCGGAAGGGCAGTGGCTACAGTGAAGCTCCCATCTATACATTGAGTGCATACTACGTGCACATGCAGTTGTGGGGGCTTGCGTAGTTGAGTGTATTTATGCTCTGCATGTAGAGGTTCCCGGGGTGGGTGGGGGGGGGGGGGCACCATGCATTCATCAACAACTGAATAACTATGATATATATATATACATATATACATATATACATATATATATATACATACACATATGTCCACCCCGGGTCATGTGTAAATACCAGAGAGGAGATATGTGGCGGGCATGCTTAAAGGCAGGCTCCCCTGCATAGATCCCACCCTGTTCAAGAGCTTGCATGGGCATTTAGGGGGCTTTTGGTTCTTAGGGTTTAGGGTTTAGGGTTTCGGTCCACGATGTTCGGAGCGGACTGGTCGACCGTTAGCCCCCTGCAAAACGAAAGTCAACAAGCCACCATCCAGAGGGCGCGCCCAGATAACACGAAGAAGTGCCCCCGGACCCTTTCCCTGTGAACCCCCCCTCACTCCCCCCCTCGAAAACCCCTCCGATGGCAACTCACTGGTCAAGGCGCCTTGTGCCGTTAAAGGGACAGCAGACAACATCAAACCATAGCCGAGTTTAGGGTTTAGGGTTTAGGGTTTAGAGGGGGTACCATAATTCCTAACCCTAATCCCTAAACCCTAAACCCAAACCATGGCGCCGAGGAGCTGAAGTTCAGTTTAGTATAAGGGGGAACATCCCAGCACCCCTAAACCCTAAACCCTAAACCCTAAACCCCTAAACCCTAAACCCTAAACCCCTAAACCCCTCAACCCTAAACCCTAAACCCTGTATAAGGGGGGACATCCCAACACAGAGGGCTGGTCGCCTTTCTTCTCGTTGATCTTCTGGATGTCCTTGGTGCACAGGCAGAGGTTTAGGGTTTAAGGTTTAGGGTTTAGGGTTTAGGGCTACTTGGAGGTTCATGGGCACTTAGAACCCCGTACTTATAAGCCCCCGACGTCCCCCATGCACCTCCAAGTACCTGGATTCCGCAATGTAGTTCTCTCCTTTGGGCACTGAATCTATACGTGCTGCGCGGAAACAACAGCTGTCCGAAAAATTGCCCCCCCCCAAACCCTTTTGACAAGGGACTCGACTGCTGCCCATACTTCCATGCCCCCTAAACCCCCCCCCAAAAAAAAAAAAAAACAAAAAACAATAATTATAAAAACAAATCAAACAGGAGGCGCAATCAAGGGCCCAGGCAATCCCGAACCCCTTCTTTGAAGCAGCTGTGTTCACCGATAGAAGCCCCCGAAAACTCACAAACTCCAGCATGTCCGCGGTCTTCTTCGCCCTAAACCCTAACCCCTAAACCCTAAACCCAAAATCCCCGAACCCTGTGCCCTAAACCCATCCTCTGAGAGATCCTCATCGGAACATGCTTTATGTTGATGTTTTCCTTCTTTTTTTCTCTCTCTATCTCTCTCGCTCTCTCTGTCTCTCTTTCAGGCAGTCTCTCATTATCGCTCTCTCGTCCTCTCTCTGCTTGCTGCGAACTGAGCAGAACTTGTAAGGGAGATCCCGTGCTAAAGACCCCTTATCTACCCTATAACACCTAGGGGGGGCCCACTTCAGAACCCTTCTTACAGATTGAATATACTCGGGCCTTAAAGGGGTTCACGTTTGGATCTGTGACTTCCTGAGCTGTATGCTGCCGTAAAGCTTGATGTCTTAGCTACCTTGGTTTAGGCCGAACCTAAAATGGCCCATAAAACCCTCTGAACAATGTGCCTAAATATGATCCTCTAAACGCACAAAGGGAACATATTGAAATCTTCCCAGGTCTACCTAGAAACCCCTCCTGTGCACAGCTGACCCCCCCAAACCCTAAACCCTAAACCCTAAACCCTAAACCCTAAACCCTAAACCCTGAACCCTGAACCCTGAACCCTGAACCCTGAACCCTGAAGCCCCAACATCCTACGACATGCCCGAGATGGAGGCCGGGTCGTCCTGATATCCGTGGTACCTGGCTCTCTGCAATTCGCTTGCACTTTAGGGTTTAGGGTTTAGGGTCTAGGGTTTAGGGTTTCCCACAGGGACCAGGTACCCTTTTTGTATGTCCTCGGACCGTAAAGAGGTTCCTGCATGCTTTTTTTGGGCCCAAACATACACCATAAAGGTACATGGACCCTCAGGGGTTTTGACATTCCTGGAATCCGCCACACCCTTGGCACCTCCGAGTAGGATATCGTAAACAAAAAGTATCGCCCTGCATAGCCCAACTGCACTAGGCCCCCGGGTTCTTCGTAGGGAATTAGGGAATTATCGGGCCCTATATACATATAAACATATATATATATAAATATAATTATATATATATATATATATTTATATATATACATACCCTTTAAGGGATTATGCATCGTACCTCATTCCCTCATTCTCTATAAAAAAAAACAGCCAGGAGGTTGGCCCTTAGAAGCCTACCTACCCTAAACCCGAAACCCGAAACCCAAAACCCAAAACCCTACACCCTACACCCTAAACCTACTTTCTTGCCATGTAGGTACTTAGGACCCTTGGGGCTAAAGTGCGAAGCCGCCACAGGCGCACTGGCCCACAACGCAGTCCTCACGGCGGACGGCCCGAAACTGCTTCAGCACCTGGGCGCCATGGTTTGGGTTTTGGTTTAGGGTTTGGGGTTTGGGGTTTAGGGTTTAGGGTGTAGGGTTTAGGGTGTAGGCTTTATGGTTTAGGGTTTAGGGTGTAGGGTTTAGGTGGGGCCTTTCAGCGTTGCAGCATCCCTTGCAAACCAAATGAACCCCTTGGACCCCCTAAACCCTATACCCTAAAACCCTAGAACACTAAAGCCCTATAACCCTTTCACCCTAAACCCAGTTTATAACCCTAAACCTCTAAAACCCTATAACCCTACATCCTAGAACCCAATACCCTATAACCCTAAACCCTATACCCCTAAACCCCATACCCCTACAACCCTACATCCCTATAACAATATCCCTTAAACGCTAAACCCGTTTGTGGTCTCATAGTGGCTCATCGCTACTTGACCTCCGTCTGAAGATTCTGGAGCTGAGAATGTGGCCTTCACCTTCTCGTCACGGACATCTTCCGGGTTCAGGCTGGCCTCAATTCAGCAGGGACTGGCTTCTGAGGTGGCTGAAGCCCAAGGCTAAACCCTAAACCCTAAACCCTAAACCCTAAACCCTAAGCCCCAGGTTTAAGAAGTTGGGGTTGTGAATGACCTTGCGGACTCGAAGCTATGCCCTTGAAGAGCTCCGCAATCCATTTAGACGGCCTCTCACGCACAAATCTGAGCCTGAGCGTTTAGACCTACACAGGTCTCTCTCTGCAAGCAAGATCCCCAAGCAGAATCGCCTCGCTGAGGCTGTTTAGGGTTTGAAGTTTAGAGTTTGGGGTTTAGGGTCTAACCATCTGAAACCTCCCCGATAAGCCGGTCGAGAGCCCAGAGCGCCATTTTGACGCATCCTCGCGCCAAGTCGCCAAGTGGTGACCAAGCACAACTACGCAAGGCTGGACTGGAACAGAAGAGTACCTACCACTTGGGAATTTACTAGATTTAGGAGCAACCTAGCAATACAAAGGGTACCCTTTTTGGGGATGATAAGGGAACCCCAACCTTGAAAAAAGGAAGTAAGGTCCTGCTCCGGGCCCTAATTTATTCTGAATCCTTCGGCAAGCCCTGGCATCCTCATCACTTCTTGCTCTTCTTCTTTCCTTGCCCGCATGGATTTTGGCAGAGTTTGTGATGAGGGGTTGAGGTTGGGCAGTTCTCCCTGAGGCTATCAAGGGTTTAGGGTTTTAGGGGGCTGAGCTAGAGACACCAACCCTAAGCCCTAAACCCTGAACCTAAAACCTAAACCCGGCAAACCCCCAAACTCTGGACGTCTCCAATTACACTCAAGGGCGGAGTCTAAAAGGGTATATGGTTCATTTACCCTACTTGGAGGTTCATGGTACTTCTTAACCAACTATAAATACTGTACTTATAACTGTTCTTAGAACCATATTCGGGCACTAAAGGGGCTTATAAGTGGGCTATAAGTACAGTTAAATTGGATAATAAGTCCATGAACCTCCAGATTATGGTGGTATAGGGTCTATGCCCCCCCCCCCCCCCCCCAATTTTAGGGCTCATTTGGTCCTCAAGGTAAGCCCTACTTGAAGGTTCATATGGGGTTCAGGTGTAGAAGTGTCTTAAATAGTGTGCATTGTAACCATACGTATGCTACTTAGAATCCTCCTTATAAGTAGGAACCTCCAAGTATGCTGTCTGCTCTGAACCTTGTAGACCCGAGACAGTTCACACCCCGGGTTTCGAGCCTCTCCTTTTGACACCGTGAATCCCTAAGCCCTCTAGCCCGGGCCCAAAACTAATTGGACCCTAAACCCTAAACCCTAAACCCTAAACCCTAAACCCTAAACCCTAACCAGTACCCAGAATTCCATAGACTCCGAATTTCCAGAGACCTGGCCTACTTGCACCCTAAAGCCAGGATCGCATACCCCATCCTACGAGAATACCTGTGACAAACTGAACCCTAATATTTTGGGGGTCATACCCCTTGGCTGCTCTTAGCAGGGTAGCTATAAACCTAGTTTTTAGCTGCCTTCTTAAGAAACCCAATAAACCCAAAAAGGCTAAAGATGTAAAGTTACAGTAAAGCACCAAAGACCCTATCTGAAACTCTCTTTACCTGCAGCTTAATGGGTTACACCTATGAGGGCTTAGGGTTTAGGGTTTGGGGTTAGGGGTTTAGGGCTCTCTCCCTGACTGCGGCCGCCAGTGGCCGCCCTCTTTCTCCTTTGCTTGCGAGAGCTTCTCTGCCAGCACCTCTCAAGCCATGGCTGTTTAGGGTTCAGGGTTTAGGGTTTAGGGTTTAGGTGTATATCTCTGTCTCTCCCCCCTCCGTCTCTCGTCGCCCTACTCTACTTCTATGCATGCCTAATTATTCTGCGTTTCATTATACCATGCTCGTTGCTTGCAGTCATGGTGCGTGCCCTGTCTCCTCATCTCTCTTCCTTTCTCGCTCTCGCTCTCTCTCTCTCTCTCTCTCTCGCTCTCCCTTTCCTTCACCCTCACTTCCCGCCCTCCAAACCCTGCTGCGAGTTAAAAGACCCCAAACGCAACATCAAAAAGCCTGACGCGGAGCACCTCTCTAATCTAACCTCAGCAACAGAGGGCCTGCTTCACGCACTTCTGCTCCTGCTGGCGGCGTGCCATGATGAGTTTTCGACTCCGAAGCCCATAAGGGGTTTAGATGGGTTGTGAGGGTTAGGGTTTAGGGTTTAGGGTTTAGGGTTTAGGGTTTAGGGTTTAGGGTTTAGGGTTTAGGGTTTAGGGTTTAGGGTTTAGGGTTTAGGGTTTAGGGTTTAGGGTTTAGGGTTTAGGGTTTAGGGTTTATCAACATCGGGGGCTCATCATCCCGAAATCCAAAAAAGTTAAAGTTACCACATGTGGTAGTGAGCTCTCGAAGGTTGCGATCAGAAACTTCTTCAGCGTTTACTTTGAGCAAAGATGCACAACCTCAATGTTGCAATACTTGGTAGCCCAGTAACCATGTTACAATAAGGGCACCCTTTTTGGGGTTGGTAACTTTATCAGGGAGCCTTGAACCAAAACAGGAACGGCAAAGGGTACCACTGGGCTACCAAGAGTACTTGAAGGTTCATGGGTACTCATAACCCAATTATATAAGTCTACTTACCTGGAATAGGGTTTAGGACCTTTAGGGTTAGGGTTTATATAGGGTTTAGGGAAAAGGGTTTAGGGTTTAGGGTCAAGGGTCAAGGGTCAAGGGTTTAGGGTTCAGGGCAGGCTTCTTCACCACGCCCACCTCAATCAGGAAGGCCCGAACAATCCTCTCTCGGACGCAGTGCGCGCAACCTGCCATGGGACCCGGGTGTGCGGCTTTTAGGTTTAGGGTTTGGGGTTGTGGGGTTTAGGGTTTAGGGTAGATCCCTGAGGATTGAATGTTGATAAGCCTTTTGCTCAGAACTGACTGTGCATCAGCTCTTTGGAAGGCCGAAATCCTAAGCACGAAAGTCCTAAGCCCTGAATCCTGCTATCAGCCCTAAACCCTAAGCCCTAAACTCTAAACTTGTTTATAGCATGATGGTTAAGACTTTTCCCACTCGCGCATAGCCGGGCAGGGCCAGGGGGCACAAGATATCGGTTTTAGGCTTTACGGGTTAGGGTTCAGGGTGATACCTTATACTAATAGTCCTTAATAGAGTTTTTAATAGGGGGTACCCCAAGCCCTAAACCCTAATTGACTGCAAAGGAACCTAGGAAGATCCCGGGAATGGCAGGTCCGACAGCTCGATAGGGTTGATCAACGGACTAAAGGAGGTACCCTTCTAAGGGACCTGAGGGGTTATTTTAGTTCGGGGTTATCTGGGGGGGGGGAGGGGTTGCTTTAGGCATATGTTGGGGATACATAAGGCTTCAAAATGGGGAAATAAGATTAAGGGTCCCTTCTGGGGGTCCCTCCTTGTACCCCTTAAGATGGGGGCTCATGGCGCCTTAGTAAGTACAAGCTTTAGAAGTAGTTCGGGTACTTCTAAGGTTTGGGGTTTGGGGTTTAGGGTTTAGTCCAAAAGGTCCTAAGGGCCCCTACTTAAAGGTACCCCTGAACCCTGAACCTTCAAGTGGGGTTGAGGGTTCAGATTCTGTTCTCAGACCCTAAACCCAAAACCCTAAACCCTAAACCCTACACCCTAAACCCTAAACCCAAAACCCAAAACCCAAAACCCTAAACCCTAAACCCTAAACCTGCGTTTTGCGCGTGTTGAGCCTTCAGACAGGAACAGGGCGGAGTCAGGGAGGTGCTGGTACGACCCTTACTTATAACCATGCTCATCCTGCACTGGGAGGTTCATGGTTTAGGGTTTAGGGTTTAGGGTTTAGGGTTTAGTCCATGGGTACTTATAGGTAGGCTTCCAAGTGCCTGAATAAAGGCGAGAACCCGTATAAGCCCACTAGGAAGTACCCAGGAATAAGGCAGGTTACTTGAAGGTTCAGGGTACTTATAAGTAGGGTTCCAAGCGCCCTGAAAAGGCTGCAACCATAGCTACCCTACTTCAAACTGGCCCAAAACCCAAGGAAATAAAAGTTTGAACTTTGAGAGTAAAACTACCTTATAAGAAGCCCAAAAGTTGAAAAGTTGGGTTTTGAGCCAGTAAGACTTCTAACCCTACTTCTCAGTACTCACGAACCTCCGCGCAGACCTTTGGGGGGCATCCGAAGCTCGAACCCTTTGCTGTGTTTAGGGTTTAGGGTTTAGGGTTTCGGGTTTCGGGTTTAGGGTTTAGGGTTTAGGGCTCGGGGTTTAGTGTTTACGTTGAACGAATGGCCCGAACGCACACTTGCATCGAAGCTACGCGAGCCGCCGTAAGCGCGGTTCACGCGCTTCTCTCTCTTCTTGAGGCGCATGTACCTCGGGGTCGAAGGCGATGGTCACCTAAAGAACCCAACACCTGCGTTTGTTGTACGCCAACTACCTGAGAACCCCAAAACGGGATGTCGAACAACAGATGCAAAAAAAGTACGTAGCTGGGCCTCTCAAGGGTATGCAAGGCGTGGGATCAGGGATCAGCGGGGTTTCGGGTTTATAGGGTTGAGGCTTCTGCCCTAAACCCTAAACCCTAAACCCTCTTGACCTGTAAGGTGGTGTGGGGACGGCTTGCAGGGCTTAGGGCTGAGGGTTCAGGGGTTTGCCCATACTCGAAACCCTAACGCCTTAAACCCTAAACCAAGGATGATTCATGGGAAACTCGGGAAGCCCTGAGGGAGTTCAAGAACCAGCTTTGCGTGCGCATGTCGGGGAAGAACATCTAAGCATCGCAGAAACGCTCATGCCAGAGGGCCGAGGAATTATAGCGTAGAAAACTCCACCGTTTTTTTCTCCCGTGTTTTTTGTTTTTGCTTGTTTCACTGTGCCCGTCGCCTCGCGCCGACTGTACCCTCTCTCGTAGCTTACACGCTTCCTGCGCCGACAGCTCTGCGCACCACAAAATGGCACAGCAGGAAAGGGTGGGGGAGGGAGGGGGGGGAAGGGGATGCAGATTGGAGATGGTGGAGAGGGGAGTGGGGGCAACGAAACAATGCAAGAACAATGTCAAGAAGCAAGGGTGTCAACAAAACATGCAGAGGAGGTCGTGCAACAAAAGTCTCTGCAAGCCCGAAGCCAACAAGCCTTAGCCCAGAAGACGAAATAAACCTTCAAAGCCAAACAATCAAATCGTAGCAGTAGAAAAAGTGGAAACAAACAAACTATCAAATTTTTCAGGGTAGTCACAACGTTATACACCCTCTAAGACCCACGGGCCCATACTTCAGAACCCTTAAAGAAGGTACGGGACCACTTTCAGGGGCCACGTAACTTCCCTTAGAATGTTAGTCCATCACGCTGAAAAATACCCATGTCTTGTGCAGGCCTTTCCTTTTTGGCTACTTCGGAGGTCCGGAGGAAGCTCTACTACAACGACGTTTAGGGCATAGTGCCATTGAATGCTCCCAGACCCTAAACCCTACACCCTACACCCTCCACCCTAAACCCTAAACTCTAAACCCTAAACCCTAAACCCTCAACCCTAAAAACCCTAAACCCTAGCATGCCAGGGGTCTCAATGGGGCGCAACCGCGGCAGTCCGATTAGCGCCTTGCCGCAGTCTCCGCCTTGGCTTGGTTTAGTTTGGGGTTTAGGGTTTAGGGTTTAGGGTTTAGGGTTTAGGGTTTAGGGTTTAGGGTTTAAGGTTTAGGGTTTAGGGTTTAGGGTTTAGGGTTTAGGGTTTAGGGTTTAGGGTTTAGGGTTTAGGGTTTAGGGTTTAGGGTTTAGGGTTTAGGGTTTAGGGCGTAAGGCTTAGGGCTTAGGGCTTAGGGTTGAGGGTTTAGGGATTAGGGTTTAGGGTTTCGCGCTTAGGGGCGGAGTCGTAAGTCGAGTTGATGCTCTTAGGCTGTAGGGTTTCTAGGGCTCCTAGACTTATAAGGGGTTGTCGCTTTGGGCTTCTCTGTCTACCCTAAACCCTAAACCCTAAACCCTAAATCCCCAAATCCCAACCCTAAACCCTAAACCCTAAACCGGAGCCATGTCAGCGACATCTTCTACAGGAGGCTGAGTGACTCAGACGAAGCCGATGCTGGCCGTTCGGTCCCAAATCTTTCTGGTCCTGTCCCTATACAGTGTCTTGCTCCTTTTTGGTGCGACCAAAAACCTGAGCTCTAAACCCTACACCCTAAATTGCCCTAAGTGCCTTCATCCCTAAACCCTCTCCTTCCGTTCGGGCACGTGGACTACCAGGTGCGAGAGGGTTGCCCGAGTCGATTCTGGAAGTCTTGAGTACAGATCATGAACTTGGTTTACGTTAGCGAAATAAGACCACTTTGCCATAATTCCCTAAACTCTAAACGAGTCCAAACTCTAGAAAAGCCATACACAACATACAACCCCAATCGTGGTAAGAAAAGTAAGCTCCTTGGCAGGAACAGATGATCCCCGAGGCTGCTTATTTCGTGTGGGCCCAGTTCCTGTTGCTGTTGGGAGCTAAACCCTAAACCATAAACCGTAAACCCTAACCCCTGTAAACCCTATGCATCAGCTGACTCCCGGATACTCCCGACATTTTTAAACTCAAACCTCGAGGCAAGAAACTCCCTCAACCTCGCTACACCCGAAACCCTAAACCCTGAACCCTAAACCCAAAACCCCAACCCTGAACCCTAAACCCCGAACCCTAAACACAAAACCTTAAACCCTACCCTGAACCCTAAACCCAAAACCCAGCGACCTAGGCTTGAAGGACAGGCGCAGTGGGGACCCTTTGCCTTCTTCTTGATGGCCTGGCAGGGTTTCGGGGTATAGGGGTTAGGATTTAGGGTTTAGGGTTTGGGGTTCAGGATTTAGGATTTCGGGCTTGGTGTGGGCGGTTTAGTGGCTCCGTTCATGCTGGGTACCAACACGAACCCGACAAACGGGGATCGCGATATTGCCCCATACACTACGCTGATGCCTACAAGGGTCGGGCATTCAAGCTGCAAAGACGGACTCTGGCTTGCCATCCTTCTTTTTTTTGGGGGGTACCTAACTTCGTTCTTGTGCCCAATTTGGCACGCATTCCTCGGATTGACTACAAACGCCTCAGCACAAAGCTGCCCATGAAACTGTCTCAACCATCATGACCTTACTCAGTCCAAAACAGTAGAACGACTCTGGTGCCCATACTCCCACTATACACCTGCCATACTCCTGGGCTTCCCTCTTTTTGTGGGAGCTCCCACAAAATGTTCCTCTAGAAGCATTGTAGAAACCCACCGCCCACGTACTTGAAACAAGTGTTGCCCTCAAGTGCGGAAGCCTGGGTCACAGCAACACCCCCTCCCACCAATTCCCCAGTGCAGTTAAAGGTTTAAGGTTTAGGGTCAGGAGCCCTTGCTGCAACCTGGTAAACAGCACGGCCGCCAGGGGTCTTCACGACCCGCTGCCTTGGAATCTCGCGACGTTTGATTCAATAATCGTATGCGAGTGTTCATCGTATGTAAGTTTTCGGGTTGGGATCCAAGGTTTGGGAGTTAAGGTTTAGGGTCTAGGGCTTAAGGTTTGTAATCAGAAACCCGCTGCCCTGGAATTGCTCGAGTTTTGATTCCATAATCGTATGTAAGTGTTCGGGTTCTCTCACTCTGTTCCAAAAGGGGGTATAGCCTCCACTCCTCCGAAGTGTTAGGGTTTGGGATCCAAGGGTTGGGATTTAAGGTTTAATGAGGGTTGAGGGCTTAGGTCTTGTAATCAGAAACCCCCCCCACATTGCCTTTTTGTTGTTTGCAACTGGATGGAGCACCGACTGCCAGCAAGTGCGTGCAAACCCTAAACCCTAAACCCTAAACCCTAAACCCTAAGCCCTGAACCCTGAACCCTAAACCCTAAACCCTAAACCCTAAACCCTGAACCCTAAACCCTAAACCCTAAACCCTAAACCACCCTAAACCCTAAACCCTAAACCCAAGCAACGCCTCTGCTAGGAAGAGTTCAGGGACCAAAGACTCACTTCGGCATGTTTGCAGGCATCAACCCGAAATCCTTGAACGCCAAACAGAAGTTGAAGATTCGGCACCTATAATGAAACCAGAAGTTGATGGCTAGAGACAACATGACAAGCGCACCCGTGTGTTTGAAGAGCTTCTCCAAGTTCGAGTAGGCTTATGTATAGACTTACTACATCAAGGGAATGCGCAGGTCTCACCCGCATAGATGCGCAATGCCCCTAATTTCGAAACCCTAAACTCTAACCCTCTTAGTAGCCCAGTAACCATATAATGATAAGGACACACTTTTCTTGGCTGCTACTTTATAAGGGAACCTTGAACCCAAGAAGAGGGTAAAGGGCACCACTGGGCTACCAAGCCAGTCCCGAACCCTCAACCCTAAACCCTAGGCCCTTTAAACTTCAAAGTTATAAGTCCAACAAAGCCCTTGAGGACGTGCCGTTCCTGGGGGTAGTGTTGACCCAGTTGGCCTAGAATGGCAAAGATGAGCGTGCAGGGTAGGAGTTTGAGGTTTAGGGTTTAGGGTTGGCAGCCCTGCTTCCTTAGCTGAGGCACTTGTTGGACTTTGTGTTGTAGCGGCATTGCCGCCGGTAGGTCAGCCGAAAGGCCATGGCCAAGAAAGGGCAGTCGCAAAAAGCGCGACGAGGTTGCGAGGATCTTTTCCGGAGCCAGGCTGCGTATGTAGGATTTAGGGTTTAGGGTTTAGTTAGGGGTCCGAATGGGGTTTACCCTAAGGCCCAAAGGACTCTAATTTTAAGGTCCTTGCTCCCAAAGGCCTTATGATATGAAGGTTCGTGGGCGCACCAAGGAGGGGTCCGATTGCTTGGAGGTTCACTAGGTACTTGTAAGTAGGGTTAGAAGTGGGGTAGCTATGGTTATACCGTTTATTTAGGGTACTTCGAACCCTACTTGTAAGCACCCATGAACTTTTCATGTGGGGTGAAAAGGGTTGAGGGATTGAATTTCCTCGGGATGTCGCCATAATGGCGGACATTGGTGACATTGGTGACAACAATGGACGGTCTCGTTTGTTTGCTTTTTGTGCTTTTGTTCATTTTTTACTTTTGTTGTTACTCTCTCTCTCTCTATCTCTCGCTCTCTCTCTTGCTCTCTATTCGGGCTTAGGGTTCAAAGTTTGTGCTCTCCAGTCCTCGAACCCAAAACTCATCCTCACTGTTGTACCTCCCAGTGGACTCAGAGGCCCTAAGGTCAGAGAGAACACCCTGCTAATTTGGATTTGTGCGGAAATTTTGTTGCCAGGAAGCCGCTAAGATATCACAATGTCTGCTCAGGGTGCCACAGGGTCCATGAGGGATGAAGGAACTTCCCTAAACCCTAAACCCTAAACCCCAAACCCTAAACACCCTACACCCTAAACCCTAAACCCTTGCCAAGACCTCAACAGGCTTCGAGGGCTGGACGGGCGCTTCCATCAGCACAAGCCTTGCTGCGCAACAGACTTGGCTTCTCAACAGGGTTTAGGGTTTAGGGTTGAGGGTAAGCCTGCAACTCACAGGAGTGAAGGGTTATGGTGTAAAGTTTTGAGTCAATGCGGCCTGAAATTCTCTAACTGGGTTTAGGGTTCAGGGTTCAGGGTTTAGGGTTGCTGCTGTTCAATGCCGCCCGGAACAGGAACATCCTGTAGACTGCGAGCCCTCTGAGCGGCTAAGCCCTCTGAGCGGCTAAGCTCTAACCCGAGCGCCGCCAACCCCAGCGTTGCAGGGGGCACCCCTGCGGATTAGGGTTTAGGGTTTAGGGTTTAGGGTTTAGGTTTTTAGGGTTTAGGGTTTTTGCTCCCCGGGTTGAGGGTTTGGGGTTCAGGGCTTAGGGATTTAGGGTCTAGCACCACTGGGCAGTCTCAGTCTGTGGCGTAAGCAGCTGCAGGAGGTGATTCTGCATGACATCCTCGGCACGCAAGCAAGCGTCGTTGTGCTGCGAGGTGACCCAGGCAAGCCGAAACCTCTAGGCTATACTAGTTGCTTAAGAAACCCCCCCCCCCAAAAAAAAAAAAAAAAAACAAAAACATGTTCCTTTTATTGCCCTTAAACGTAAGATTTGTTTTTTGTTTTTTTCATTTTTGGGGGGCTCCTATGCAAATAGTAGCGAACCTTAAGCCCGAAAACTTTTGCTTGGGGCACGTGGGGTACAAGGATAGTACGTGGGCAGCAGCTTGGAGACATGCTGAGCCCACTTTGCTGAACCCAATCACCCTAAACCCTAAACCCTAAACCCTAAACCCTAGGTTTCCTAAACCCTAAACCCTAAACCCTAAACCCTAGGTTTCCAGAGCTAGCTGGCGCCCCCCGCCCCTGCACCAGCCCACCTAAAGTGCCCTGAGGTTTAAGGGTTTAGGGCTTAGGGTTAAAGCTTAACCCTACACTACTATTTGCTTAAGACCCCATTTTTGGGGGGTTCTAAGCAACTAGTAGTAAATCTTGACTTATTGGTTCTTAGGCCAAGATCTGCGGTTGGGGGGATTCAATGGTTGATCGTGAACTAAGTGGTGATGGGTGAACAAGGCTGTGGAACAAAAGTGGGAGAGATGAACGGTGCGGTTTCCAGGGGCGGCGATAAAGGTACGGCCGCGAGGAGAGGAAAAGTAAAGGTTCACCGCTCTCTGAATCTCTGCACTCATGACAGCACAATAAACCCTGGACTCTTGAATCTAACCACAATCAGTAATATCACCGTCATGCACAAGGAAATTGGAATGGCGGTAACATCACATCTTGCGACTGTGGACTAACCGTGTAAAACCTTGGGACCTTTGCAACACAGTTCATGCGTCTCCCATAGAATCATCACGAAGAAAACGAATTTAATGAAGTTATAAGTGAGCCTGCGATCGCATGAACTTTATTAAAGGCGTGAACGAAGTACAAGGATGTGATGGACGTACGAAGAGAATACAATTCACTTAAAGGGGCAAATGAGCATGCGATTGCGCGCCCTTAAAAAAAACTTTAATTAAAAAAAAAAGGCCAGCCGAAGCCCGCATTGGACTGACTGGGCTGTTCAGGACAGGACAAAGAGGACCAGGATCCTTACTTGGAAAAGGAGGACTATGGTTAGAACACTATTTAGGGCACTTGTAACCCTCCTTATTAACTGCCCGTGAGGACTATGGTTTAGAACACTATGTAGGGCACTGGTAACCCTCCTTATAAATACCCGTGATTTGACGTAGGGATTTCGGGTTCAGAGCTTTCGGGCTGGGGGAGATGACTCTTGCAAGCTCGAAGGTTCGCGCGCGCAGCTACGGCGTGAGAGACACAGAGAAGGGGCTTCGACGTCCACATACCAGGATGGGCTAATTGGCCTTCAAATGCCCATAATGAACCCTATGAAGGGCCTTTTAAGGGATTATAGGGTATAATCGCGCATCCTGGTATTGAATGCAGAGGCTGGCCAAATAAGGACACGTCATCTTTTGAACATCTGCACGCTGCAACACGAGCAAGCAAGCATCTCCGTTTTCCGGCCGATCGCATGCCAACCTCACGCGAATCTCTGGACATTCGAAATCGGTCTTCATCCCTGTATTCTTTTTGGATGGCCTAGGGGTGTACCTTGCACTCTTAGGGTTGTGCCCTGGGTTTTGGGCCAACCTTCGTAAAGAGACTTCCGGTAGTAAAACCGGGGTACCACCTTCGGAGTAGGAGTCCTAACCCCTTGATTCCCAAAGTAGGGATCATCGGGGAACTCAAGCACTAGGTTGGCCTTGGAACCATCTGAAAGAAATGAATATGATCCGCTTAAACCCAATACGGGAAAATAGCAAATATATCAAAAGTGGTGAGCGCTTCAGGGACTTCGCAACATGGCGGTTCAGCGTTTAGAGCTTACAGTCTGGGCTTTAAAGGCTTCCCCAAACTCTGACAAACTCGACAACTCGAAAGGGAGATTCTACCCTAGAACGCCTTTTAAAAGCCCTTTATGGGGTGGACTATGGGGATTGTAGGGCCTTATAGCCCATGCTGGAATGTTGCTTGAGGATTTGTGTAGCTCCCATACCTTAGCCTCCCAGGTCTTGCGAGAACAACGAGGCGAGTACCCCTTTCATGAAGGTTCATGGGTACTTAGAAGTAAGGGTTCTAAGTGCTGCGCTAGACAAGGTTATAGCCATAGCTGCTTAAAGCCCTACTTATGAATGCCCAAGCGAATCTCCAAGTAGCCCGAGACCCTAAACACCCTAAACCCTAATAAAAGAACCTCCTGGCTCAGTCGTCCATCACGTAGAGGTCCAGCTTCACCACCGGATCTTCGAACCTTGGCTCCCAATGTGGTAAAACCAGGCTTTAAGGTTTAGGGTTTAGGGTTTCGAGGTGGTTTTAGGGGTTATTGATAGGGTTTCTAGGGTTCATAAGGTTTTGTCTTTTTTCTTTCCGGGGATTTTAGGGTTTATAGGTTTAGGGTGTAATGTGGTATCCTGATTAGTGTGGGGGGGGGGCCCCCCCCCCAAACTAAATCCACCCCCGCAATAGTGTCACCAAAAAAAGGGACCCCCCCAAACTAATTTTCGGCCCCGGCCCCCCCCCACCGGCTCCTCTTCATTTCCTCTTCGCTCCTCTTCCCTCTCCTCGTCCTCTCCCTCTCCTCTTAGGTAATTAAGCTATCATCTTGTTCTCTTTTGTTCTCTCTTCCGAAACCCATGCCCGAAAAACTTTACTTTATTGTGGGGGGGCAATCGAATTTTTGTCTCCTGAATAATTTTTGGAAAACTTTTCATTATTGGAGGGGTCCAGACTAATCAGGATACGACATTATAGGGTGAGGGTTTCTAGGGCTTTGAGGGTTTTTCCAGGCTGCAGGGCTGGGTCATTTAGAGGGTTTAGGGATTTTAGGGTTTTTAGAATTGTTAGGGCATATATGGTGTAGGGTCTTTGAGGTTTTTCGACTCTCTCGCTAGCACAAGAAGGCAAGGCGTTCCCTCTGAGAGGACTCATTGGCCCACAACTGTTTGACCCCAGGACAAGCCCACTCACCTAAGCAGGATGACCAAAAGTATACACCGAACACATCCACACGCTCTAGCTACCAGGGACATGCCCCAGAAGAACACAGGATGTTCAGCAAAGATAATGCGGGGACCCATTCGCTTCCGAGCCTGTTTTAACTTCCAAGCAGGATCAGAACAATGTACACCCATCACTTCCACCACAACCACCCACCCACCCACCCACCCACCCACCCACCCACCCACACACACACACACACGGGGGCTGCTACTGCTCAGCATCACAAGACAAAGAGTCACGAAGAAGTTGCCAACCCAACTAATCCCCAGCGAAGTGTCCAGCCGCAGGTGTAGTAAGCCGTCAACGCCTCAGTAGCCCCTTTCTCAACATCTTCTTAGTTGTCCAGCAACCTAATTAAAGGTTAACCTTTCGGAATATAAGGGGATTCTATTACCCCCAAAAGGTTAAAGGTTACCTACTCTACTACTAAGTCTTCCTACAAGTATGAGAACTTTGGGGACCAAATGAACCCTGAAATTGGGGTCATATACCCGAGACTACTACATCCCTATCAGGGTAATATGAACCATAAACCCTTTTTAGGGTTCATCTTGTCCTTACGGAAGATGCTGGGGATTGTGCTGCCGGGATTCGCTACGCAACTGGACACTGGAGTGGCCCTTATGAGCCCACATGTGAACACCTCATGCCTAGGCGTCAAGGGCCTTCAACTCCCTAAACCCCAAACCCTAAACCTTTTTACAACCGGGCAAACCCTAAACCCTAAACCCTTAAACCCCAAGACCTGTAGCTGTTCCACCCTAAACCCCCGTAATTCGCTAAGAGCCTGAAGCCCCAGATCCCTACGCACCCGGAAACTTACCCAAAGTATGGGGTTTGGGTGGATAGGGCTTTTTGCCTCCCACCAGGCAGATCTAGGTCTTATCTGGCAGCCGCCTAAACCCTAAACAACCCTCTGGGCAGGGTTCTCAACTCCCGAATCCAGAAAACCTGGTCCCTGGTCCCTAAATCCCTGAAACCCACAGATCCTGAGGGTTTGTGGTCTTACGGCCGTTTTCGGGCTTGGGGATTGTTGAGGGCTTAGGGCCAAGAGGCGACAAACTTAAACAAGGCACTGTCTGTGAGTAGAAGCTGTTGGGGACAGCCTTGGGCTTCGGTTCGGAGCTGTGGTGGGGGTTTGGGGCAGCATGAGCTGGATCCTTAGATGCAAAAACCCAGGTCTAGAATTGCTAGAAGTAAAGTGCCTCAAGTTTGGAGGCCTCCCTTGCAAAAGTACTCACCAGTTTTTTTTACAAACATTGCTGTGCGCTGTCTTCTAGCTATTAAGTATAGAGCTCCAGCATTCCAGTGCAGCACGTCACAAACGGATAAAACTAAGAAGCAAGAAAACAGAACGCCGTACCTAGTGCATGGCAGACTGAAACAATTCTAGCTGGCACGAAAGCTCCGGGCTTTAAGGTTGGGGTTTGCGGGTTCGGGCAGAGCGCTCACTACCCCCGAATTGAAGAATATACCTGTCAATACATACAACAAGTGGGCTTGCTAAGACCCCCTGGTTCTTAGGGGGGAATGATGGTTCTTAGGGGGGAATGAGGGAACTAGGCCCCTTTCTACACCCTTGTATGGGTTCGAGGCTACCTCATTCCCTCATTCCCTACTAAGAACCAGCCGGTACGTGCATCAAAGGTAAGCTTGCAAAAATCTCTGGGCAGCCCAGAAACCACGTTATACTAAGGGTTCCCTTTTTTGGGGGTTGGTTACTTGATAAAGGGAACCTATAGAACCGCAAGGCAACAAAAGGGCACCACCGGGCTACCAGGATTATACCGAAATATCATGGGTTCCCCTACTACCCCCAGATTCCCCCCCCCCCCCCCCCATATTTAAGGCTAATTTAAGGATAATTAAGCCTAATTAAGGTTATTTAAGGGGAACCCAAGTGGGGGTAGTATGGAGGGGGGTAGGAATGTAGGGCTCCTATTCAGATCGACGCCGGCTCCCTTAGCTCGAACACCATCATTGCAGACAAGTCAGGCTGACCAGCTGGTGAATGACGCGTATATATATATATATATGTGTGTATATATATATATGTGTATATATATATATATATGTATATGTATGTGTATATGTATACATATATATATATATAAATATATATCAAGAAAACAAAACATACTCACACATGTTCAGTGAAGAAGCAGACACCCATGTAGACAAAAAAATGCAAGGGTCACACATGTTCAATGAAGAAGCAGACACCCATGTAGACAAAAATGCAAGGGTAGGATAATACGAATGACAGGCAGCGTAAGTCGCATGCCGATATGTATCCAACCAAAGGATTTTTTCAGAGATATAAATGAAAAAAAACATCTGCAGGCCAAAATCTAAACACGACGAGACCCAAAATGAATACATATGTATATATGTATATACATATATGTATATATACATATATATATATATATATACATGTATATATGTATATGTGCGTGTGCATGCCTGTGTATTTGTATTCTGTACATGTACTATGCGTCGCAAAGCAAGTGAACCGGCCCCGACTCCGAACTAGCCCGAACCTGCAACCCCCACACCCGCCTAGCATGTTTGCGAATCATCCCGAGGGCCCTCAACGTTTAGGGTTTAGGGTTTAGGGTTTAGGGTTTAGGGTTTAGGGCTACAGACCCCGTATTCGGCGAACATACGTTGCACGATGGTCTTATACTGTGGCCAAGGCATATAATATAATATATCTCAACTCAAAAATTATTGGGCAAAGTGACAGCCCTCGGCCCGCAAACAGACGTGCAGACAAAAAGCAATGGGAAACTTGAATGCGCGTGTCTCGAAGTCACCGCCACAGAACTTGGCTGCTGCCATGGGTGCGTGGGTATACCCACAAATGGTGGCCTCCACGAGGCTTTGCAGGTTTTCAGGAGGGCTAGTTGGGAATGTAGAGCTTGCGTCTGCTTGAAAAGTTTGATTTTTAGTTGACTCCCGGTTGGCCTTTAAACCCTCTGAATGTTTTTACTGGTTATGACCCTCTCGAACCACAAAAAGGGAAAACTTAAGACATCGCAAGGGCCTATACCCAGTACTGTAGCTGAGCGGAGTCGAACCACGGACCTCACAATTGGGAAGAGCCAGGATTTAGGGGGTCATGGGGTTGGGGGTTTAGAGCGTCGGCGCCTGCTGCCGCCAGATGTTTGTTAAGCAAATTCCGACCGGCTCGCAGCAGCCTCTCACTACAAACATCAACTCTAAACCCCAAACCCTAAACCCCAAACCCTATACCCTAAACCCCCAAACCCTAAACCCTAAACCCCAAACCCTGAACCCCAAACCCTAAACCCTGAACCCCAAACCCTAAACCGCCCAGTTTCGAATCCGAAGCTAGCACGAAGGAAGGAGACGCTCTCATCCTTCGGTTTCCCGAAGGGCTCCCCTGAAACAATACCTTACAGGCGGCTAAACCCTAAACCCTAAATCCTAGACCCTAGATCCTAGATCCTAGATCCTAAATCTAAACGCCTAAACCCCTAAACCCTAAACCCCTAAACCCCTAAACCCCTAAACCCTTAAACCCCTAAACCCCTAAACCCCTAAACCCCTAAACCCTAAACCCCTAAACCCCTAAACCCCTAAACCCCTAAACCCCTAAACCCCTAAACCCCTAAACCCCTAAACCCCTAAACCCCTAAACCCCTAAACCCCTCAGCTATCAAGCAGTCCAGTCCCCAAGCCCTCTGCCGAAAAAAAACCTAAGCCAACAAAAAAAAATCGGGGGACAACGCCAAGCCCAACCGCCCTCTTCTGCGCAAGGTTTTCTGCGCAGTTCAGGGTTTAGGGTCTAGGGTCTCGGGTTTGGGGTTTGGGGTTTAGGGGTTTAGGGGGTTGAGGGGTTAGGGGGGTTAGGGGGTTTAGGGGTTTAGGGGTTTAGGGGTTTAGGGGTTTAGAGGTTTAGGGGTTTAGGGGTTTAGGGGTTTAGGGGTTTAGGGTTTAGTGTAATTACCCGACACCCACGAAAGCTTGAGCTCCAACCCGAAGCCCTGGACCAACCTGGTGACCAGACTGAAGATCAAATTCCTGCAGGGTGAAGTTCCAGTAATCCTGAGCAAGGGTTAGGTTTCAGGGTTGAACTAGAGTGTAGGGGCGGGTTTCGGAGCTTCTGGGATTATTGTCATGACCGTATTTAGGGTACTCATCTTTACAGCACCATACTTAAAAGTACTCGTGAACCTTCAAGTATCTCTATCAACCACCCTAAGGGTCCACATACCTATATAGTACATATTTGGGCCCTAAAGCTACTATATAGGAACCCCTTTAAGGCCCAAGTATGTACTACATAGGTACATGGACCCTTAGGGCCATGCAAGCCCCAGCATTTGAAAGCATAGAGCACGGGTTGCGGGCATGGGCCCTTCAGCTGTGATGTGAGCGAGCTCGCGGGGGCTTAGAGTTCAGGGAGTTTTGGGCATTACGGGGAGGTGGTTTAGGGTTTATGGGGTTTAGGGCTTATAGGGTTTAGAGTTCAGGGAGTTGAGGGGTCTAGGGTTTATGGGGTTTAGGGCTAAGGTTTCGACTCTCGCAACTAGCCAGGGTCTAGGGCTAGGGGGACCCTACTCATACTCATCTGATGGGCATTTCCATTCGAAACCCTAAACCCTAAACCCTAACCCTGAACCCTAAACCCTAAACCCTAAACCTGTGGACCAAGGGCGTCTTGGTCGAAGGTTCACAGGATCCTCCGGTTGGGGGGGAAGTATGTTGGGATGCTCCCCCCGAAAACTAACAGCTTCTCTGTAGGGATTGTAGTACCCCCAAATACCCTAAACCCTAAACCCTAATCCCTAAACACTAGTCCCTACCAAGGACTGTTCGTTTAAGGGGCGACATCCCAAGAAGTATGGAAGGCGTGGTGTCCCCACGAAAGTCGCAACAAAAAAAGAGATTGAACCTAATCTGGGTTTTCGGTTTTTTTGGCTTTAGGCTTGAAGGTCCCCAAAAGCCCTAAGGCCTAGCCCTAATCCCTAGCCCGAAACCCTAAACCCCAAACCCTACAACCCCGAAAGGTGGAACCCTTCCTTCGTGAACCCTTAAATGAGCAGAGCGGCGGTCACAGAGAGCGAACATTCCTCGGGTGAAATGGGCATGTAGGCTCTGAGCAACCTCTACTTGCAGGTTTAGGGTTGAGGGTTTGCGGGGGGTTGGGGTTTACGGCTTAGCATTTAGGGTCCCGCCTCCCAAAGCGACACCAGACCTTGACTGGACGTCCCGACCTAGTAGGGCAGACAGGAATCCTCGAAGGCCCTGCGAAACCACCATTCGATACACCCCAAGATCCACCTACATCTCCAATAGCCCAGGGAGAAAAGGTTATAAACTTCAAAGTTATTCCTTCTAGATAAGGCAACCCAAAAAGCTTACAGTCCAACTATTGGCTAAGTAAGTCTACCCTCCATCCATGTCTTCAGAAACCCAACGCCGTTTCGAGCACGGCCTCGAACACCCTTAGGCCCTTTAAAACTTTAGGATCCAAAGACAGTACTTTAAGCGAGTAGAAGCCAGTTCTGGGACCGTTCTCTGTGTCTTCCCTTTAAGGAGTACCCTGAATAAAGGGCCCCCGCATTGCACTAGGCACCCAAAACAGCGGATCACTGGAGCGTCCCATGTCGACTTTACGACAAATGGTTCAGCTCAGCTTGGCTGCACTCAGGAGGGTAGCTATAAATTAAACTTTTAGCTGCCTTAATAAGAAACCCAATAAACCCAAAAAAGGTAAGGATCTAAAATTACAGTAAAGTGCCACAAAGAAATGGCTCAGCTCAGGACTGGCTGGCTATGGACTCCGGAAAGGTTAACCCTCACCCCATAGAGCCAGCAAGTCAATGCCAATGGGTGGCTTTTGGCAGGAGGAAGACGATGCCCATCCTTGGCATAACGTGCGCATTACAAACCCTAAACCCTAAACCCTAAACCCAAAACCCAAAACCCAAACCCTAAACCTTATAAACCCTAAACCCATCACGTGTGCATTATATTGGCGTGCTCCTAGCGTCGCCCCTGCAGGGGGAAAAGAACCCAAGCCATACACGCTAGCTGCACAATTACCCCAAACGCGCCAAGGCCTCGGCTCTTAGAACACACCTCAAACAACCTGTGTCCTCGAGCTTGTAATGAATTCTAGGGCTTCAGGCTGAAGGCAATCGCTCACGGATGCCTTGAGGCCTTGTGGCGCATGGGAATTAGGGCTTGTCGGTTTAGGCGAAACGGCTAAACTCAACTTGGAGGTTCATGGGTACTTATAACACCAAGTAGAAGCCTGCTTCTAACCTCGGGGGGCTTATAATTGGGGCTATAACTACCCTGAACCTCCAAGAAGGCTTCCAGCTTAGGAATGCAAGCATGGAGCATCGGCATCTCGTTCCCGAGGTTTCTGGCCTGCCAGGCAGCTTGCCTGGGCCGCTGTGGCTGGCTTACCGAGACTTTAGAATCAAACAAGCTGCCATTCGGTTCGCCTTTTGCGGACACACCATTCCGCAGGAATGTCTGCGGGTCCAGACCCCACAAAAAGACAGCTTACTGATAGTCCCTCGGGTTAGATCTTGGTAGCCCAGTAAGCATCTGACAAGGGTACCCTTTCGGGATTGGTTACTTGATAAGGGGACCTTGAGCACCAAACTAAGGGCAACAGGGGAGCTTTCACAAAAAAACCAATATCATAAGGCAGGTAAACGAGGTCTGGGCAGTATGTGGCTTGGTGGCAACCGCATTCCCGGCCGTAAGTGTAAAGTTGGCGGGGTTGCTCAAAAAAATCGGGGGTCTCTATTGTAGCAGCTTAGCACACCCATCGTTCTGAATCAGGCATACATGTCGGCTCGGTTGCACGAGTTCGGCCGCGTGGTGAACGTTGAGCTCGCATCTCTGCTTCCGCTGTGTGCACCTGTGCTTCATCTTATGCCGGGGTTCAGGGTTCAAGGGTTTAGGAAGGGTATCTGGGAGGCATGGCGCCCGGGCCAAGAATCATTCAAATGGTTCTTTGCGGGGGCGAACAGTTGCCCGTGCCTTAAAATTCACATAGAGGCCTCGTGGGCATTGTCCCTACCTTGCCCAAAGTTCCACAAGCAGCACCTTGCTGCGGGAGCGTAGCACACTAGCTTAGATGTGTGTCTCCTAAACTCCTCCTCACAGGGTCAGGAAACAAGGTCTAAGCTTGCAGCACACTTCAGTCCAAACGCACAACTTGCTGCAGACTTTTCCAATGTACCCCTCAACCCCAAAAACCTCAAATTTCGAAGCCTGTCTCCTCAACCCTCATTGAGTGGGATTTCAGAGCCGGTTGCCAACACCAGGACAGGGTTTTCCAGGTTCAGGGCTTCGGGTTGGGGGATTTGGGCTTTGGGGCTTGAGAGGTTTGGGGCCTCGGCGGCCTGAGCCGGAAGGTCCTAAATCTTAAGGTTCCCCGACCTAAACCCCAAACCCAATGGCTTGATCTCACTGTGCAAGCTGAGCTGCGCGAAGTCCGATTTCAAGACCCGCCTCGGCAGAATGAAAAGGCTTCAAGGTTTAGGATTTCGCGGCTTAATTATGCTCATCATGAGACCTGCCGTTTGGAGCCTGGCACTAAGTCTGCGATGAAATGCAGAAAGGACACATAGACTCCTAGGCCCTACACGTGCATAATTCTGTGCTTACGAGTTTTGCATAGGGAATTATCTATCACCAGGCTTGAGGGATTGCAGTGCAGCTTTCAAACCTCACAAGGGGTGAGGGTGTTTCAAAGACCCCCGGGCAAGAAGTGATGACACTCTGCGAACCCGTCCCGCAGTCCGCACCCTTGTGAAACGTTAGGGCTCAGCCCAAGACCTGAAAGCAGGGCTCTAAGTCAACTAAATATGGCTCTAACCACCGTTACCCCATATACTTACAACCCTACTCACAAGTACCCTAAACCCTAAACCCTAAACCCTAAACTCTAAACCCTAAACCCTAAACCCTAAACCCTAAACCCTAAACCCTAAACCCTAAGTGACGAACCTCCAAGTACCCCAGACTCCTCCCATCCCGCGGCGCCCCTCCCGCTCTAGGGCCCAGCTACTCCCCAAGGCACGTGGAGGGGGTTTAGGGTTTAGGGTTTAGGGTTTAGGGTTTAGGGTTTAGGGTTTAGGGTTTAGGGTTTAGGGTTTAGGAACTACAGGGTTCTTCAGTAAAGAAGGGGCAACTATGGTTATAAACCTTTCTAAGGGCACCCTAAACCCCTAAACACCCTAAACCCTACACCTCCTACACCCCTAACCCCCCAAAACCCGACCTCCCATAAGTACTCATGAACCTTCAAGTCTTCCATCCAAGGATCCCATGCTCTGAGAGCAGAAAGGGCACGGCGCTGACTTCGTCGACATGCCTGCCGAAGCCAAATAAACCCTAAGCCACGGTTTAGGGTTTAGGGTTTAGGGTTTAGGTTTTAGGGTTTAGGGTTTAGGATTTAGGGGGGGTAGGGTACCCGGTCTGAGAGCCATGCTGGTACCTGCCCGCAAGGAAAGCACTCGTGGCCACCCCGATGTCGCCCGGACAACCCCTAAACCCTAAACTCGAAGCCCTCAGCGCTAAACCCTAAACCCTAAACCCTAAGCCCTCAGCCCCAAACCCGAAACCCTGAACCGCCAAATCGAGAATTTTCAGGAAGTTGAGGGTTTCGGGTTTTTCAGTGCCCCCTTTTCCAGGGGCTTATGCGCACATGATTCCGTGCTTCTTTGAAATCTACCCTTAGAGCCCAACAACCTGTTCAGGACTACGTCTTGTGATATGTCCTCTAGGGCTCTAGGGTCTGGGCTATAGGAACTCAAGGTCAGCATGCGGTTTACTTTTTTGCAGGGTTAGCATGCGGTTTGCTTTTTTGCTGGGGACGGGTCATGACTTTTGGCTCTTACTTCAACCAGGAAATACACTTCAAGGTCTGGGACCTGCCTTTCCCGATTCTTTTGGGCGCAACATGCGGTCCCATCCTCTACTGCAAAGACATGCGCTGCCCGAGCTCCAAAGCTTTTCGGGGCTTGAGGGCCCTGAACAACCTAAACCCTAAACCCTAAACCCTAAACCCGAAACCCGAAACCCGAAACCCGAAACCCTAAACCCTAAACCCTAAACCCTAAACCCTAAACCCTAAACCCTAAACCCTAAACCCTAACCCCACCGAACCACCCTGGGCAAGATGCATTTCGGACACCAGCTGCAGGGTGAGCAGGAAGGGCTCTGCTCCCTCACTGTCCTGGCTTGAACGTCGGCTGAGAGACTTGGGACTTTATGAAGGGTTTAGGGTTTAGGGTTCAGGGTTTAGGGTTTAGGGTTTAGGGTTTAGGAGCTAGATTCCCAATAGTACGATTCCCTTATAATGAGGACAAAAAGGTACACCGAATGTCGGAATCCATTTACAGTCGAGCCCCACTCTCCCGCAAACCCCTAACAGACCTTGAGGCACCATCAAAAGCTTCATCCTCAGGGTCAGAGGGCCCTAACCCTACATTTAGGCTTTCAGAACCCCAAAACCCCATGTAGCATTCTGGTTTCTTGCAAGCAATAAATATACGGGGTTTGCGAAAATAGGGGACCCCTAAAATCCCTAAAATAGACCCCCAAACGGTATAATAGGATCCCCTTAGAATACGGAAGCCGAATAGCGTACCCCGAATATCGTAACCCCCCTAAGCCCTAAACCCTAAACCCTAAACCGCCTAAACCCTAAACCCTAAACGAGTATTTAGACTTTCTGGGTATCAGATCAGGTAGCACAGGCACATACTGCTTCTTAGTCGGGAGTTCGGGATTTGGAGCTGTTTTTTGTGCTCACCCTAAACCCTAATCCCGTAATCCCCACTTGCCCGCAACGAGCGCAAGACCCTTACACTCTCCGTGAGACTGAATGGATGGAAGTTCAAGTACGTGTTGGGTTGCTTGAAGTTTCATGGGGTACTAAACAGCACAGGGTTCATTATAAGTAGGGTAATTGTGGCTTTTCCCTTTTTGGGGCACTTATAACCCTACTTATAAGTACCCATGGACCTGGACAAAACCACTTGCAACCTAGCGCCAGTGCCTCAAGGCACAGGAGAAAAGGGTCTTCGGATTTAGGGTTAGGGGTTTAGCCACGCCCGCCTAGACGAGAGCGCGACCTTCGTGCAAAAGCGAGCAAGCACCGACCTAGTCCCTCTTACCCTGGACGCTACTGGGAGGTTCAGGGTACTTATAACCCGAATTATAACTGTGCTTATAAGCTCAACAAAGCCCCTCAAGTACTTAGAGTTGTAAGTAGACTTAGAATTCGGGCGATAAGTCCCCATGAACCACCAAGTAGAACCCCTAGAGTTGACACACCGTTTGGGGCATCGCCCTTTTCCTCAACTTATTGAGTGCCAACAACTCCATAATTGCAACTCTGAGACCTAAACGCTGAATCCCAGAATCCCTGTACCCACAGAAAAGGCCTGTCCTGAAACGGCTGCATGGAGGTACAGTTTCCTCGAGCTCCCAATTGATTCGAGGTAGAGAGCTTTGTGCCCCTTATTTAGGAGAAGGCCTGAATTCGTACTACATATGCTGCTCCGCGCCTTAACCAAAAAAGAGAACCACAACTGGAAGGTCAGCGTTGCTCAGGCTGGCTCGCGGTAGATTTGAATGGCATGCTCATGCTTCGAGACGGCTTGGCGGCTGATATGCAAAATAAGTAAACCTAAGTGTTCTCCAGAGTTCTGGGGTTGAGGAGTGAGAGTTGTAGTTCAGGTTGTAGGGTTCATACGTTGCGCAGGCAATCTGCTATAGGTTGTGCTGTTGAAGGGTAAAATCCTTTCAGTCCAAGGAACCCTAAACCCTAAACCTTGAACCCTAAACCCTTTTGAACCCAGACTTGCTAAACCCTAAACCCTAAACCCTAAACTCTAAACCCGAAACCCTAAACCCTAATCCCCTAACCCCCCCCCCCCCCCCCCCGCCCAGCTCATTTTCGTCCACCGAAAGCACCCACCTGGGACTTGGCCCTGTTTTAGGATTTTGGGGCTTTAAGTAAGTTTCTAGGGTAGGGCGGGGAGGGGTCCTAAACCCTAAACCCAGCACCCCTTCTCCAGGCCGCGGCGCTTTGGCCAATGACATCCAAGGGATTGTTCCAGGACTTTTGTGACCTGTTCCTGGGGTGGTTGGGGTTCAGGGGTTTAGGGTGTTGGGGTTTGCGTTTCCTGCATGTTTGGGGTTAGGGTTGCAGGGTGTTTGGTAGGGTCGCAGGGTTTGAAAGTTTAGGTGCCTTGGGAAGTTTAGGGTTTAGGGTTTTAGGGCGTAGGTTCCCGGGCAAGTGGTGTTTAGGGTTGGAGGGTTTAGGTGTCTTGGGTGCCAGGGTGACTTATGGTTTGTCTTTTTTTGGCTTTGGGGTGTTGCTTTTGTTGGGGGAACTCCTATCTTTGTGCGGACTCTAGTACCCAATGAAGGACTCTGCCTGAAATATCTTCGAAGAGATATTCAAATCGAGAACCCCTGCTACTAGTTTCAGGTAAAGGCTTTTTTTGGGGGACCCTCTCTGGTCACGTCTTCTCTTAGACCTCGGGTACCTGTGACTGGCTTCTTATGCCTTTGGAGGTCAGGGGTTAGGGTTTAGGGTTTAGGGTTTAGGGCTTAGGGTTTAGGGTTTAGGGTTTAGGGTTCACATGCCCCTAACTCCAGAAGGTGACACAAGCTTCCTGTGAAGGGACCCTCATTTAAACAACCCGACTTTTCAGCCACACACAATAGCAAATCATCCACGCCTGAAACCTACAACCCTACACCCTGAAACCCCTACAAGCTTGAACACTAAAAGCCCCACAACGCGACAAAAGCCTACAAACACCCTGCAAGCAATAAACCCAACAAGCCTCCTATCATGCCTATATAAAACCCCTGCAATCCCGTAAACGCCTTTTAAGGCCCAACAGCGATTCGTGCCCCGTCTTCCAGGGTTTAGGGTGCTAAGGGTCGGTTTAGTTTTTTTTTTTAGGGTTTAGGGTTTAGGGTTTAGGGTTTAGGGTCTAGGGTCTAGGGTTTAGGAGACTTAGGGCTTCTAGCCACCCGCCGAGCAGATCAGCCAGGGTTCGGAGCATATACTTGGAAGGTTCATGGGTACTTTTTACCCCAAGTAGAACCCTAAACCCTAAACCCTAAACCCTAAACCCTAAACCCTATACCCATGAACCTCCAAGTAGGGCGTGGTGTGCAAGACGCAGAGAACAACTCCCCAAGCTTCGTCAAATTCGTCGGGGCAGCTCTGGCCAGACTGTGGAACCATCTAAGGCGACAAAGCCGCCCTAACCTGAATCCGCTTACTACTAGTTGCTTAAGAACCCCGAAAGAATAAAAATAGTCTTCCTTATTAAGGGGTAATATCGGGAATACGATTTTTTCTTTTTTCTTCTTTTGGGGTTCTTACGCAAACAGTAGTTTAGGGTCTAAGCCTAAACGCCCCTAAAGACCTCTAGACCCCAACCCTTCAGAAGCCTTAAACCCCAAAGCCTCGTCCCCCACCCCAAGCCCTAAACCCTGAGCCCTTCTGAAAGACCCAGGCGGCTGGAGGGAATAGTTTCGGAAGTAGTCCAGTGGAAGCTCGAAGGCCGTGGTCTTCTTCCAGCCCATAAAGCAGACCTCCGACACTCCGAGAACAGCCGCGAAGAAAACCCTAAACCCTAAGCCCTAAACCCTACACCCTACACCCTAAACCCTAAACCCTAAACCCTAACCCCTAAACCCTAAACCCTAAACCCCAACCAAAAGACACTGACCCAAAATCCTCAACCACACACCACGATGTGGGGTCAGGCCGGGGGGGGGGGGGGGAAAAGTAAGTACAGGCTTAAAAAAAGGTTTAAACAGAAAGTTGGCACAAAGTACAGGTTAGAACAAAAAACTGTTGTCACATAGTCCGGAACAGTCCAACCCTCGGTGGGGGGGGGGGGGACGGCATAAGGATTTCATTATCTTTCAGGCCCTATATCAGCCCAGAAGCCTGTAGGAATACAAAGGGTGCCCGTTTTGGTTTCACGGGACTTGGTTTAGGGTTTAGGGTTTAGGGTTTAGGGTTTAGGGTTTAGGGTTTAGGGTTTAGGGTTTAGGGTTTAGGGTTTAGGGTTTAGGTCGACCCGCAGTACCCAATTGTACCAAGCGCCTCCCTTCTGTATACGGGGTCTACATGCTGGTATTCCTATCTGTGCGTTGCGGGTCCAGGTTTAGGGGGTTTTAACAATGTACAGGGACTTGAAGAATCTCAACATTCACGCTGCCGAGGCGTTCGCAATTCAGATTTCACTCGCTAATGAAGACACGTTTTGCCGGCATGCCAGATTGTCGCTAAACTAGAGAATAGTCAAACGCCCAACCCTAAACCCTAAACTCCAAACCCTAAACCCTAAACCCAAGTGTTGACAAACAACCAGGATCAGAAGTACAAAACGTCAGAGATTCAGTGTTTCTATAAAGTTACAGCAGGTAGGGTGCCCAGACCCCTTGGGGGCATTCAAAAAGTACCCTATCCTACCATCGGGTGAGTCTTATAGGAACCCTTAAAGGGACCTAATTTTAGGATCCTCCCCGGGATCTGGCAACCCTAAACCCTTAACCCTAAGCCCTAAACCTTTTTGCCACTAAGCCCGAAACCCTAAACCGGGTTAACAGGGCTGATGGCTTCTACTCTCAGCAGCGGAAACTGCAACTGCGGGAACACCCCCAAAAAACACAAGCCTACAGGCACACCAGGGTTTAGGGTTTGGGGTTTGGGGTTTGGGGTTCACGGTAACCCTAAACCCTAAACCCTAAACCCTGAACCCTGAACCCTGAACCCTGAACCCTGAACCCTAAACCCTAAACCCTAAACCCTAAACCCTGAACCCTAAACCCTAAACCCTAAACCCTAAACCCTAAACCCTGAACCCTAAACCCTAAACCCTAAACCCTAAACCCTAAACCCTAAACCCTAAACTCGAACGACGCCACCTCCGACTCATGCTCAAACTGGCACGCGGTCTCCGTTGGTGCCACCTGACCCATGGGATGCCAGGACCCCTCTGCGGGAGTATCTAACCAGCACTCAGTGCTCCAGTTGCCCTCGGACCAAGCAACTCCTACCCGAAGGTAAACACAACTCACATGCCTGCTAAGGATTCCGGTTTAGGGTTTAGGGCTTAGGGTTTAGGGTTTAGGGTTAGGGTTATTCCGAGTTGGGATCCACACCATGGTCCCCTGACACACCTCACCCCCTGCCCCAGGTCCCTGTGCACGCAGCGACTACGTGCTGCGCCGACCGACCAAGTCAAAGTACACAACTAGGCCCCACTACCTTGAGTCCACAGCACCCCTAAACCCTAAACCCTAAACCCTAAACCCTAAACCCTAAACCCCTAAACCCCTAAACCCTAAACCCTAAACCCCAAACCCAACCCAAAACACTAGACCCGGAACCGAGCAATGGGGGCTGTGCCTTCTTCAGCATGAACCGTTCTTGCCCCGAAGGTACGGCCTGCCGCATCATTGAGTAACTTACTTCTCCAATATCCAAGCGAAGAAAAGGTTAAACTTTATTGTTATTACTATTGCTATTATGAGTATTATTATTATTGTTATTATGTTTATTATTATGATGATCGTTATATGATTATTATTATCAGTTTTATGAGTATTTTTTATGATTGTTATGATTTTGTGTTGGTTCTTATTATGACTACAGTAAAAAAAGGAGACCCCAAAGTTAAAGTTCAACAGTTGGCTAGGTGAGGTAATGAGCAAGAGATTTAGGGTTTAGAGTCTAGCCTTTCTTCCCGAACGTCCCCACGAATCGAAAACCCAAGCCGCGCCCGCCCAGATCGTGAGAAGCCAGCCAAACTCCAGTTTAGGGTTAGGGTTTAGGGTTTAGGGTTTAGGGTTTAGGTTTAGGGTTTAGGGTTTAGGGTTTAGGGTTTAGGGTTTAGGGTTTAGGGTTTAGGGCATGAAAGCGACGGATCTCAAAGAATCTAAGCGTCCGATGGGAACCAAGCAAGATGGACCAAGCCAAGACAACCCTAACCCTAAACCCTAAACCCTACTAAACCCTCAACCCTAAGCCCTAAACCCTAAACCCTGAACCTGAATCCTAACCCGCCCGCCACCACTCTTACGTTTGTTTGGGGTACTGTAGGTGGGCGCCGCTTTCGGCCTTTCCGGAGACCTTGAAAGTGCGATCCAGAAGCAAGCTTGCAACTTGGATGTGATTCTGGAACCTGATTTTTGATGAGAAGGCCCTTCCTCCGCATGTCTTCATCCTACAGCGTTCAACACCCTGGTCCCCTAAACCAGGAGCCTTCGTCTGTAGCGTAAGTGCCTGGACTCTCAACCCCCTACGCTCTACCCAGACCCCTTGAAGGATCCAAAAAGTAGAATCCCAAAATAGTACACTATACTGTTGGCCTTAGAGGGATCTACTTTTTTGGATCCTCGCAGGGGTCTGGGCAGACGGTAAACCCCTAAAGGCTCCACCCTTCAACCCTGAACTTCTACACGCAAAAGCTCCACCCGTTGAGATCCTGAAAGCTCTCCGGCCGTTCCCTCAGCAAGAGCCATGGAGAGCAAGCTTAGGGTGTAGAAATTCGGGTTTAGGGTTCCGGGCTTACATGGCCATTCTCTAAATGGATGGATCCGCCCTCGGCCTTGGGGTCTGACAGGGGGCCGCGGTGTTACCCGAAACCCTCAACCCTTAACCATAAACCGCGGGGTTGAGTTTGTTTTTGTTGTTTGCCTCCCGGGCTGAGGGTTTGCAAGGGTTGAGGGTTAAGGGTTTGGGGTTGAGGGTTTAGGGCTACTTGGAGGTATGAGACTCTGCTATTCCACAGAGACGTGGAGACTGAGGAGGAACGCAAACAGAACACGTCTCAACTAGTCACTTCTTAGGGGTTGATGGCTTAGGGATTAAGGCTTCTTGTGCACTACTTATACTCCCTTTCCCAGTGGCGTAGGAGCAAGAATGATACAAACTTCTGGTTTAGGTTAATGAGGGGTCCGAACCCCCCCAAGAATGGAACAAGGCTAGTACTAGAGAGCCCCGGCCCAGCCTAGCTATCCTAAACCCTAAACCCTAAACCCTAAACCCTAATTAAACCCTAAACCCTAAACCTTAAATTTAAACGGGAGGGGTGCAATGTAGCGACCTCGGCCGAAGTGATTGAACAGTCGAGATCCTCGGACGTGAAGAAGATGGTGAGGGCATCGGCCTGCTTTAGGGGCGATAAACCTAATGAAAACCCTAAACCCTAAACCCTAAACCCTAAACCCTAAACCCTGAACCCTAAACCCTAAACCCTAAACCCCACACCTACATACCCAAAGCAGCTCCATCCGTCCCGTGTGGGTCTAAAGAACCTGGGCTACAGGGTTTGCTGCAGGGTGGCGTGACAAGTGGCAATAGCGTTCATCACAGATCGTACTAGGTTGATTTGTTTGACAGCTAGTCGGGGTGGCGGGTTCAAAGCTTTTTTGGGGTGAGCCCCTGAACTCCTAAACCCGAAGCCCAAAAACCCTGCAGCTATTCAACCCTAAGCCTCCTCTAAACCCCAAACCCCAACTACTAAACACTCAAACCTCTGATGGTCAGCGCCTACTTCTCAGGGCTGGGCAAGCCGAAAGGCACCTACCCACCTGAGGGGCCCCGAATATAGACCCCCAAATGGTAGGGCTTCCCTTATAATTAACTTATAATTAACTTATAACTAACTTATAACTAACTTATAATTAACTTATAATTAACTTATAATGAATAAGGCCCCCAATATTGTACCCCCTAATTTCGGAGACCATTACATGGGCCTTGAAGAAGGCGCTGGAGTCGAAGACCCATATCGGCCACGGCTTCACAACCCATCCGCCTTGCGTTTCCGGCCCATCAGTGCACAGCAGCGATCGGTTTCTAAGGCCCTGCAGACCCTCTGATAAAACGTTTCAAAGATGGCCCTCTTGCCGGTTTAGGGTTTGGGAGTTAGGATTTAGGGTTTTAGGGCTCCTATAAATCCAAGACGAGGAAATTGAAATACTCTAAGGGCTTACACAGGCTTAGGGTTTAGGGAGCGCTTTGCTGCCCGCATGGCTGACACCATCGCGTTAGGGTTTAGGGTTGAGGGTTTAGGGTTTAAGGTCTAGGGTTCAGGGTTTAGGGCGAGGTTGTGCAAGTCAAAATACAGAGGTAGATGGGCAGCCAGGAAACAAACGCTCAGCACACCGCTGCCTTGTCTACCACAGAATCAGAAATGAGAAAGCCGGAGCCGTTTGCCATGAAAGTCACAACAGCCAACAACCTTATGCAGTCTGGTCTCTTGGCCCAAAAATCCTGAGCATCACAGTCCTTAAAGCCTTAGGGTCTGTGGGGCTCACAGCCCGAAACCTGAAATCCAATTGCTCGCAGAGCCACGAACGCTGCGCGGCTGCAGCTTGTAGCCGTGCGACTCGATCTGGACAGACAGGGTGTGAGTCGTATAGGGGGGAGGACAGGGTCCCAAAAGTGAGGGTCCCCCTTGGTGGTCCTTCTTAAGGAGGGTCGCTATCTGTACTTGAGGGTAAAGCAACGGGACCCGGATTTTGGGAAACTTCATATACATGATGCTATCGGGGCCTCTCCATTAGAATACTTAGGTGCTTTTGGATTTCTATTGGTACAATTTAGGGACGATAGGGGGCGAATACTGGTTTCTTGACTTGAGAGCAGGGGGCCCCGAAGTTTGCACGCGGCCGGTGTATTTTTCCTGGCTGGCATGCAGCTGCCAACCGAGGATTCGGACTTTTCGGGGATATGCACCTTCTACTCAGGCGCAAGCCCTGAACCCTAGACCCTAACCCTAACCCTACCCTCCCACCCGCTCCGTGAGCTTGAGTCCCAAAGATGTCAGGCCAAAGGTCCCCCCGAGCCCCGACAGCCGGCGTTCTCAGCACAATAAGCTCCCCACCTACCCTCCCCTCAACCATAAAACCCTAAACCCTAAACCCTAAACCCTAAACCCTAAACCTAAACCCTAAACCCTAAACCCTAAACCCTAAACCCTAAACCCTAAACCCTAAACCCTGACCCCTAAAATCCCGCACCAGGGATCCGGGCATAAACGTCCGGGACGTGGGCATACGCGACCTGGGCAGTGCATTTTCAACTACACTCCAAGCCCTAGAAGCCCTCTAACAAAGGGGGTTTAGGGTTTAGGGTTAGGGTTTAGGATTTAGGTTTAGGGTTGCTTAATGTTTGGAATGGGATTTTTTTTTTGGGGGGGGATTATAGTATATTGCTACAGGGACCACAAGAGAATTCTATTCGTAGATTTTTCCAACCCTTCTAGTACCATGAACATTCGTGGTCTGAAGGATGGAATAAAGTGGGAAAGTGAGGCTTTCAAGGCCGTTTGGACAGATCACTTGCAGGGACATGTCCGAGACGCATCTCACGCTTGCCTTTGTCCGAGTCCTCTTCTTCATGCAAAGACAGTAGCCCAGAAGGTGAGACTGAGAGCAATGTCATGTCCTTCGCCTTCGCTCATGGATGACTCACGGCTCGAACTTGATACCTGTGGCTTCTTCACTGGTCCTCCACAGCATCTCGACTGCTTTCGGGTCGTTCTCATAGGCTTTGGGCGGGTTTGGCACAGCGGGGCCTGAGGTTCCCGAATTCTTGGGGCCATAGAGAACACCACTTTCGGCGTCCGGAGCCACCATGCATTTCAAGAGGCCCATGGTCCCATCTTCAGGTGATTGGGCAAAGCAAGGCATGAGGCACCCGATCAGGCAATCCGCGCAACAGCCGTGCCTTCGTTGCTGAGTTCATAAGCCCCCCAACACTGTGTACCCTTTCAGTTCTATAGGGGATTATAGTATCCCAAAAAGTGTAAAGTGTACTGATTCAGCTACTAAGGTGCTTCAAGCCGTTGGCGAGATTGGTGGCCGAGCCACCCGGGTGTGCGCAAAGGGACCGTACCTTGGACCCGCGCGCTGCCAACTTCTCGTGAAGCCCATAGGTAAACACCTTGACAGCCCAGAGTAGCCATCTCATAATAAGGGCACCCTTTTTTGGGGGGGTTGGTTGCTGTATAAGGGAACCTTGAACCGAAAAAGGGCAGAACCCTAAACCCTAAACCTTAAACCATAAACCCTAAACCACTGGGCTACCAGGACACTGAGTTCGCCAACTTGGTTTGGAAGTAGCGGTGATAGCAGGCGCCCCCCATCAGTTTGATGGAGTCCCCACCCAAGTTGCCACCATTCCTTGGTGCTACCAGTACCCATACTACACTAAGGCTACCCCTTTTTTGGCGTTGGATCCTTCAGTAGCCATAAGAGGAACCCAGAACCAAGAAAAGTACTAAAGTATAGTTCTCCAGAACACAGTTTTCTAAGGGAACCTCCCATAACCCAGAAAGGGCAAAACTAAGTGTAATTATACTACTCAGCTGCCAAGATTCTTCCCGAAGTACTTCTCCTCCAAGCCGTTGTTGACCTCGACCCAAGAGACCCTAAACCCTAAACCCTAAACCCTAATTCCTAAACCCTCGACCCTAAACCCTAAACCCTGAACCCTGAACCCTAAGCTAGGTCCTAGTGACGGTGTGAAGCCGACCGAGGCTGGAATGGCTGACAATGCGAGCGTCTCCATTTGCTGCTGCCTCAGCCTCCAGCGGTGGGGTTTAGGGTTTAGGGTTTAGGGTTTAGGGTTTGGGGTTTAGGGTTCTCAGCCTCCAGCAGTGGGAACAACTCTGCCGTGAGGAGGAAGTGAGATAGGTGGTTTGTCTGCATCTGGGTGTCATAGCCATCCTTAGTGGCTTCGTCAGGTGTGGCCATGATGCCCGCATTGTTTGCGAGGCAGTAGATCTTGGTGTACTTTGACCTTACTTGCTGAGTTCCCAAGGCCCCCAAAAAGTGTACACTGTCAGTTCTATTTGGGATTAGAGTATCCCAAAAAGGGTAAAGTGTGCTTACTCAGCTACTGAGTGACTTGATCTCTGCTGCCGCCTTGCGGACACTCTCGAAATCCTGCAGGTCGCAAGCGACGTCGCAGAACTTTCCTCGGCTGGCCCTGAAAAACCCCGAAAAACTATTCCTGAATATGACCATCCTAAACCCAAATAAGAGAAATTACAAAATGTCCCAAGGGCCTACCGAGTTTCCATCTGGAACGATCTCCTTCAGCCGCTGCAGGGAATCGGCGACTCGCTGGGATGGTCGGTTTAGGAGAAGAACCTCCCCACCCAGCTCAGCTACCACCTTACTTCTCCAACAACCAAGGGAAATATAAATTTAGCTGTTCCTACTAAACAAGGAAACCCCCCAAAGAGTTTAAAGTTCAACTATTTGGCTAAGCAAGCCGCCCATGCAGCAACGAAGCCCGTGCCCGAAGTGGTTCCCGTGATGACAAAGACCTTTCCATCCACGCGAGGGAGTTCCTTCTTGAACTTGGGAAACCACTTGGAGTTCGGCATCGACACAAGCCACGGATCCTAAGGTCCTCCGGCAAACCCCTGCAACCAGGCCAAAAATTGACTGCAGATGGCTGCGGCACCACATACGATGCTTCAGGAGCATCTTCCTTCATCGTGGGGTTTTCGGGCATGGGCGCGGGCTTTCTGCACTTTTCAAATGCCGCGAGAGCTGTAGCAGAGGTTCCTTTTGGAGCTTCATGGGTACTTCTAAGTAGGGTTGCAAGTAGGGCAAGTATGGTTATAACCGCATGTAGCTACTTAATTTAATTCATAGACATGTACACATGACTATCCCCGAATCCCTAAACCCTAAACCCTAAACCCCTGAACCCTAAACCCTAACCCTAAACCCTAAACCCTAAGCCCTAAACACCCTAGCAAGCATGAACAGGCCAAGCCATTAGGGTGCTGAAGCGAGCAGCCATCATGTCCCAGTTGGTTATCGGGATGTACGAGAGCATGATGCCCTGGAAACAGGACGGTTTTGGAGGGTTTACGGTTTAGGGTTTAGGGTTTAGGGCTTAGGGTTTAGGGTTTAGACAAGGTCAAGCTGCTACAGCGTTTTCATACCCGAAGTTATAGGGTCATGCAAGCGAGCCGAGGGGGGGGACCTGAGTCCTGCAGGTAGAGGCACAGTTCGTACTGGGTTTACGACTTCTTCGCGATGTTTTGTGGGAATCGCTTTCCATGCGTCAGTGCCCCCCGTGCAAATCCACATGATGATGCCTAACCCGCCTAGTTAATTTTCGGGCCCATTACGCAAAAATGGCTACCGTGGGCCGTCTGTTATTGCATAATGTTCAAATATAAGGGTGCTGATGTTGGCAATTGTCTAGGCAACTGCATTAGTTCTCGGCCGTTTGCCATCGCAACCCAGTAAGAACGAACACTTTGTTGGCTGGAACGTCCGGCAGCATCACCTTAGATTCTTAGATCAACTCCGAGAGGGAAAGTATGAACTGTCAAGCGGACTGCACAACAAACAGCGAGCCCAGGTGTGCATGGACGTATCCCCGATGGTGAACCCTAAGACCTGGCGCCTGAACACTTAGATGGGCAAAGTGTGCTCAACAGCCGTGTTGGTCGTGTCTATAAATACAGATCTAAATACGTGTATACGTATATGTATATGTATATGTACATGTATATGTACATCTATATCTATATCTATATCTACGTTTCTCTATATGTATGTATGAATATGTATGTATATATATATATATATATATGCCTCCCCCCCCCCCTCAAAGATCCACCGTTTTGGAGACTTGCAGTAGACAACGCAGTTCCCGTAGCTTTTACTCGTTTCTCCGGACGAGACGTACAACCACCTGAAACATACTGAAAAACACAAATATATCATCAGTAAAGTATCTAAACAAAACCTTATGGCGTACGTACCCCTTTCACTAGTCTTTCACTCAAAACCACCCTAAACCGTCGCTATATTAAGATATGACAGCACACAACCACCTGAAGCACCCTGAAAAACAAGAATGCAACCGTAAAGTATCTAAAGGGCTTCTGGCGGTCTCAGGGAATAGTGAAAAGATATTTGCTCACAGTATCCTCGCGTCCCCGGCACTTACAGCAGATGATGTTTTTGCATCATCTTATGCCTTCTTTATTGTATGTGTTTGATATACAATACTTGTACCCTATATACATACATGATGTGGGTATTTCTTCTACTTTCTCTTTGGATTAGGGTCTAAACCCTATAGACGGTTTTAGAGATAAACCCTGAAAAGACCCGAAACCTTTCAACGTTATAGGGTTTAATATGGTTTAATGGTTTACAAACCTAAGGTCCGGGCATGTATACCTTCAGCTCCCATGGGGTTAAAACCGTTGAGCCTTTTTGGGCCCTATAGGGCTTTAGGGCTCAGACCCTAAAAGTTTAGCGAAAAGGTGTAAATGCCTCAATCTTAAACCTACATGGGCTTACGTTTAAGTGCCTAAATCACAGGGTTATAAGGTTCTGCTCCTTGGTACTGCCTAAACCTTAAGCCAATAGGGTCTAAACCCTATAGGGCTAACTCCGTGACGGTTCTAGAGATAAACACTGCAAAAAAACTCAAAACCTTTAACCCCTATAGGCTTTAATGGTTTACAAACCTAAGGTCTGGGCATGTAGACCTTCAGCGCCTATAGGGTTAAAGCCTTTGAGCCTTTTTGGGCCCTATAGGGCTTTAGGGTTCAAACCCCAAACGGTTAAAGTGCCTCAACCTTAAACCCTAAGGTTTGGACTTTATGGGCTTAGGTTGTAATGCTTATAAATCTTAAACCCTAAACCTTAAACCTATAGGGTCCAAAGCTTAAAGGTTTAGGTTTAATTGCCGACTTATGTGCAAATGCCTAAATCTTAAACCCCAAACCTTTAAACCTCAACCATATAGGGTTCAAAAGTTAAGGGTTTGGGTTTAATTGTTTAACCCAAAAGGGTTTCGGGGTAAACCCTTAAACCAATAGGTTTTAGAGAATAAGCCCGCAGTGGAGCTGAGGAGGGCGGGGCCAGTGAATCCGGATTGTTGAAGATGGTGGGCTTAGGGTGTTCCTGCATTTTTAAGCTTGCATTTAGAAATCTACGTTAAATGCGGGCAGACCCCAGGAACCAAGAACCAAGAACCAAGATGCTCAGGAGTCTTGATTCGTGGCTCTTGGTTCCTGGCGCTGGGCTGCATATAAAACTGCATTAAAAAATTTAAGTTAAATGCAGACCAGCCCCAGGAACCAAGAACCAAGAACCAAGATGCTCAGAACTCTTGATTCTGGAATCTTGGTTCCTGGGGCTGGGCTGCATTTAAAACTGCATTTCAAAATTTAAGTGCAATGCAGACCAGCCCCAGTAACCAAGATTCCAAAATCAAGAGTTCTGAGTATCTTGGTTCTTGGTTCTTGGTTCCTGGGGGTGGTCTGCATTTAACTTAAATTTTTAAATGCAGGTTCAAACTTCACAGGGTCGTGTCCGCATTTAACTTAAATTTTTAAATGCGGTTGAAATTCACGCGGCCTCGGTCAAGTAATTTAAGGTAATGGTGTCGTGTGTCGTTTGTTATCATGTGTTTGGCTATTAAAACATAGAAAAAGTAAAGTAGCACATCAACAAGGCACCAAGAGCACATCACCAGAGGGAAAAAAGGGAAAAAGGGGTGGATCTTTGGGGGGGTACCATATATATATATACACACACGCACGCACGCATACACATACATGTATATGCACATATACATATACTTAATCGTTGATTTGTACATCTGTGTCATTGCGTATAGTTGTTCATTTCTCATTCCTTTCCCAAGACACAGTGCGAAGGATCAAATACACAGTCGAAGCAGCATGCCACTTGCAGCGTTAACCGCATAGCCCCACAAGAAATCGGTACCCCGAAGACCGAAGCCCTAAACCCAAAAAAACACTAAACCCGAAAGGTGCGATATTAAAAATGCAGGAGCCAACAGGAGAAGCAACGCTTCCATAAGACGATGCTGAACAGGAACCCTCCTCAAATAAGAAGCCACCATAATACGGGACCTGTAAGGATTACTACTGCTTGCTTAAGAACCGCCCCCCCTCCCCCCCCCCCACCCCCCCCCACCCCCCCCCCCCCCCCAAAAAAAAAAAAAAAAACAAACGAATAAAAATAATAAATAAAATACTAATAATCAGATATAATGGATGTAATAATATTGATGATAATAATAAAATATATATGTATATGTATATCTATATAATGTGCATATATATATATATGTATGTATAGATGTATAATCCCAAAATCACCCTTCTAAGGAAGGTTCCTTTTTTGATTTGGGCCTTCTTATGCAATTGGTAGACTAAGGGATGGTCGAGCTTATGAATGGATATCAGGACTTTGGGATGCCAGGTCTAGGGTTTAGGGTTTAGGGTTTAGGGTTTAGGGTTCAGGGTTCAGGGTTCAGGGTTTAGGGTTTAGGGTTTAGGGTTTAGGGTTTAGGGTGGTGAGCCTCCTTCAGGTTGTACATGTCACCCACGGCCATGGCCGAGTATCTCGGCTGCAGAACTCGCATGCGAGGTCTGCTTCGGATTGTGGTGGGTTTAGGGTTTAGGGTTACAGGGTTTAGGGTTCAGGGTTACAGGAATTAGGGTTTAGGGTTTAGAGTCTAGGGTTTAGGGTTTAGGGTTTAGGGGGCGAAAAACCCCAGGCCCTGGATGCAAACGGCGCGAAAGTGTTTTCGGCAGGCTAGCGGTGTCTTGGCTAGGGCTATCTATCCGCCATGCCGTGTGGGTTAAAGCAACCAGGATCGGCTATTAGGCCTTAAAATCTCCATAATGAACCCTGTTGAGAGCCTTTTAAGGGATTATAGGGTATAATAGCCCATCCTGGAATGAATATGACCTACTACCAAGCATAGGCGATGGTTACAACAAAGTTTTAATGGGCAAGGATGTTTTAGAATCGATCTTACCCCCCATGTCCACCATCCCGCACCAAAACTCTACATCTGACGCCCGACATCCCCAAACAAGCTTCTCGAGGTAGGCAATGCAATGCAGAAAGGGACAACTGCTACAGGAAGGTCGAGAAAACTTCAGGACGGTCGAGAAAACTCAACCCTGGCCTGCGAACTGGGAGGCTTCCTTTTGGGCTTAGGGTTTCGCGTTTAGGGTTTAGGGTTTAGGGAACTGGGAGGCTTCCCTAAACCCTAAGCCCTAAACCCTATAGGGACCTGGGAGGCTTCCTGTTTCGAACTTGTCTGCAAGCTTTTGGGGTTCGATCGTGGCATTGCAATCGGAAAGAATATATGGGAGACTGCCTTGAGATCCCCCCAAAAAAAAGAGGAATGAAGATTCTTCCTTACAAGGGTAGTGTCACTCTACGTGGTTTGAATGCCGTACCCTAAGGCTTTTTTTCGGCTAGGACTGCTGCACGAAACCCTAAACCCTAAACCCGAAACCCTAAACGCCAAGTTCGACAAGCTGCAAAGTTTAGGCCTGCCGTGCCGCCGAGATGCCCGCTCTGGTTGCCCCGGTGCACCATAAGCTCCATGCTGAAAGACGAGAACTCCTGCTGCGGGGTTTATAAGGTTTAGGGTTTAGGGAAAAGGGTTTAGGGTTTAGGGTATAGGGTTTAGGGAAAAGGGTTTAGGGTTTAGTGCGTACAGTGAGGCTTGTAGGGGTCAATGTATACTTGCAGCTTTGCAGACTACGGCAGTGTAAGGCAAAGTCTTCAGCAAGAGCTCTCGCACGCGAGATATTCACATCAAGCCTTTCTTCCTGGGGAGACAGCCCGCGGCACATGGAAAGCACAAACCTGAAAGGCACGAAGGCACGACTACGTTGCACCACACAACCAGCTTCAACACAAGGAACATGTACAGCGAGTTTGGCTGATCAGCAGGTACCAGTCGCAATCTCGTGTTGAAAGACTATGGGCTGCTTCATGCATCTTGGCATCAAACTTCGTTTCACACGCCAAGACAGCGCCTTCCTAAGGACGAACAGGCTTGAACCCCAAGAATACAAAGCTGACTGGTCGAAAAAGCCAGCCCGTCCTGCTTGTCTTGCGGCAAGAAGCCCGTCATATTCCTCAGTCAGGATACTTGAAGGTTCACGGGTACTTGTAAGTAGGGTTATGAAAAATTCGCATATAGGGTTATGACCATGGCTCCATACTCAAACATTCGAACCCTAAACCCTAAACCCTAAACCCTAAACCCTAAACCCTAAACCCTAAACCCTAAACCCTAAACCCTAAACCATGTCCGATTTGAACTTTCTGTGCTTTTTGGGTTAGGGGGCTGCTCTAGGCCCCGACGATCATGCGTTTAGGGTGAAGGGTTTAGGGTTTATGGTTTAGGGTTGAGGGTTTAGGGTAAAAGCAGCAACGCTGGCCCGATTTAAGGGTAGTGACAAAGAAGTCTACACTCTACACGTGCCAAGCGCCACAACTCGAACTTGAACTCTGCTCACCCTGTGGCCATCGCTGAAGGCCCCAACCTCGACATACTCCCCTTAGAACCTTAACGGAAACATTGTTTTGAACATATTCCCTTGGGCTTGTACAAAAGAGCAGAAGAATCGTAAGGGGGCTATAGCACAGGGGGGGAGGGTCTCAAAATAACATGGGGGAGGTCGTATAACGAGGCTTGGCATGTTTTGGGGCGGGGGGCGGTAAAGGTCCATTTGATTGGAACTTACTTCGCCAATAAGCCAGGGAGAAGAAGGTTCAACCTCATGATTCCTACGAACTAAAGGAGCCCCCCAAAAAGTTTAAAGCTCAACTCTTGGCTAAGTAAGGGTAAGTGTCGCCGCCACTGTTGGCGATCCTGCCGCGGATTGCTGCAAGTCCACCTGAAGACGAGACGACCCCTGCAAATTCAAGGGGTTGAGACTCGTATCCCTAAGATTGTACCCCTAAAGGTTTCCCTTCATATGCTCCAAATATGGCCTTAAATATTATCTTATAGTAGGAATGATGAAAAAAATGGTCCCGGTACCACCTTAACAATCCAAGGTAAAGTCCCTTGACTAATGAGGTTCAGGGCATAGTGAAACATGATACGTTCAAAATACCCTGAACCGTAAACCCTATAAAGCCTAAACCGTGATGAACCCTAAACCCTGTAAAATCCCAATTGTCTGCAACTACTTCTGCCTGCGATGACCGTCGTCTAGGCGCTTCAAAGTCAACAAGCCCCTGCAAAGTGAAGCTTCGGCAGGACTGGACTACGGTCGGGAGTTCACAGTAGGGCTGGGATGTTCCCCCCAGTCCTTATTCTTGTACAACCCCCCCCCCCCGCAATATAATCCCTATCAAGGACCGTGAATGCAAGGGGGGGACATCCCAAGATTATCGTATGGGGATGCCCTATCCCCCTGGTTCTTAGTAGGGAATGAGGGAATTGGGGACATACATATACCCTCTAAGGGATTATCTGGAGCCCTCATTCTCTCATTCCCTACTAAGAACCAGCCAGTCATTTGTGGTTGGCACGCTTTGGATACGTCCGGTGCGGCTCAGTCCCCCCACTTGTAGTCAGTCCTGAGGCCCTGTCAGGTGTGCTGAATCCATTTTCCAGGAAGCCGAAAGAAAGGATCCCTAAACCCTACACCCTAAACCCTATAAACCCTATAAACCCTATAAACCCTATAAACCCTATAAACCCTAAACCCTAAAACCTAAACCCTAAACCCTAAACCCTAAACCCCTAGAACCCTTCGCTCAGAATCTTCCCTTGATCAAAGCCCTCGAGCCATGTCCCTGGCTCCGCATACTGTGCCCTAAAAACCCTAAACCCTAAACCCTAAACCCTGAACCCTGAACCCTAAACCCTAAACCCTAAACCCTAAACCCTGAACCCTAAACCTAAACTCTAAGCACTAAACGCTAAACACTAAACTTAACCCTACTAGCCCTATGGGCCCTATAAATCCTATTAACCCTATTAATCCTAAACCCGAAACCACAGGAAGGGCTGCATGCTGTGGGCTGAGGACCGTCCAACAAGAAGTCCGAAGCCTGGAATCAGCTCATCTAGATCCGGGAGTAGCCTAGGAATAAAGAGGGTACCCTTTTTGGGTTTAAGGGGATTACAAGGGAACCCCGACCCTAAAAAAAGTGAAAAAGGGCCTACTCCCGGCCCTAGTCATCTCCCCCTCTGAATCCCAGCAGGCTTCTCATGTCCTCCGGCCGTCAAGTCTCATCCACACAAGAATTGGGTTGCTTCGCGGGTTTAGGGTTTAGGGTTTAGGGTATAGGGTTTAGGGTTTCAGCAATTTGGCAAGTTATTTTCAAGTTTCCTGATTGTGCTGACATCAACAACCAGTAAAGCATTTCAGCCGAAGACACACAGCCGGTCTTCAGTCTCCCGTTCAGCTTTGCCTGGGCGGGATCGCCTACAAGCCCTGGAGAATCCAAGAAAGGTCTTCCCCAAAACTTCCGGGGACCTAGACCTCACAACTCGGGTCCTAGCACCTCAAGGTTATCACAGTTAGGCCCCTGGAAATCGGAAAGATCGGGTTATGCCTTCTTTCTGCAAGCCACTAGGTCTCAATGTGAACACTCCAAGGTAGCGTTTGAGGGAACGGCGGAACCTGTAAAGCCTTAAACCCTGAACCCTAACATCCGAAAACCTAGAAACCCTCAAACCTAAACTGCCAAAAACACGGAGTAGAGTCTACCCCCAACCAGTACTGAAGACCCATGAAGAACGACACTTGCTGCGCTGAGCTCGGTGTGATTCCCAAACGCTGGATGCCAGCCAAACCCAGCCCCCCGACACCCCAAAACCCTCCACCTTGCCTGTCGCGTGCGAGTGTGAGAGGCGAAACTCCCCTTTTTTCCTACAGTCCTCCTACCCCCACTATCCCAGTAAGATACAAGAGCGAACGACACTTAATCATCATGGCTCAGTATAGGCGCTGTACAACTGCAGGTTAAACAAGTTCGGATCAGGGCTACCATTTCCAGCGTTCAGCTCGTGGACACGCGCGGGTCTTTGCAGCTACTGCAGATTTTTGGGGTATAGTGCTTTGGAACTTTGGAGGTTCAACTTCTGCACGGGAACTCTACTTGGATAGGGCAGCTATGGATATCACCTTATTGAGGCTTCTTATAACCCTACTTGTTAAGTGCCCATGAACCTTCAAGCACACCCTAAACCCTAAACCCTAAACCCTAAACCCTAAACCCTAAACCCAAAACCCAAAACCCTTAAACCCTTCTCCTTCCAGCCAGGGATCGCAAGCCGAGGCGGCGAGCGCGGTGTCCGTATGCTTCATGAACTGCAGGGTGAGATCGGATCCTTGGCTGGCGACAGCTTTTTCATCTGCTTACGTATGTACATATTTACATATATATACATATGTATATGTATATATATATATATATATATATATAAACATATTGTGTTTTGTATATGTTTGCACTTTTCTGTTGTATGACAATGACAATTCTGAGTTCTCATACATCTCCGAAACTTTCGATGCCTGACCGAGTCTCAAAACAGGGTTTAGGCTCTAGGGTTTCGGTTTAGGCTGTTTCTTTTGGGGGGTTTGCACTGTAGCACTCCAGGAGATTTCTTCTCGTCTTCTTCTAGGGGGAGCTGCCCCCCCCCCCCCACATCCATCACGAACCCTCAATTGGGTCATACTTGGAGGTTCATGGTACTTGTTAACCAATGATAACTGTACTTATAACCCACTTATGAGTCCCTTAAGTGCCCTAATATGGTGAAAGGTACACTTATACGTACAGTTGAATTTGTCAACAAGTGCCATGAACCTCCAAGTAGACCCCATACTTCGTACCATGATTCCTACTAAGGTCATGTGAGCCATAAACCCTTTTAGGGTTCATTTAGTCTCCCAGGACTGCAGACACCCTTGTATGGCGCATGGCCTGTCAACTGCCACCCGCCGTGCTTTACCAGGATAGATTATCCGGCCTTAAAATCCCCATAATGGACATAAAGGGCCTTTGAAGGGATTATAGGGTATAATAGCCCATCCTGCCTTAAAATCCCCATAATGGACCCTATAAAGGGCCTTTTAAGGGATTATAGGGTAGAATAGCCCATCCTGCTGTACGCCCCCGCCCAGTTTGAAAAAACCCCGCCCCCCACAAACGGCCCGGTCCAAATCCTCCTTCCTAAAATGGGTGGCTTCCGAACTTAGGGGTATCTTCTTGGGGCCCTTATTGTAATGGAATCCTACTAGTTGGGGGTCGATTTTAGGGGTTCCCTATTTTCGTAAACCCCCAATTCTGTTCCAATCCCGCGGCAAGCACACCCTGCATCATCCCGCAACTCTAAACCCTAAACCCTAAACCCAAAACCCTAAAACCCTAAACCCTAAACCCTAAACCTGGGAATTGCATGTCAAAGTGTCTCGTGGCATCACAGATGGACCAGGAAGGCCTCAGCAATTTGAAAAGCACAGGGTTTAGGGTTTAGGGTTTTTAGAGTGTCTTGAGTAGACCCCATTTTTTTGAAATTCATGGCCTTTTCCGGGGATAGTAGCAAAAACGGATTTGGGTGTTTAGGGCTTCGCCGCAGGGTTTTCGGCTTGGCGGGTTGGAGGCTAAGGGCTGCTGCTAGGGGGTTTAGGGTTTAGGGTTTAGGGTCTAGGGTCCAGGGATGAATCTTCTTAAAGAGCAAGCCATGGGATGCTCCCCCCTATACTAACAGTCTTTAGTAGGGAGTAATAGGGGGGGGGGTACTATATATCATCCCTACTCTTCATTAAGCATTGTTAGTATAGTACTGTAATCCCTACTCAGACCCTTTATTAAGGATTGGTGAAAGTATAGGAGGGAACATCCAACAGCAAGCCCTTTTCAATAGTCAGGGGCTAGCTTCGTTGCTCTTTCTGGCGCTACTTCTCTTTAGGGTTTAGGGTTTAGGGTTTAGGGTTAAGGGTTTAGGGTTTAGGGTTTAGGGTTTAGGGTTTAGGGTCCTCTTTGCTTAGCGTTCTCGATGTTGCTTGTAGTTGTTCGATGTGCTGCTTCTTGGTCTCATAGAATGAGGGTCTTCGAACCGCTTTCAGGCTGATTTCAAAGAGCTCTTCTCGTCATCCAGTATGTAGGGTTTAAGGTTTAGGGCTTAGGGCTTAGGGCTTGGGGTTTAGGGTTTAGAGTTTAGGGTTTAGGGTTGCTTGTTTGGCGGGCAAGGTCGATGCGTCGTTTCGTGTCCATTTGGGCCTCTTTCTGCTCTTTTCGCGGAAGGAACCCGAAGTCCCTGATCCCTACTGGCAACCAAGAACTTTGCGAAGACCCAGACCCTGAAGAGCCAAAACCCTGAACCCCAAAGCTCAATCACCAATCATGAGGGTTTACGAGCCATAGTTATTATGGCTTCAGAGCTTTGTCGTCCTCGGAAGTGTTGTGGCTCTCTTCAGAAGCATCTGCCAAGTGACTGAAGCACGAGCCAGCAACCGGGCTTCCTCGTACACATTCGTACACACATTGAAGGGAACTTGGAAAATCAGAATCGCCTAGACATGTATGAGGTCAATGGCTTGAAAAGGAATAGTGTTGTCTCATCCCTTTAATTTGATGGGGGCTTTCAAGAGGGAATTCAGCCTAAACCCTAACAACCAAGGGGGAACGAGTGGTACCACTGAGGGATCCTAGGGGTTAGGGTTTAGGGTTCAGGGTTTAGGGTTGCAATCTCGGACCGGGGGTCGTGTGCCAGGCCGTCACCGCCTGCCGGGCATAGAGGAGGCGGTGGCACGCATCCTGCGCAGGCATCGCGCCCATGGAAGAGTACCAAAACTCCGAAAGTCTGCCGGCGTCTGCATATCAAAAGGGCCCATGTGCCTATCTAGTGTATATTTGGGACCTAGAGCTGCTATAAAGGCGAACCCTTAAGGCAGAAGTATACACCATATAGGTTCATTGACCCTCAGGGAATGCAGTGACGGAGTTCGCACCAAACCGTATACAGCGCCTATAAAACTTAGCAGCATCTGACCCGACGGCGTGCACATGCCTCCTGCACCTCATGGTAGAAAAGTAGCATCGTCATCCGACAGCTCCAACCCGGAAGCTTCCAAAACAAAACAGCTCCTTACCCGAAAGCTGTCCTCTGTCAAGTTAGGAAGCCAAATGGTTGAGAATCGATCGTCCAGCCGACTGGCACAAGCACGGGAGAACTTCGTTGGGCTCAGGGGTGCAGATGATAGTTTCAGAATATAGGGGGGGTGGGGGGGCGTATCATTTGTGGCGGTTCCTACAACAAGGGTTCCAGCCTGTTGGGGAATTCCCCTATTTTGATATCAAGTGGCGTAGCCCTTGCTGGTAGGGAACGTCTCTCCGCCCATGGGATGTGACGACGCAGCAGCTGGGCAGCGCGCAAGCCAACCCCCCAAAGCCTTGAAGCCTCCCTTAGAGATTCAGGATGTAGGTTTTATCTAATGGTTCTCCCCACACGATCCATAGCTAATGTAGTTTCAAAGCTTTTTCCACGAAACTTTGCAAAACACTTTCCGAACGAAAATGGCAACGTTGGTTGTAGAATCGCGATCGCAGCAACTCGTGCGCGAAAGTTAAGAAGCGCGCGCCACGCATTCCCCTCCCCTCAGTTTTTGGACTTCCCACATGATCCATAGCTAGCGTAGATTCAACGACTTTTCACACAACTTTGCCCAACAACTTTCCGAACGAAAGTAAAAACTTTGGTTGTAGAAACGCGCTCGCAGAAAGTCGTGCGAGAAACCTAAGAAGCGTGCGCGGCCAACCATTCGATTTTAGGTGCATTTCAGCTTATAATCCCTGGCTTTAAAACAGGCGACAGTGCAGGGCCCTAAACCCTAAACCCTAAACTCTTTTCCAGAAAGGCTCAGTCAATTTGGGGCCGATACAGCGGTTTCGGGCTGGAGTTGTGGATGGCAGAAGCCACTCCTAACTGCTGGATCCTTGTGCCGTACGTTTGGTGCTACAAGAGAGTGTCTAAAGTCACATGGCAACACAACACACCCATAAGCCCTCAAAGACTTCGACCCTCAACCCGCCCTCCTACCTTAACCTCAGAAACTTTTTGAGAATCTACGAAGTATGTTGAAAGCCACTGTGGAGCACACCTCGCTGTAAAAGGTAGGTCACCGGCAAGCGGAAGTCTGAGCCCGGCAACCCTTGAACCCCAATATCATAGGTTCGCCCCCTACATTCCCCCGATAATTAAGGCTATTTCGGGATAATTAAGCCTAATTTAGGTTGTTTAAGGGGGGGAACCTAGGGGGGGGGTAGTATAGAGGGGGGCAGGAGGGAACCCCATGACAACATGTCCTAACATCCGCGCCAACCTGCTCGACGGTATATCTGCGACGTAGTGCAGCACCTTTTCTTAATTTGAGCGCAGCTTCTGCGGATTAGGGATGACGGTACAGTCTTTGGGCTCGGATCACGGGTTTAGAGTTTAGAGTGGCCTTAAGGCTTCTGCTCTGAATGCCTATGTTATCTCATCGCGTCCCTGAAGCCCCACGATACCGCCACAATGTAAAAGTTACACAAGGTTTAAAGAAAAGTTTGGGGATCAACGGAGGTCCAGAGTCAAAGGAAGTTGTGTTTTTGAGTAAGCTATGGCAGAGGTATGCCAAGCACGGTTTGGCAATACTATTCCAGACAACAAGCGTGCACGTGACCCCCGTCTAGGTGCATGACCCTGCTGGTTTACTAGGTTGGCCCTTTGAACCGCCTGACAAACTCTCCCCACAAATGATACTCTTAAACAAAATGCCCGAAAGAAGGCTCTGAATTAAAAAAGTATTCCGGAATCAGATCCTCTGACGCCCAAGAACTATACTTCCCTCAGAACCTTAATAAACTTATAAATCTTTAATATCCTCTTGGGTTTTATATGAACAAAAAATAATGACTAATTCCCAAGGGGGATATAGAGAAAGGCCCTAAACCCTAACCCCTAACCCCCAAACCCTAAACCCTAAACCCTAAACCCTAAACCCTAAACCCTAAACCCTAAACCCTAAACCCTAAACCCCTAAACCCTAAACCCTAAAAAGGCAGAGAGCCCCGCCTCCATTTCCACGCTCAAAGACGTCACGGTCTTCGGGAGGGTGACGGGCAAGCCATGCCAGAGAGAGCCTGCACCGAAACAATCCTCTCCCCCACTTTCTAAAACGACCCTAAACCCTAAACCCTAAACCCTAAACCCCAAACCCTAAACCCTAAACCCTAAACCCTCCCAAAGCCAGACCCTGCCTGGATGATGGTGGGATGGCATCACTCCAGTATGACTAGTGAGGCGTTTGGGCGTTGGTCTTGTGGTGGGGCGCGTGGGGGGCGTGGTGGGGGTGGGAGGGGGCGAAAATCTCAAAAATCCTGGGCCCTAAGCCGTAAACCCAAGAACCTTTGAGCCGGATTCCCGACTACTCCCCTCGCCCCTTAGAGTGTCCCTCAGCCATGCGTTAAGAGGGAACCTGGGGGTAGCAGGAGATCCTATGATATCTGCTTTTTTTTTATTATTATTTCTTCTTCTTCTTCTTCTTCTTCTTCTTCTTCTTCTTCTTCTTCTTCCTCTTCTTCCTCTTCCGCTTCTTCTTTTTCTTCCTCTTCCTCTTCCTCTTCTTCGTCTTCTGCGAACAGGACTGGTTGAATGGGTCTTCCACCACTGCGGTCGGGTGGTTGGGGCCTTGGGCCCTCGAACCCTAAAAGGGTTTAAGGTTTATCCTCGAAACCCTACATCCTTAGGCCTGAAGTTCTATAAATACCCCCCCCCCCCCCCCGCGGCCACCCACCTGACCTAAGATGAAAGCCAGAGTACACATTTTTTTCTTCCGGTTTTTCCCCTAAACCCTAAACCCTAAACCCTAAACACCGAAAGAACGTGTCAAGGATGAAGCCTCCAGGGACCTTGAGGGGTGGGGGGGGGGGGAGGGTCATGAAGCCCTTACTTGGAGGTTTTTCGGGTACCTATAGAGCAACTCTGGATATAACTTGTAACCCTGTTTAGGGTACTTATAACCCTACTGTTAAGTACCCCTTACTTGGAGGTTCACAAGTACTTATAAGTATGGATATAAGTAGGGTAACTCTGCTTCTCACCCTACGTATAGGTACCCCCGAACCTCCAAGTAGCTAACCTAAGCCCTAAACCCTAAACCCTAAACCCTAAACCCGAAACCCTAAACCTAATCCCTAATCCCTAAACCCTAAAACCCAAGCAACGCCACCAAGCAGCCCCATGGAACACATCTGCGGAACATCTGGCCGGTGGATGTCTCTGCCACAAAGGTCCTCGGTGCACTGTCGGGGAAGGCGGGTTAAGGTTCAGGCCCCGGCTTCTGGAAAACCTGGGGCTGAAGGCCCCATACCATAGGCTGCCAACCACAGGGGTTCTGTTGGACATCGCGACAACAGCAAGACGCAAAATTGAAGGTAGAACCCTAAACCCTAAACCCTAAACTAACCCTAAACCCTAAACCCTAAACCCTAAACCCTAGCAAAGGCTACTTCGAGCGGCTTGGGCGACCACTTGACATGCTGGCGAAGCTTCAACGAGCTCGGCAAGAGGCCAGTTTTCAGCATCTGTAGCCTGGTCTAGGGTTTAGGGTTTGGGGTTTGGGGTTTGGGGTTTGGGGTTTAGGGTTTAGGGTTTAGGGTCTGGAATTCGACCGTCTGAAAATATGTTTCGAGATTCGGGCCTTGGGGATTCAAGTTCTTGAAGCCCTTTTGCAACAAGCTTTTGGGCATTCGCCTGGGTGAGTTCTTGGCCCTAAGCCCTTAAGCCCTTAGCCCTAAGCCCTAAGCCCTAAACGCTAAGCCCTAAAGCCTAAACCCTAAACCCTAAGCCCTACACCCTAAACCCTTTTGAGCCCAGGCTCTCTAAGGTGCTGACGGGGGATGTTCCCCCTTATACTAACAGTCCTTTGGGGTTTAGGGCTTAGGGTTTAAGGAATAGGGGTTACCTATTAAGGGCTGTTTGTATAAGGGGAGACATCCCAAGTGCTGTCCCTAACCCTTTCGGGTGCCAGGATGTAGGCTTGGGCTCGTGCGATCGAAGCCTAGAACTAGACATGGCCTTGGTGCGCTTGAAGGCAGCGGCTGGCAAACTCTTGCAAGTTTCAAGTAGGAGCCCTCAATCCTCAAACTTCGCCCTTCATCTCGAGTGTCTAGGTACCAGTTTACCTTTTGTACATACATTTCAGCAAATACGGCTAATCTGCCTTGGGGCTACATGGAGCGCCCCCTCTGCCGCTATGCCCAAACAAGATTTCGGCCTACACTCGACTGCTGCCCGGATGCCCAGCCCTTTTTCCATCTGGGCAACCAGCCCTAAACTCCAAAAGCCCTCAACCCGATAATCCAGACCTGAATCTAAACCCTGAACCCTCAACCCTAAACCCTAAATTCTCCTGGATCCTTGAAACCCTACGTCAAAAAGTTCTCGGCAGCCTGTAGTCACTGTGGCTTTTCGCATCAGTCACGACGAACTTTCGCTTGACTGGGTACGTCTCCTTTCCAAGACAGCTTTGCGTACAGGCGTGTAAATCTCACAACGCTCAGCCAATGTCCCGCAAGGCCGCAAGGCCAAACAAAGAACACACCGATGCCCCTCTAAGCACAAAGGGCTTAGATAACATCTGCATATATATATATATATATATATTTATTTATTTATATTTATTGATTTATTTATTTTTGTATTTATTTATTTTTAATATACATGTGTGTATGTGTGTATGTATGTATGTATGTATGCATGCATGCATGCATGCATGCATGTATGTATGCATGTGTGTGTATATGTATGTATATATGTATATGTATATATATATATGTATATCATAGGCTCCGCGGTTGTTGGGCAAGAAGGCCGGGTCTTGGGATCAGCAACACAAACCCAAGCCGCAGTGGCAAGCCCGCCCACCCCTCAATATTCTAACAGGAAGGAAGCCCTAAAAATTGGGATCATATGCCCTATGTAATCCCTATGAGTGCTCTCAAGTGCCTCGCTCTCTGCCAACCTGAAACCCTAAAACTGCAAAACCCCACACCCTAAACCCTAACCCCTGTTAGGGCGGTGTTCCAAGGTTGTGGTGACTGCAAGATGCCCCGAGTTTCCCAGCAAGAGAGATGCAGCAGGTGAACGGCGCCACCCGCCGGAAGTATACGGGGGTCCCTAAACCCTAATTTTTTCATACACCCTGAACCCCACAACTATTGTTTGCCTGCAAACCAAAAGATATAATAAACCCCATACTACCCTTATAAAGAAGAATATGCTTCTAAGTAGTAGTACACACCCAATGAACCTCCCTGCCAGACCCCCGCAGCCTCGCCATTCACCGCGAAAGCCTGGGTGAGGCTCGCCCCACTGGTGTTGGCCTGCAGGAACAAACCCCCACACCCTGGAGCCCCAGCTCCATTAAAAAGAAACACAGAAAAACAAAAAACTGTGTGTGCACATATATATATATATGTATATTTTTTGCATTTATTTTTTTGTTTATTTATTTGTTAATTTATATATATATATATATATATATATGTGTGTGTGTGTATATGTATATGTTGTGTGTGTGTGTGTGTGTTTTATTTTCTTTTTTTGCGGGGGGGGGGGGGGGGGGGGGGGGGGTGGGGAAGGTTACCTAGTTCCATGGTCACTGGCATTCCAAGAAACAAGCATCCAGCCACAAAAAGGAAACTACTAAAAGGGTGTCCAGGCAAACCCCGAACCCTGGATTGGGCAAGACACGGCCGGCTGGGCCTCGGAGCCTTAGGGTTTAGGGTTTAGGGTTCCTTAGGGTTTATAAGGTTTGGGATTTATATAGGGCTCAGGGATGTTGCTGGTGGTGGGGGGGGGGAGTGCATCGGGACCTTGAGACTTCGGGAGCGCACGTGAAAACTACATTAGGCAGGGATCAGGGTCGAGGGAATAGGGTTCGGTGTTTAGGGAACTTGGGGAATGCAGCTCGAACTATAAAGGAGACAGGGATGGGTAGCCGTATCCTGCCTCCGCGACACCTTCAGCGTTTAGCCTGGGCACTTGATTGGGTTCCAGCTTGCGCGCAGGGTTGAGGACTGGGGATTTCCTAGTTTGTCTAATTTACTGCCAGGTCTGTTTAGGATACAGAACCCTGCTGTAGCTCAAAAGAAAAGCCCTTCCCTGCCCAACATCCCCCTCCTATGCACGTAGATGCACGATGCAGCATTTCGAAGATTAGAGATTCATTTGCTGGGGGGGGGGGGGGGGGACCGGTACCTCCGGTATGGCAGGCATCATTGATCTTTCGGTCTCAGGCTTAAGCTTGCAAGCCGAGGATGTGAGCCTCAGAAGGTACTTGTAGGTTCATGGGTACTTCTATAACCCCAACGATAAGCCTACTTAGAACCTACTTAGAGGACTTAGGAGACATACTGTGGATGGACAAAATCTTGCACCGCTTTTCAGACACGTCTTTTTGTGTTCCCCGTGCCCCCTTTTAACATTGGCTGTGAAAAGCTAGCGGCCGGATTTGTTCCAATGGTCGAAATCTTGCACCGCTCAAGTAGTCCTAACTGCCAATGTTAAGCAGGGGGTGCGGGGTTTGATGCCTCAATCGTTTGAAGTACGAATGTACAGGCGGTGCAAGATTTCGTCCATCCACCGTAGGGGGCTTATAAGTGCAGTTATAATTGGGGTTACAAGTACCAGAAACCTCCAAGTATATAAGCCCCCCCGACCCTGTGGGTTGAGGGCTTGGGGCTCAAGTCCTCGAAGCAACCCCAGCCCACTCCCAACCAAGGGCCGTTCCAAAGCTGGCTTGGGCTGAAAGATACAGTACTCCAACCCAACATGTACATACATCGGTTTGGGGTTTACCGATGTACACTTCGGGAAGTGCAACTCGCTTGTCTTGCTTCCTCCTAGAATGCCGAGAGCGCTCACACCAAAACATTCTAGGCTGGCACGGCGTATAGAAACGTCGTCGTTCCCCGTGCGTCGCAGATACCCTACTTATAACCATTGTTCTGAGTACCCTCTTGAACGGCCAAGTAAGTACCCTACATAAGGTTCTAGCCATAGCCACCTTACTGATAACCACAAATCTGGGTTGCCCAGGAACCTAGGATGAGACAGGGCGCCCTTCTTGCGCTTAAAGGGGTTGATAAGGGAAGGGCATCCTGGGATGCGAAGTCTTGGCTTAAAAAAAGGATGCCGTAGTATAGGGATGAACTCTGGAACTAAGTCGGGGCTTTAGCGTTAGGGTTTAGGGTTTAGAGTTTAGGGTTTAGGGTTTAGGATTTAGGGTTTAGGGTTGGCGGTGGAAATGGGACCTAAATAGTCACAGGCTATATTATAAGTCTGCGCCTACAGATTCTCCAACTCCTTGACGCCATCAAGCCCCCGTCCAAGACATGGAGCACGCTGAACCGCGCCGTTTCCGAGGGCTCCACCTGAATATCGACCCACTCTGCAAGACCTAAAGGCTAGCCCTTATTTCTACCTCCGAACCCGACCCGATGCTTGGAGATACCCTATACATACCTCAGCTTAAGGTACCTCTATAGGCCCGCATTGAGGGGGTGGTTGGGGGGATGCAGGAAAATCTGAGAACTTTATTGATCTTGGTTCTTTGGATATACAAAGGGGTTGCTCTAGTTGAATTTAGGGTCGCTTGATGGATGCCTTTCCCGGGATTGGTTGTTAGAAAAGGGTCCCCGCAAACGGGACCCTGAATGGAACCACCCCCTCCCCTTCCGCACACACCATACACGCACACAACTTCACGCGACCCCCCTGTTTAGGGTTTAGGGTTTAGGGTTCAGGGTTTAGGGTTTAGAACTACAAGCCCTAAGACTAGAAACATCCAAGTAGTTCAGGGTCCGGCACCTCGCCGTTGATCGCAATGAAGGACTGGGTCCGCTCCAAGAAAACGCTGTAGTCCTGCAAGGGGAGTGGGGGTTTAGCCTTTAAGCGTTTAAGGGTTTAAGGGTGTTAGGATTGAAGGCTGTAGGGATTTACGAGATAAGGGTTTGAGAGTTTAAGGGTTTTAGGTCTAGGCTTTCAGGCTAAAGGGTCTAAGGGCCTAAGGGCTTCAGACATCTTCAGACTTCAGAGTTCCATGCTCAGCACTGCTGTGCTAAATTTGGATTTGTGACATAAGGTTTAGGGTTTAGGGTTTAGGGTTTAGGGTTTAGGGTTTAGGGTTTAGGGTTTAGGGTATAACGTCCCCCAACCCCCCAAAGCAAGAGGCCCTATAGGCCTGCAGAAGCCTGCAGAACCTCACATGTTAAGGGTTTAGGGGTTTCATGCTTTACTGAGAGTGCCTGTACCATGGCCGCTGGGAACCTCTAAGCACTTTCTTGATGGATGGACTGCGGGACTTTTTTCGACCCCTGACTCCCTAAACCCTAAACCCTTAACCCTGAACCCGAAACCCTAAACACTGTGGGGAAGTCGGTCCTGCATCTGCGGAGAAAAGCCTTCAAGCAGGGATGCATGCGGCACTTCTGCTTAGGCTTTGTCGGCCCAAAACCGTGCATGGCTTGGTCTTTAGGCCAAAAAAACCTGGAAATCAGAGTTCTTGGAGACGTAGGGTTTAGGGTTTAGGGTTTAGGGTTTAGGGTTTAGGGTTTAGGGTTTAGGGTTTTGGCGGTTAGGGTTTAGGGTTTTGGCGGTTAGGGTTGTTGAGGGTCCAGCGTGAGGGAGCCGAAGCTAGGTTCGGGGGTGTAGGAATCTGAGTAGCCCAAAAACCGGATGATTCTAAGGCTGCGTGCCCTTCACTTTTTGGGGGTTCCTTACTTCATAAGGCATAGAGTTGCCCTCAACCCAAAACCCAAAACAGAAAACCCTAAACCAGGCACCTGTGGAGAGGATCCCGCCCACGATGTGCAGCTTCAGCAGCTCCGGCTTCGTGGTGATCTTCCGAAAACACCTCTCAGGCCAGTGTTTAGGGTTTAGGGTTTAGGGTTTAGGGTTTAGGGTTTAGGGTTTAGGGTTTAGGGTTTAGGGTTTAGGGTTTAGGGTTTAGGGCAGAGCGGTTGCATAGCTTAGGGGCTGAATAGCCTAGCCCAAAAAAAGGTTCGCCCTGTTTGCAAATAGGAATCCATTTCAGGAGTTTGGGTTGGGCGTGGGATGTAATTACAGAGTTCTTGTATTAAGAGGAGTTCAGGAGCCAAGGAGATTCGGTTTTTGGTTTAGGGTTTAAGCGTTTAGGGCTTAGGGTTTAGGGTTTAGGGCTTAGGGATTCGGGTTTCGTACCAGGGGGCTAAAAAATGGGGGTCTTAGTTGATTGCCGTGGATCAGAGTTGACCTTTGTTCTATTTGTGTGGGGGCGACACATGGCGCCCCGCTTGGGGTGTCGGGGTCGGCCCTCCTGACGGTAGGATGCGCTCTGGTACTCAGAGGTCCCATCTCTTCGCTCAGGAACAGTACTAAACCCTAAACCCTAAACCCTAAACCCTAAAACCTACACCCTAAACCCTCAATCAACCCTTAACCCCCAAACCCTTTAAGGGAATGCCACCCTTGATGATGGGGACTGGGGCTTCATGTGGGACGTTGCTCGTCACCTTTGAGCGCCTGGACCCCCACCCAACCTCCACAAAAATGAACAAGCACTTCAAACTTACAGGGTTTAGGGTTTAGGGCTTAGGGTGTTTACCCGAAAAGGGCTTGTGGTTCATATACCTGAATAGGAATGATTCATAGTAGTATAGTATAAGGAAAATGACAAGCTTATGGGTTCATTTGGTCCCAGGCCCATATTAAGGGGAGTCTTTGCACAAGGCCAACCTCAAAACTGAACCGAGAACCCTATGCGTTAAAGCAAGGTGCACAGTGCAGCAGAGAACGGCAAGGCACAACCTCGCATTGACGCTGGTTTCTCGGGACGGTTCATAGAAGTTTGGGCTACCCTAAACCCTAAACCCTATATAAACCCTAAAAGCCTTTTTTGGAACCCAGACCCGGACAAGCTCACGGGGACACCAAACCCTAAGACTTATGGGGTTTTGGGTTTCGGTCTTCTGGAATTGGGGCTTCGGGTTTTGACGTAGGGTGTAGCTAGGGCTTTAGGCCAGACATGTTCCATTATCGAAGATTCAGGAACCCCCCCCTCCCCCCAACAACGAAAAACACAAACTACAATCTACCTGGCCATGAGTTTCTTGTCGAATCCACTATCCCTAATCCCTACACTTCACTCGCCACTCACTCACACACCGCCTCGAGCTTTAGGATTTGTGGAGCCTAAACTTCAATCTTAAGACCAAACTCCAGATCCCAAAACCCTGAAACCCTATAATATAAGGTTTAGCGCTTACAGGTCTTAAATCCCGAAACCCTAAACCCTAAACCCTAAACCCTAAACCCTAAACCCTAAACCCTAAACCCTAAACCCTAAACCGAAAGAATCGCGTAAAAAAGACCAAGCGACAGGGTGAACACCAAGGTTGGATCGAAGAGGAGCAGACTTAGGAGCGAGCGGTTTAGGGTTTAGGGTTTAGGGTTTAGGGTTTAGGGTTTAGGGTTTAGGGTTTAGGGTTTAGGGTTTAGGGTTTAGGGTTTAGGGTTTAGGGTTTAGAGGTTCGGGGTTTAGGGTTTAGGGTTTGAGGTTTAGGGTTTAGGGTTGCAGGGTGTATATGGTTTAGGGTTTAGGGTTTAGGGTTTTGGGAGTTCAGGGTTCAGGGTTTGTTGTGGTCTCCCGCTGCGCTGAACGGGTTGGGGCTTCGGTGTGTACGTGCCAGGGAAACCTGGAAACAACCCCTAGTACCTAGAGCCTAAACCCTTTTTGAACAAGGTCTCTCCCCAATCCCTAAACCCTAAACCCTAAACCCTAAACCCTAAACCCTAAACCCTAAACCTAGACCTGGGGCCCACTGAGGGTCCCAATCCTGCTCAGGGCTTCTGGTTTTAGGGCTTGTTTTTTTTTTGAGGGGTGGTGGGGGGGGGGGGGGGGTTAGGGCCCAATTAGGGTGTTAAGTGCTCTTCTTGTGCTCGGTGTATCGATGCGGTGTTTAAGGTCTTCCAGGGTTTGATTCCGACTTTGGGGCGTTGAAGCCGTGCTTTTGAATGCAGTGGCAGCTTGCTCTTCTATTCCTACTGCTGCGGCAGCCTAAAGAGTACTGAACACAAAGAACGCACCTCCAAGTCTCCTACTGGCTGGTTCTTAGAAGGGCATGAGGGAAGGAGGTACCCTGTACCATCCCTTAAAGGGTATATATAGGGCCCGTATTCCGCCAACTCCCTTCTAAGAACCAGGGGGCCTAGCAGGTTGTTGAGCCGTTTACCAAAAGCCTTACGACAGCCCTTCATTCCGGAAACACCCACCGGTGCTTCCAGGGGGGGGGGGGGGGGGGGGGGGGGGGGGGCCTTCGCTTTGCTTCAAAACATGCGGTTTAGGGTTTAGGGTTTAGGGTTTAGGGTTTAGGGTTTAGGGTTTAGGGTTTAGGGTTTAGGGTTTAGGGTTCAGGGCCTTCCGGGTTTAGGGCAACGCACTTGCTGGTGTCCACCCTTTCTGTACCGGTAAGCCCTGCTGCAACCTCAATGTCCGACTCCTACTGCCCGCTCGGCCTGGCCCCCTTAGGGTTTAGGGTTTCATGGGAGACAAGGAGGGCACTCAATGACTGAGGTTTAGGACGAGGGAACCGAACCAAAAAAAGGAACTCATACTCCTCCAATAACCAAGGGCAACAAAAATGTTGGTTAAACCTATCTCGTTCCTACTACACAGGCAAACCCAGAAAGTTTGAAGTTCAACTATTGGCTAAGTGAGAAATTGTGTACTTCACCCCAAGCCCTATAGCCATGCAGTCAGCCAGTGCATGCCGAGGTGCAAGAGTCGGTTTAAGCCCGTCTCTTTCCTGGCGGGCGAGTCGCGGGAACCCGCCTAAGCCCTAAACCCTAAACCCTAAACCCTAAGCACTAGACCCTTTCTTGCTTCAGGGCTCCTGTGGTGTCTAACCGTAAACCCTAAACCCTGAACCCGAAACACAAAACAAGCCTTTCTTGCAACCGGGCCTAGGGGCGTTGGAGGGTTTAGGTTTAGTGCTTGGGGTTTTTTTCGCTCCCGCATAGCTGGCCGAAACACAAAGGTTTAGGGTTTAGGACCTGAGTGCCTTTTTCGGTGCTCGAGAGATGCTAAACAAAGAAAGCTTTGTGTTTTGCAGGGCTCTGTTTTGCTACCACCAGGGTTGTATCCCTCCTGCACACCAGGATTTGATCGCTCATGCTCGGATAAGCCAGGCGAGGAACATACTCCAGTCAGAGAGTTCTTGGATGACCTTTTGGTCTGCAGTGAAACTTTACCCCTAATCCCTCCCTCAGTCACTTAGTCTGGTTTAGGCTTAGAGTCAGGAGTCAGGGCCAAGGGTTTCTCGGGCTTTGCAAAAGCCGACATCCAAAGTCCAAACCCTGGGCCCTAGCTAAACGCTGTGGTTAACTGCCTGACGTCCTCAAGCCCAAACCCTTACACCCCGGTGCTCAACATAGCCCAACAACCATATCTGAGAAGGCCTTTTGGCCCCAAAAAGCCTGACATAAGAGGCCTTAGAGCCTCAGGCAAACCCTAAGCATATTTTTGGGGTGTTCCCCCATATACTAACAGTCCTGCATAGGGATCATAACAGGGTGAGCCTCAGTCCCCCTAAACCCTCATTAAACCCTAAACCCTAAACCCTAAACCCTAAACCCCTCCAACAAAAAAAAACATGGGCTCCTGCGCGATACTGCGGCGACCCAGCGGAGGTCGCTGACGGCGAGGTGCTTCGTGGAGGTCATCTGCGGCGTAAGGTCTACCAGGATGGGCTGTTCGGCCCTATCATCCCCATGATCAACCCTATAAAGGGCCATTCTAAACCCTAAACCCTAAACCCTAAACCCTAAACCTTAAATCCGAAACCCCAAACCCTAAGGGGTTATAGGGTAGCATAGCCCATGCTGGTGTAGGGTGTAGGCCAGTGTAGGCTTCAGCTTATTTGGTTGCTTTGCGTACTTTTTCAGGTCCCTGAACTGTTTGACTTCTGCGGCTGTGAGCTCTTGAGTTAGCAGCCGTTGGGGAATCTGCTCCAAGGTCTGCAGGAGCTCACGCGGCGTTGGCACAACCACCTCCGATTGGGCCGACTCAGTCTTCGCACCTCGGCCTTCAACTCCGCCAGCGAGGCAGACCTCGCGCAAGTGCCCAAGCACTGCAGCAAGTGCTCTAGGGCTTCATCCCTTGCTCCAGCAGGGCCCACCGCCGCACCATCTCCTCCTGGTCCTTTACAAGCACGGGTTGATCTTGCGTGCCACAAAACCCTATACTCTTGAACACCACAAATGGTTACTTCTACCTGTCCTCGTAACTCCGCTGCAGGCTCAGCGCAAAGAGAAGGCCCTTTTGCCGCTCCACCTCCTCTCGCTCCTGCCACAAGCGCTCCTTCTCAAAAGCCTCCTCCTCCTGCAATGGGGCGAGCAATCGGTATTGAACCCCAAACTAACCGTCTGAGCCCTGACCCCTAAGACCCTAAACCGCCGAGCCTGCTCCGAACAGCTTCTCAGGCTTCCTAATTTGGGAGTGCGCCATAGAGTCAAGTTCAGTTCCGACCTGGCGCAGCTTTTCCTTGGCGGCCACCTCCTCCGCGAAGGCGGCTCTTCGCCGAGCAAGCTCTTGCTCGGAAGACCTCAATCTTAAGGATGCATGAGGGTTTAGGGTTCAGGGTTTAGGGTTTAGGGTTTAGGGACCCTAAGCCCTAAACCATGGTTTTGAGCTGGCCATCACTAACAACTGCCCCGGCCACAACTGCCAACTGCTTTCGGAGGCGCTGCGCCTGCCGCGAGAGGTCTGCCTGTTGTTCCGCACGCTGCTTTGCCAGCCAAGATATGGCCTGTCAGCCGAAGGCGCCAATGTAACAGTGTAATCCTAAACCCTAAATCCTAAATTTTAAACCGTAACCCCCCCCCCCCCCACCCGCAAGCCCTAAACCCTAAACCCGCCTAAACCCTAAACCAACCCTAATCTCAAGCCCCGCACGCTTTACAATCCGACCTGGTCTGAGCCGAAAAGCCTCATCGAAACCCAACGACAATGCCTCCCCCCCTGAAAAAATCACATACATACATACATACATACATACATACATACATACATACTTACTTACGCACATACATATACGCACATGTGGTGTAGAGGTCATATAGAAAACAGATGTGTGTACCATGCTATGCAATCATCAGGTCCTGCTGTTTTTGGGGTGGCACCTGCTGCAGCTGCTGCTCCTGCCATGCCTCGGCCTCGATGAGGGATCGCCGCTCCTCTCGAGGGTTCAGGGCTTCGGGTTTAGGGTTTAGGGTTTGGGGTTTGGGGTTTAGGGTTTAGGGTTTAGGGTTTTTTAGGGTTTAGGGTTTAGGGTTTAGTGTTTAGGGCAAGAGTGCGGGGTTCGAGACTCAGGGAAAGCCACCGAAGGTGCTCATGGGTACAGGTCGGCCTGAAAAGGCGATTGAGGAGTGGTTTCGGTGATCTGCGTTGCTCTGCTACTGCCACGGCAAGAAGCCACTGCCTGACGGAGCCCTTGTTTCACCGTCCTCCTCGTTCGCCGTCTCCTCAGGTGCGGACGCAGAAACGTGCCAAGACCTACCTTCATCCAGCCGGTATCCTGACATCTGACAACCCCCCCCCCCCCCCCAACTCCAACATCAATGATCGCCCAGTCACGAGTGCATGCCTCTGTGCCCGCTGGAGCGCCCGTTGGGAGGCCAAGTGGTCGATCACCGAGAGGTGCTCTTGGATGCTGTCCAAGATCTGGAGGCTCCCAGAGAAGCGCTCCTCCAGCTCCTGGGCAGCCAGCGTCTGAGGAGCTGGGCTCCCAAAATCCTCTGCCTTATCTGCCTTGGGCTCCCTGTAGTGCAAGGATGGCAAAGGCCTGTATGGTGGCAGGGGCGGAAGCTCCTCCGTGCGCGAAGCGCGCGATGCTGGAGACGCCACCCAGGCGTCCGAATCCGATGCAAGGGCTTCGGGCTCTGAACGGGCGTCTCCTGCAGGTGAGAGACACTGCTCCTGCACGTCTTCCTTGCGGCTGCTGGCAATGTCATCCGTGGCAAGTTCTTGGTTGCATGTTGGAACCGTCCACTCCGTGGTGGCTGTGCTACCATCCGGGATGGAGCCATCAAAGCCTTCACGTGGAATGTTTGGCCTGCCTGCCGGCCTGCCGGTGGTCCAACTTTGGGGTCCAAAGTCCTTGCCTGTTCCATACCCAGACCGCCCCAGGGTGGGCACGGAAACCTCGATGAAGTGGTGGCCCCCACACTCTGCAAATCTGCTGTGTCGACCATCTTGCTCTGTGCACCCTGAACCTCCTGAACCGCCAGTGGTTTCTTCGGGTTCACATCCCGCCCTCTGTACGGCCTTCCTACGAAGAGCTTGAATTACAGAGACATCATACAAGCCAGAACGATGCCCTGCATTTTGCCGTCTTACGGGCGCCAGACCGGGCTTGTCGTCGGCCCTTGTTGCCTCGCCAAAGATACCTGGAAGATGCTGCTTGCAAGCTTGAAAAGGCCTCAGTGGAGCAGGTGCATGCCGCCATCTCTGCTCAGCAGACAGTTCCATGTGTACTTTAGTTATTTCAGCCTGCTTCTGCTTGGAGACCACCTTATCTCAACTCTTCGAGGTTGAGTTCGGGTTTAGGGATGTCAGCGCTGAGGGGTTTAAGTGGGAGACCATTCTCGCTACGAGCAGGGTAAGCAAGACTTGCTTTGCCTTCCGCAGCATGTGAGCCTTTCGTGGCCGCTGATGCGATTTGCGGTTGAAGTGTTGCGGCTTGCGGGTGGAGGGACCGGGATCGGGGCAGCGAAGGGGTTATGCTGCATTTTTACTGCTACCTTCGGGTCCGCTTTTGAAGGCTACGCACAAACAGCACAGCTGCGGCCCTGGCCCAGCAACCCGAAACCCTCCACCGAGGTGAATACAGCCCTGCATGCAACACTTGGAGGTTCAGGGGGTACCTAAAAGTATAGGGGTCGAAGTACGGCAACTATGGTTATGACCTTACTTGGGGGTACTTATAACCCTACTTCTAAGTGCCCAGGAACCTTCAAGTAGCCCTAAACCCTAAACCCTAAACCCTAAACCGTAAACCCTGAACCTTCAAGCAGCCCAGCATTCCGGCTCACAAGAGGCCTCGCTGTCGCTGCCAGAGCTGATGTTGATTGCCTCCTTACTCCGCGCCAACGAAACGAAGACCGACTCCTCGGAAAGCGGACAAAGCAGGGAACTGAGAATGAACCCTGGCGGCCCCCTGTTGTGAGCTTCGAGGCTCATGCGGGCCATTCGACCATGTGATTGGGGAGATCAAACCGAGGAGAGAGACGTGTAAGTTGAGGATGCTAGAGATCTCTGGTCCTCCACTTCATCCCCGGCGATGGTATCCAAAATCAAAACTGAACCTTAAACGTTAAGCAAATTGGATGCATCATGTCCACAAAAAAAGGTTCTGGTTATCTTGGGGGCTAAACTGAAGTCCATAATTGGGATAATGTCCCCCATGCTACCTCTCATCCGCAGTAAACCAATGTATATGAACGCTTTTTGGATCATGCCGTCCCCGGGCCAAGACGTGGATGCGGGAGGACGTGTTAGCCCAGTAACACATCTGAGTTTGGGCACCTTTTTTGGGGTTGGTTACTTTTTCAGGGAACCATGAACCAAAACAAGGGGTAAAAGGGTACCACTGGGCTACAAAGAGGAGGCTCCTGCACTGGTACGATGTTGTTCTTGGCGCCAATGGTCACAGGCTTACCTTCGGATATGCCTGGCCAGAGTGGCAAATCAAAAGAACTACACAGTTCCCTGGAGCCGATATATTGTGTCCTACTCAAGTTTAAAAAGGCGAAAAACAAACTTAAACTGTTGAACTGACTTATGGAGCGTTTGTGGCCCGCCTAGCTGTTGGGTGGTTTGTGGCCGAGATTAAAATTAATCTCCAGATCCAAAGCACACTTAGAACCAAGATGATACTACCATTGGAGTAGAGCTCCCGATGAGGGGTTTAAGTGATTCACACAAGAAAGAAAAATGCTAAGGTGGCTATAGGAATGCCACTGGGTTTATCGGGTTTTGGGATAGCCTGTTACAAAGAGCTCAGAAACTGCCCACCCCTCCGCCCCCCCACCCCTCCTAAACCCTAAACCCTAAACCCTAAACCCTAAACCCTAGACCCTAGACCCTAGACCCTAAACCCTACAAAAACAGTGCAAACCGCAAGAGCAGATGCCTTCCAAGCCTAGAATGCACTCGCTCTTCAGCGCCGCGTTCTCGGCGTACCTTAGCTATAGGGGTTTAGGTCTTAGAGGGTTTAGGGTTAGGGTTTAGGGTTTAGGGTTTAGGTTGTAGGGCTATAGGGTTTAGGGATGTTTAGGGTTCAGGGTATAAGGGTTTAGTAAGGCCTGGGCTAGTAAGATCCCTGACCAAAGAAGGAGGCGATGCCCCCGCAAAGTGACGGGGCGCCAAGCCACGATGTACACACCTAGCCACCTGAAGGCTGTAAGGACCCTCCTACAGAGGGACTGGTACCTCCTAAGGAGGGTTTTGGGGTCTCAGGTCCAAGGGTTTTGAGGGCCCAAGAGCTTTAGGGTAGAGTCGATTCCCAAAGCTTCCTTGCGTGCTCAAAGTGACGTCTACCAGGGCCATGGACAAGCGTAAGGACGCCTGTGACCCAAAAATGTGCCAACACCCACCCAGAACCCAAATGCCAGGTGCTGGGTTTAGGGTTTAGGGTTTAGGGTTTAGGGTTTAGGGTTTAGGGTTTAGGGTTTAGGGTTTAGGGTTTAGGGTTTAGGGTTTAGGGTTTAGGGTTTAGGGTTTGGGAGTTTAGGGTTTCGGGTTTAGGGTTTGGGGTTTGGGGTTCCCAAATGCCAGGTGCTGAATGTCCATGATGGAGGAGGTCATGTAGTAAATCGGTGAGGCAAAGACCGCCAGGGCCTGGAATGGAGGAGTTTAGAATTGAAAAAAAACGTCACGCTCGAGAATCTTGGGCTTTACGGCCGCGGCTTAGGGATTAGGATTTATAAGGTTTAGTCGGGTGCAGGGCTTTGCTTGAAGGCTCATGGGTACGTACAAGTAGTGTTGGGAGTACCCTAAATAGGGTCATAGACAGAGTTGCCGTACTAATAACCCTACTTGTACGCACCCATGAACCTCCCAGTAAGGAACTCCGTGGCCTGAACCCCTAAACCCTAAACCCTAAACCCTAAACCTCTCTTTCATATACAATTTAAATGTTGGGGAGTTACTGGGCAAGGTCACCCTTTTTTGCTGGGCAACGTTGTTTTTTACTGGGCAAGGTCATTTTTTTACTGGGCAAGGTCGTTCGGTCCAAAAACGACCCTGCCCAGTAAAAAATGACCTTGCCCAGTAAAAATGTTACTGGGCAAGGTCGTTTTTTAACTGGGCAAGGTCATTTCTTTACTGGGCAAGGCCATTTTTTTGCTGGGGAAGGTCATTCTTTTACTGGGCAAGGTCATTTTTTTCTGGGCAGGGTCATTTTTTCCTGGGCAAGGTCATTTGATTACTGGGCAGGGTCATTTTTTTTTCTGGGCAAGGTCATTTTCTTACTGGGCAAGGTCATTTTCTTACTGGGCAAGGTCATTTTTTTACTGGGCAAGGTCGTTCCACAAGTGAAATATGCTCTTAATGTTGTGGGATTCTTTGGGCGGGTGGGTATGTTCCTGGAGTAATTGCTTGACTAGTGAATGCTTGGACTTGAGATGCTGAACCCTAAACCCTAAACCCTAAGCCTTAAAGCGTGTCACCCACCTGCACATCGGACAAGATGGAGGTGTCATCGTACCAGACGACCTCCCGGGCGTGAGTGGCATCTTGTCTACCCTGGACCCTGATACATGTTTTTTCCAAAAAGCGACCTGGGCCTAATTTCCTTACGAAGTGCACACCTATAAGGTCCGCAAACAGCGTATGCCGTGACCTCTGCCGGCCTTCACAGCAGCTGCCAAAGTGATGACAATGCCCAGCCAGAACCACAGAAGAAACGGATCGGGCATCCAACTTCTGACCTCAAGGTGCAGAACTTCCTTTCAAATTCTTGGGGTTGTTACATGGTCCCTTTGTATGGGCCCTTAAATGCAGACCCATTACATACCCCTCATTTACCCTATGCAACGAAAGGGCCCATACTTCAGAACCCGTTAAAGGAAGTAAGGGACCATATTCAGGGCCCGTGCAACTAGCCTTAGACTCAGATAGGCTGGCAAGTGAGTCAACTACGAGTTTTTGCCTTAGAGACAGGTCTCACCCCAAACTGGCTCGAGCCTTGGGGGTTGACATTTGACGAAGTCTGGGATACCACAGAAATATAGGGGCCTGAATAATTAGAATAAGGTTTTGGGGGTCATTACAGTATAGTGTAAGGGAATATTGTTAGTAATTATTCCGGCCCCTAAATTAAGAGGGGCAAGCTCAGCATTTTGAAAGGTGCCGCCTGCATTGCTTGTGGTAGGGACTTGCATACGATTTCGAGGCTTTGGCGCCGATGGAGACGACCCCCAAAAACCCTCAGAAACCTCAAAAAACCCTCAAAAACCCCTAAAAGCCCTCGAGTTTATGGGGCTGAGGGTTTAGGGACACGAGTGCTGCTGTAGGCCTCAGGATCTGCGATGCTACACCCTACCGCAAGTCGTGCCAATCTCTAGGCAGCCTGTGAGCCGGTACCAAGGCCAGTCCCTAAACCCTAGGACCTTAAACCCTAAACGCTAAACCCTAAACCCTAAACCTTAAACCCTCTAAACCCTGAACCTTAAACCCTAAACCGACAACTGCTGCCCAGCTGGAGCGCGCTGAACTTCAGGAGGAGCCCGTTGCGAAGCGACTCGTAATACCTGGGACGGTACTCTGGAGCTACTGAAACATGGTCACCGAGCCTACCGTCCCTTCCTTGAAATAGTCCCCTCCCCCCCCCCCCTATATATGGTTCAGCGTCGGGCGTTCCCGCCCCCCCCCCCCCCCCTCCCCCCCCCCCCCCCCCCCCTCCCCCCCCCCCCTCCCCCCCCCCCCCCATGGTCCCCCCCCCCCCCCCCCCCCCCCAAGTCTACTCTACGGTCCCTAAACCCTAAACCCTAAACCCTAAACCCTAAACCCTAAACCCTAAAACCTAAACCCTAACCCTAAACCCTAAACCTTAAGTCTTAAACCTTAAACCCTAAACCCTAAAACCCTGAACCCTAAACCCTAACCCTAAAACCAACCCCCAACCACACCACAGGGGGGGGGGTATCATCTTAGTACCCCATCCGCGGGGAAAACCCTAAACCCTAAACCCCCTAAACCCTAAAACCCTAAACTAAACCCTAAACCCTAAAACCCTAAAACCCTAACCCTAACCCTAAACCCTAAAACCAAAACCAACCCCAACCACACCACAGGGGGGGGTATCATCTTAGTACCCCATAGTAGTATAGTACCATAGTATAGACCATTGGGGGGGGGGGGGGGGTAGGGGGGGGGGGGGCCCGCCGGATTTGTGGTTCAGCCTCGGGCATAAAACCCAGGGTTTAGGGTCTAGGGTTTGGGGTTTATAGGGCTTAGGGCTTCGGGTGTAGGGCTTAAGGTTTAGACTTTTTTGGGCTTAGGGTTTAGGGTTTCGGGGGACTCAAGGATGTTTTCGGCCCACTAGAACACGGATGGTTTAGAGTCCAGGAGGGCTCCAACTTGATGGTTTAAGATGGGTTCAATGCACAGGCCTAAACCCTAAACCCTAAACCCTAAACTCTAAACCCTAAACCCTAAAAAGCCTTACAACCGGGATGAGTGTTTAGGGTTTCAGGGTTAACGCTTCGACTCTCAAGCTCGCACAAGGCGGGCAAGGCTTCGATGGGCGATCTCTCAGTTTAGGGTTTAGGGTTTAGGGTTTAGCGTTTGGGGTTTAGGGTGAAAGTTTAATAAAGGTTTAGGGAAGGACCCGATCGTGACCGCAAGCCCTTCCGCAAGCCCTTGCAAACCAGGGGGCAGAAGGCACCTGGCCGTCGCCATAAAAATCCTTGGGAGTTGCAGACATCTCGGTTTCTCTTGGGCTTAGCCAGCGGTCTGAGGGTTCAGGGTTTAGAGGGTGTTAAGGTTTAAGTTTAGGGCCTAGAGGCTCTGACAGGTTTATGTTGCCTAGTGTGGCTGCGGCCAGCAAGAACATTTACACAAACACGTCCTGTAGGCTCCCTAAGCGTGGCTATTCGCAGAGCATGCAGAGCTGCAAGCGCAAAGTAGAGGCTGCTGATGTCTGTGCAATACGGATGTCTTGCCGATGCCAGGCAGCTCATGCAAAGCTCCCCGAGGGGCGAGGTTGCCAACCCCATCGTCCACTAGAGCATCTGTTTCAATTTTCTTGGTAGAGGCAGGGATTGAAGCCACACACCAAGACTGTGACGTTGCCATATCCTCATGTGAAATTGTCACGTCACGGCCGAAGCAATGTAGGTTTCTGACCCGACCAGGGGACCCAAACAGAAAAGCACCACCATGGCGAGGAGGTGCCCTTTGAACGTTCTCTTGAAGGTTCAGGGTTGCAAGGTTTCAGGTAAGGCAATGGCACTGATCCTCCCAACCCCTACACTCTCAACAGAGTACTTCACTAGTCCTGCTCTGGAGCTAACCCTTCGTTTATATGCTGAACACCAAGGACCTAAGCAGACCCTGAACCACTGAACCTCTAACGGATCTTCCTTCATGGACCCTGCGTACTATCCAAGGCGCCGCAGCACGGCAAAGGCGCCGAACAGCAAGGGAAAGCAAAGCCTTGCTTCGGGTTTTGGGTACAGATGCCAAACTCTGAGAAGCCCAGAAAACTAAACTTTATACCACCCGAAGCTCTAAGCTCTATAAGCTCTGAACGCTAAGAAAAGTTTCGCAAAAGGGCTTGATGCACAACGCGCCCACACACACAGACACTCCCTGTCATCAAAGCTTGTCGCCTGCTGCGCTGTTGCTCAAGACCCAGGTTTCAGGGTTGTTTTCGGGGGTCTTGTAGCTGAAGGTTGAGGCGGGCGCGCTGATTTAAACGCTGTCAGCACACACCACTCTCTCACGCTAAGTCTGAAAGAAACAGATCTACTTGTAGAGCCGCCAGTGGTCCCCCAAGACTAAGACAACAGGCCCACCTCGGCTTCAGCCCATGGCCCCTGTACACTCTTGCGCCCAAGCCACACCAGGATGTAGCCGACGCCAGTGGTATCGACATACGTCCGAAAAAGCCGTTCACCTCCGAGGCGGGGCTGAGCATGTGTTCTGCTGTGTTTTGCTAGGGATTTTTAGGGGGGGGGACCTCATGGCTTCATGCGGTGCATCGCGCATGCCTTCCCAACATGCAGGGTGCGAATTCAAGAAAGAGGTCCGTCCCCTAAGACGTTGGGAATCTGGAGCTTGCAGGCCGCCAAGGATGCACCGTTGTTCAGGTGACACGTTCAAACAAAGGCTGAAAGGCGCACAGTGCGCCAGCCATGCTGGTGCTGGTGGTTCAGAGATTGGGCCTGCACCATGAAAAGCAACATCGATCCATAAGCGTAGGCCAGCAGTATATAACTAGGATGTTCCCCCTTTTTTATACTAACAGTCATTAATAGGGATTGGAGTACCCCCTCGCAAAAAACCCTAGCAAGGACTGTTGGGGGAACACGCCAAAGTATGAAGTATAAAGAGAGGAAAGAGAAGACGACCCGCTGGACCCTAAAGAAGTAGATCACCTGTAGGCCTCTCGGCAACGAAGGAGCGGCAGACTCTGCTCTGAACCCTAGGATGGATGGATGGATGGACTCGGCACGCAGGGCACTGCTGCATAAGAGCGCCGTCCCCTCCGCCATCTCAGGGAGCCTCCGCAAGCGTCATTGGCGACCCTCCGGCAAAGGTTCATGGCCCCAGACTGTCCAGTGGGTCCTAGAGCACAGCCGCGAGCACGAGGGCCAGTAGTGCGTCCACGCATCCTCCATTTCTGCCCTGCGCCCTATAGGCCCAAGCCACAAAACTACCGGCAAGGACCCAGGATGAATGCCCAAGTCGATATCGGCGGTGAGGTGTCACCGGCAAGGCAAGACTCTGCCATCCGGCGGTGGAAACAGCCCTTAACCCTTATAACCCTTATCAACTACAACCGTCGACCACCCCACCCTTAACCTGAAGCCCTAAAAACCCCTTAACCCTAAACCCTAAACCCTAAACCCTAAAGCCTAAACCCTGAACCCTAAACCCTAAACCCTGAACCCTGAGTCCCTAAACCCTACAACCCTAAGGTTCCGCCTTCCAGAACGAAGAGACCACAGCCGATGACGAAAAACAGGACGTCGATGAGGCCCTGGGCGATGATGTCCTGGCTTCATCTGAGAACCAAACCTATGCTTTTGGGTTTGGGGTTTGGGGTTTAAGCAGGCTTTGGATTCTGAAGGTTGAGCTAGTGGTAGACAAGCACTCGCAAGCACTAGGCTGCAGAGGAGGGTTAGGGCTTAAAACCCTAAACCCTAAACCCTAAAACCCTAAACCCAAAGGCTTCTCGGGCCTACGACCAATATCAGCGCCGTTCCGCACCCCCCGAAGTAGCAAATGCATGAAACCAAAAGTGGGGTCTTCAGAGCTGGCAAGGGAGACCCTCAGCGACCCTCCCCCCCCCCTCCCAGACCCCACAAGCTACAAGCCCATTGCATGTGCAAATTCGAAGGAATACAGGGCCTATGCCTGCCTCAAATTACGCGAAAACCCCCAAAGCCCTAAACCCCTAAACCCGCCTTAACCCTAAGAAGAGACGTTCAACCTACACGGGGCGCCAACACTCCGACGCATCCTTGGACAGATCCCCATGTACCTCATAATCAAATTAAAGTGATAGGTATTTTCAAGAAGGGTACCCCTATTCGCGAAAAAACCCTTAATACTATTCACCTTACCCCAAAATACTAGAATCCTAATGATAGGAATCCCCACAAAGGGTACTGTACCCCAAAATGCCCCTAAACCCTGAACCCTAAACCCTAAACCCTAAACCCTAAACCCTAAACCCTAAACCCCAAACCCTATCATAATCCTAATGACAGGAGTCCCCCCCAAAAAAAGGAAAGCTCTATTCTCGGAAACTCCCTCAGATCTCAGCGCCCCGACTGCTGGCTTTGGGAGCCGGAGCTGGCCTCCATACCCCGGGTGTTCGGTTAAGAAAATGAAAAGGGTTTAGGGTTTAGGGTTTAGGGTTTAGGGTTTAGGGTTTAGGGTTTAGGGTTTAGGGTTTAGGGCTTAGGGCTTAGGGTTTAGGGGTTTGGGGTTTGGGGTTTAGGGGTTTAGGGGTTTGGGGTTTAGGGTCTCGGGTTTTATGGGGGATATTGAAGGCTCCGACTCTCACACGAGCACACGTAGGGTTAGGGTCTGGGTCGGGGGCGGTGGGGTGGTGGAGGTGGGGTGGTGGGGGGTGGGGGTGGCACTATTGGCCATTGTTGATCTGCCCGCGTCCTCTAAGAACGACGGAATCGAGGTTGGGCTCGCCCATTTAAGCTGGTAGGGACACCATACACATACAAATTGCATCTCTCTCTCTCTCTCTCTCTCGCTCTCTCTCTCTCTCTCTCCCCCTCTCTTCTCTCTCTCTCTCTCTCTCTATCTCTCTCCAACATGCTCTCTTTCTCTCTCTCTGTCTCTCTGTCTCTCTGCCTCTCTGCCTCTCTCTTTGTCGCTCTGTCTCTCTGTCTCTGTCTCTCTCTGTCTCTCTCTCTCTCTCTCTGGCTCGCTCGCATGCTCAGTCCAGCTGAAGCCCGTACCCTATAGGCACTAATCAGCACCTTTCTAGGTACAGGCCCTACAGAGCGCCCCAAACCTCACCAAAACCTCCTCAACTCGCAAAACCTCTCCAAATCTCTCAACCCTAAACCCTAAACCCTAAACCCTAAACCCTAAACCCTAAACCCTAAACCCTTCATAAAACCCGAAACCCACAAACCCAAGTCCCCAACCGCGCGGAGCTTTTTGGGGCATCTCTGGGCCCCGGCGGTCGCTGAGGTCCTCGGCCTCCGTCAAGCCCCAGACCTGCTCGGCCTCCACCGAAAAGTTGGTCTTAATGCTTGGAGGTTCCTTTTGGGTGCTTGTAGGTAGGGTTTAGGGTTTCGGGTTTCGGGTTTAGGGTTTGGGGTTTAGGGTTTAGGGTCTACTTGGAGGTTCATTTGGGTACTTGCCAGTAGGGTTAGTTAGAAGTAGGGTAACGAGGGTAATGCCCTTATTTGGGATACTGCAGCCCTTCTTCGAAGTGCCCAAAGCCTTGGGAGTGTGGACGGGTGTTTGGTTATAATGTATAAGGGCTCGTAAGGGAACCCGAAACCCAACCCTAACGCTTATCACCCCCGCGCAAAGCCACATAGCAAGTGAACCCTAAACCTTCCTTGTCCCTTAGGCTCAAAGTAGCCAAAAAACCTTTAAGAATGCCTGTTGGCCCAAAAACCCGGATTCTGTTTGCATACTACCAAAAACAAGTCGGAAAGCTAAATTAAAGCCCAGCTGAAACCTGCAAGCCCGTGTCGTGCCGGATTCGCTTCAGGTTGTTCTCTATCTAGGTTTAGGATGCGGGCGTGGGGTTCAGAGTTAAAAGCGCTTCGGGTTGTTAGGTCAGTTCGCAGTCCAGTTGCAAAAGGGTTTTTAGGTTTATTGGGGTATCGTGCCATGCTCAGGGCTTGAGGACTCCAAACGTGCATGCGCATGCACATGTGCAGAGTCGCCTTGAAGGCAGTATGGGCCAGATACACGAACCAGGCTACCTTGGTCAGAAGCACATGCTTGGAGGTTCATGGGTAAGTATAAGTAGGGTTCTACGTACCCTACTAAATAAGGGCTATAGCCATAGCTACCCTACTTCTGTAGGGTTATACGTACAGCCATAGTTACCCTACTTCTAACCCTACCCATGAGCCTCCACGTGTGGATAGGAATCCAGACCACAAACCCCGAAGCTCAGCGCTGACTTCGAATCCCTAACCCTAAACCCTAAAAACCTTAACCCTAAACCCTAACCCTAAACCGCCTAAACATTGGACAAAACACGTAGCAATTCTACATGCGGGCCGAGACTGGTTTGGAGAATATACTTAGCTGACTTCTGAACCCCTCCAAAAAGTTTAACTTTTAGGCTCCCTTTATTGTAGTTTCTACAAAAACACAAAAAGTTAAAGTCCTAAGAACCAGCCAGAAGAAAGCCAAGTATAGGCGATGGAAGTTGTCTGAGGGGATGTCCCCTTACCTAAGCCCTCTCTGTTTTCATTCGCTACTTCCCTACTAAGCACCACTAACTTTCGGGTTTTCTTTGGCACAAGGCAAAGCCCGCCAAGCATGCACAGGTTAGTGGTAGCACTTCCCATTGGGCCGCCTGAAACCAGGCACGAGGTTTACGCCTGAAGCAAGGACACGAATTGACCTCGGGCGATGCACTAAGCCCTAAGCCCTAAGCCCTAAGCCCAAAGCCCAAAGCCCTAAGCCTTAAGCCCGAAGCCCTGAGCCCGAAGCCCGAAGGCCTAAGCCCTAAGCCCTAGGCCCTGAACCCTAAACCCTCGTGCTGGGGATCGGCCTTCGGTGTTGAGGTGCTTAAGCAGCGGGATCGGCTGCGCTCGCCCGGTGTGATTGCTCGTCCCAAAATATAAAGATGCCCTTTGTGTATGCTATTATATGCGCCACAACACCAGAATCCTCATTGTAGGTATACCTGCCCCAAAACAGGGTACTCCTATTTCGGAAAAAGTCTCCAGACATTTGGGTCCAAGTCAAGCCATGGGCTGCTCCCCCCAAAAAAACTCATAAAAATGAAAACTGCGAATCTGCTCAGGTTAGAAGCGCTAGGGGATTAGAGGCTGATTGGTTTAGGGCTTTAGGGCTAAACCCCAAAACTCCAACCCTCAAACCCTCAGCCAATGAAGGGCTTAGGGCTTAAAGGGCTTGGAGGCAGAGGTGTTTGGAATGCTCTTCTCCGGCAAGGATGCAGTGTAGATCACCACGCAGATGGCGGCTGCCACAAGGACTTCCTTCCAAGCGATCCAAACTCGTACGCCCAAGCTGGCACCCTAAAAACACTTACCGCCTAACCCCAAGTCTACCCTGAACAATAAACCCTTCGGGCTTCAGGGCTCCTGTGGTAGCTTGCCTGCGGCCCTAAACCCTAAACCCCAAACCCCAAACCCTGAGGTGGTACCACTGAAGGGTTCCCTAAATCCCATTCTTCTGTAGGTCTGGGCTCCTTTCAAGCAACGGGCACCAAGGGTAGACCTTCATTCTGGGCTGTACTGCCCTACGTCCTAAACCATAAACCCTCTAGATGTATATGTGCATATGTAGAAGTTGATGTTCCTTCTACTTTCAAGATACCTAACTGTGATGTTTAAATAATATTAACGACTAACAAAGCAACATTTTTTTGGGGGATGTTCCCCCTTATACTAACAATCCTTACTGGCCAGTTCAGGCACAGCAAAGTACCCTGTACCCAGTCCTTAACCAGGACTCATAGTTCCCCCTTTTCTGATCCCTTTTTGGGACTGTTTGTTTCAGGGGGAAAATCCCAATATATGAGCCATAAACCCTTGTAAATTTGGTCCTGAAGGTCGAGCACAGTCTGGGACCCCCATGTCCAAGCTAAGTGAAACCCTGCTACTTAGATGCCTGCTCCGTTTGAAGTGGATGCATCGCGGACCGCCGATTAAGAGCTCCCAAAAACAAACAGCAAGGTTCTAGCCTTACTTAGGGAACTTACGACCCTTATGTATATCCGGACCCCAACATGTGTAAAAAAAAACGAAAATCCATTTAAAAAAGGACCACACTTTGCGGGCTGAGGGAAGTACCCATACGAACCTTCAAGTTCAAGCAGCTCCTAACCCCGAGAGGCCCCCAACGCCGCAAGCCAAGCCGCGAAAAGGAGTGCCATGCTGGGGTGCAGGGAACGGAAGGCGCGCACGGTGCGATCGTTGAGGACCTCATCGGGTTTAGGGTTTAGGGTTCAGGGTTTAGGTTTTAGGTTTTAGGGTTTGGGGCCCTTCCCCCTTGAACATTGAGAGGGTGGGGGAACACTTCTACTTGCCGAGTTGTGTATGGTGATCTCCACCTTTTGGTGCACCCTTGTGGCTGTTATATTGGGATGTTCCGCTTTATACGAACAGTCCTTAATAGGGATTCGAATAGGGGGTACCATAACATCCCCAATTAAGGAGCTGTTAGTAGAAGGGGGAACATCCCAACTGGTATAGATCGATGGGACAATCCAGCTCCGCACCTCACGCTTCCACAATTCAACCACATCACATTGACAAAACATGCCCTGGGACGCGCCAGGCTGTCTGCCCTAAGGGTCTATAAGACTCTCAGGCGTCTTGTTTTCGGCTTTTTGGGCCAAAAGGCCTTCTTACAAACGGTTTTTGGGCTAGTTTGAGCCTAAGGGCCAGAAAAACCATGGTACGTAGGGTCATTGTTTGTAGGGTACCCCTAACCTCCAAGTATCTGTAATAGATTCTAGATTCAAGGGCACTTCGGGGGCGTTCTCTTGTATCGTTCTAAAGCTGTATCTGTCTCGAAAGGCCGCAGGGCCAAACCTGCTTTAGAGTCTAGGATCTAGGGTTTTTGTTGCAGGGTTTAGGGCTCAGGGTTTAGGTGAAGTCTTGACATGTTTGCTGGGATGTCATTTGTTGCAGTCTAGGGTTTTAGAGAGAACCTGGGATCGACATTCCAGGGGATTCGCCTCTTCCTTGGCTCAACTGCAGCATGAATTCCCCCTCTATAAGCTTAAGCCAATCTCGCCTTAAGTTTTTAAGGGCAAAAGGTTAGCCTTAGAAGACCACCCCCCCTCCCCCCAAAGCTTAAACCCTAAACCCTAAACCCTAAACCCTAAACCCGAAACCCTAAACCCCTAAACCCCGAAGATCTACGAGCCAAGTCAGGTTGCGCCGATGAAGAGATCCACCAGCCGCCTGGGCCGCTCATTCAGGCCTCAGTCGGCTGGGGACAACTTGCGGTGCTCCTTGAGATCTTCATGAAACCGATCAGGCATATATTTATATATATATAGGATTTAGGGTTTAGGGTTTAGGGTTTAAGGTTTAGGGTATATATACATATATATATATATATATATATGCACGTGGGGGTTTCCGAAGGACAAGGGTACCTAATTGGGGCCCTTATGATAAAGGAATCCTACTATTTGGGGGTCTGTATTAGGGGTCCCTTATTCTCGTAAACCTCTCACATGTGCAAATTAGCCCATACACCCGCCCGGAGACTAGAGCAGCAGAGAGGACGCATGATCCCAAAAATGGGGGTCTACTAGGTTGCCCAGTAACCTAGGATGAAAAAGGGTGCCCTTTTTGCAGAGACCCGGGGAAGTGGGTCCCCTTTTCCGGGGGGGGGCGAAGACGAAATTCGAAGACGAAATTTGAAGACGAAATTCGGCCCAGCCGAAATTAGGCCCTGAAGACGAAATTCGGCACTGAAGACGAAATTCGGCCCCTGAAGCCTAAATTTGGCCCTGAAGCCTAAATTGGCCCTTGAAGCCGAAATTCGGCCCCGAAGACGAAATTCGGCCCCGAAGACGAAATTCGGCCCCTGAAGACGAAATTCGGCCCTGAAGCCGAAATTCGGCTCCTGAAGACGAAATTCGGCCCGGAAGCCTAAATTCAGCCCTGAAGGCGAAATTCGGCCCTGAAGCCGACATTCGGCTCCTGAAGACGAAATTCGGCTCCTGAAGACGAAATTCGGCCCCGAAAACGAAACTCAGGGCCATTTTATGCAGGCCTAAGGGGGACCGAAACCGAATTCAAGCTTCAGGCCGAATTTCGTCTTCGGGACCGAATTTCGTCTTCAGGAGCCGAATTTCGGCTTCAGGGCCGAATTTCGTCTTCAGGGCTGAATTTAGGCTTCCGGGCCGAATTTCGTCTTCAGGAGCCGAATTATCGGCTTCAGGGCCGAATTTCGTCTTCAGGGGCCGAATTTCGTCTTCGGGGCCGAATTTCGTCTTCGGGGCCGAATTTCGGCTTCAAGGGCCAATTTAGGCTTCAGGGCCAAATTTAGGCTTCAGGGGCCGAATTTCGTCTTCAGTGCCGAATTTCGTCTTCAGGGCCTAATTTCGGCTGGGCCGAATTTCGTCTTCAAATTTCGTCTTCGAATTTCGTCTTCGCCCCCCCCCGGAAAAGGGGACCCAGTTTTCCGTGTCAATGCTTTTTTGCTTAAAGGGGTTTATAAGGGAACCTAAACCCCCCAAAAAGGGAATAAGGGTACTACTGGGCATCCTAGTCAAACTGTTGGGTGTAAGGTTTGCGCTTTGGGACTTGTTGGGTTCCAGGATGGCCAAGAATTAACGCGGACGTAAAGCGCCACTTGCTATTCCGGGCTTAAGGGTCATACAAAAAACCCAGACACTTGGTTGTCCAGTGTCCTGGGGGAACTAGAGGATAACCTTTGAGGTTCTACAGGGAATACCAACTCTACGGCTCAGAACAACATCTAGGCCCGCCGGTTCTGCGGGAAGCAGCCGCCCGGAAAAAAGGCCGCAACCCGAACCTTTTTCCTCCAGGCGCGTGAACCCTAGAGACCACGTTTAGGGTTAGGGTTTAGGATATAGGATTTAGGGTTTAGGGTTTAGGGTTTAGCCCCTGAAACATCCTAAGCCCTAAACCCTGAACCCTAGGAAACCCTCAGCCCTAAACCCTTTTGCAAAGGGCTTTGAAGCCCGAGCAACCGCCCAGCCCAATGTACGGCTGACATCAAGCCGACTTCAGCCCTAAACCCAAAATCCTAACCTAAACCTTAACCCCTGTAACCATGTAACCCTAAACCCTAAACCCTAAACCCTAAACCCTAAAGAAAAAAACCCTCAAGCAGCCAAGGCGCGCAGCTCCGCCACGCAGCGCCCCTGGGGCTCCGTCGCGCAGACGCTGAGGGTCGGACCCACGTCCAGGGACTCCTTGCGGGGCGCAGCAGCAAAGCAGGGTTTAGGGTTTAGGGTTTAGGGTTTAGGGTTTAGGGTTTAAGGTTTAGGGTTTAGGGTTTAGGGTTTAGGGTTTAGAATCAAACCCCGAGCGTTGGAGGACAGCCTGTGGTCGTCAGAGGAGCTGGGGGCACAGGGACAGCCACGTTTGGGAGAAAACCCTGTGCTCCGCCACACGGATTCAAACCCTCTTTGTATTTCAACCCAGGAGTTTGGGGTTTAGGGTTCAAGGTTCAGGGCATGAAATTAACACCCTAAACCCTAAACCCGAAACCCAGTGCTCGAAGGGAGAGACACAGAGACAGAAAAACACAGAAGCTTATAGCTGGCAGTTAGTCTTGTGTTGCTGAACTTGCAGATTGTGCAGTTCAATGCCGTGACATTGACAAAGAGCAGCCAGCCTTTGGGGACTTCGGGAATTAGATGGGGAGGGGGTAGGGGGTGAGGGTTTTGTAGGGGCAGTGGCACAATCGTTGAGGCTTCAGTAAAGCCTAAACTCTAATCCCAAAACCTAAACCCTAAACCCTAAACCCTAAACCCTAGACCCTAAACCCTAAACCCTAAACCCTAAACCCTAAACCCTAAACCCTAAACCCTAAACCCTAAACCCTAAACCCTAACCTAGGTGTGGCAGGCTGTAAGGCTAATATGAGGACTCGAGCTGGGGACTCCGGGCCCTGGATCTCGGGTATACTTGGAGGTTCATTAGGGGGTACTTTCGAGTAAGGTTCGAAGTAGGTTTAGGGTTTAGGGTTTAGGGTTTAGGGTTTAGGGTTTAGGGTTTAGGGTTTAGGGTTGAGGGTTGAGGGTTGAGGGTTTAGGGTTATAAGTAGGGTAGTTATGGTGATAACGAGTGATAACCTTATGTAGGGCACTTTAGCACCCTACTCATAACTGCCCATGAACCTTCAAGGAAGTGTATAAGCCTTCGGCGCAGTCGATGGCACAGGCCACGGCGGGACTTGAACCAGCTTCTGCTACCCCAGAGTAATTCAGGATCAATCAGGGCACTCTTTTTTGGTTAAAAGGGGCTTGCAAGGGAACCTAAACCCTAAAGAAAGGGAATAAGGGCCCACTCTAAGTCCTAGTCTGAACCCAAAACCCTGCACCCTAAACCCTAACCAGAGGTCGGTTCAAGTCAGATGCTGAAGTAGCCAGAGCCTCTGATCCCAAACCATCCCAAACCCTCAGAGCTCCCTAAACGAAAAGCTGAGAGCCCCAAATCAGGGCCAAACAGCCCTGCCAAAAAAAACCCTAAACCCTAAACCTTTGTCTGGCTCTTGACAGGCGTCGTTCATGCCGCTGATGGTGATGATCACGTTCGACTTGTTCGTGGGGTCGACGGCATCGATCTCGGGGGCCAAGATGGCGCGACCGACCTGAGGGCGTTCTACTGGGGGAGAATGATGAAGTCCCGTCCCTAAAGCCCAAAAGACCTGGGAGCACCTCTCAATCTTTAGCAAAGCACATTGCCACCTCAAGAACCCCAAACCCTAAACCCATGATGCACCCAACGCGCCTTGGCCCCGTCGCAGCCCTGCCCCGCCCTTATGGTCCAAATCTGCCACAGGCTCAGCTCCTGGGCGAGATGCTAGTTCTGGAAAGCCTGAACCCTGAACTTTTATGGGGGGGGGGGGTTACGAACATAGGGGACCCCTAAAGACCCCCCCAAAGAGTAGGATTCCCTTATAAGAGGGACCCCAATAAAGTACCCCCAATTTCGGAAACCCCCTAACTAGCGTAGGTGCTGAGTTCATAAGGCCCCAAAATGTGTACAAATTCAGTTCTATAGGGGATGATAGTATCCCAAAAGTGTAAAGTGCACTCATTCAGCTACGAAGATAGAAGCTCAGAAGGGATTTTCAAGTCGATGGGTGCTCTGCTGGCTGTCGTTGCACCAGGCTTCTGGGTTGTGGGGGTGGGGGGGGGGGGGGGGTACTTGCAGGTTGATTCGGGTACTTATATGTAGGGTTATACTTGGAGGTTGATGAGGTACTTCTATAGGGTTTAAAGTAGCTAAGTAAGTAAGAGCTTCAAGAACCTCCATGCATTCTTACGTCTAGGTAATGTACAGGGCTCACATGGCTTTGGTCTAGCCCGTGAGGCAGGCCTGGAAGAGCACGGCATCGATCTCGAAGACGCTTCTGCTGCCCTGAGCGGGCAGATGCGGGAGTTAGGCTGCATCGGGCCGAGACAAGACTGTCCACTTGGAAGTTCATGGGTACTTAGAGCCCCAACTATGAGTCCGCTTACAACCTACTTAAGAGGACTTAGGGGAGTTATGATTTCAGTTGTAATTGGGGTTATAAGTACCCTGACCCTCCAAGCACATGGTTGCCTCGCATTTAGTTTAGGGTCTAGGGTAGGGCCATTTTTTGGGCCACCTGCAACTTCTAGACGCACATGTGTGGGGACCCTCCCATGCATCCAAGTTGAAGGCCGAAGGGCTGGACAAAAAATCAGGGCTACAGGAGCACTCGAACAGCAGCCCTAAACCCCCCAACCCCAACCCTAATTCCTAAACCACTTAACCCAAACCTTAAACCCAAACCTAAACCTAAACCCTAAACCCTAAACCCCTAACCTCCTAAACTCCTAGCCCGGCCTCGCGCGGGGCTGCCACTGGGCAGGGCGCTGGGCTGGCAGTCGGAGCACCCACCTCTTGCCAAACCCCTATAGCTAGTATTTGCTTAAGAACCCCCCCCCCCCCCCCGCCCCCCCCCCCCCCCCCCAAAAAAAAAACACCGTATATATATATATATATATATGTATATATATATATATGTGTATAATAATAATTAGAAATAATAAACCACTAGTAATAGTAATTGTCAGAATCATAAAAAAATCATTAAAAAACAATCCGTATATTACTCTTATGAGGAAGAAGGTTCTTTTTTTTTGGGGGGGGGTTAAAGCAATTGGTAGACAGTCAGGGTAAGACTCGGTTCCGGGAAACCCTGAACCCTACACCCCAAAAAGCCCTGGAGCCAACATCTGGGAAGCTGGCCGGTTTAGGGTTTAGGGTTTGGGGTTTGGGGTTTAGGGTTGTTCAGCATTTGGGTGCAAGCGTTTACGCACCAAGCTGGCCGGCGACTGACATGAGCATAGGTATGCATGCAAAGGTCACACGGTCGAACATAGCCTCATGAAGAGTATTGTCTACGTAGGTCCTATATGTTCTGGCTGAAAAGAGGACATGAGCCGGGAGGCAGAAAAGGTGGCACATCCAAAACGCAACAGGTGGATACCCTAAACCCAACACCCTATAAACCCTAAACCCTAAACCCTAAACCCTAAACCCCAAACCCTAAACCCTAACCCTCGGACAACCTTCAGTCCCAAAGCCTACAAGACCCTTTTTGATTGGCTGGGATCTCTGCTATGAACCCCAACCCTACCCTTACCAGAACCTTGAGGGGTCCTTAGGGGCCCCTAGTAGCCCAATTGCGAGGTCCCTGGAAGTTTAGGGTAAAACCCCCGAAACAAACCTTAAACAAACCCTAAACCCTAAAATTCCTGAAACCTAAACTCCCTAAACCCTAAACCTCAAACCCTAAACCCTAAACCCTAAACCCTAAACCCTAAAAAAAAAGACGAACAGCAGGCGCACCTGCTGCTTCTGGTCGAGCCCTTCCTCGGCCGCGCGGATGCTCTGCACGCCCCTCGGGCCTGGTACCAGGATTGGCTAATCGGCCCGAACATAGGGTTTCGGTTTAGGGTTTAGGGTTTAGGGTTTAGGGTTTAGGGTTTAGGGTTTAGGGTTTAGGGTTTAGGGTTTAGGGTTTAGGGTTTAGGGTTTAGGGTTTAGGGTTTAGGGTTTAGGGTTAGGGTTTAGGGTTTAGGGTTTAGGGTTTAGGGTTTAGGGTTTAGGGTCCTATAACCCCATAATCAACCCTACAAAGGGCCGTTTTTAAGGGGGTTATAGGATATAATCGCCCATGCTGGTATCGGCAGACAAGAAGCAGGATCAGGTTGCGATCCTCAAACTTGCAGGGTGTAGGGTTTAGTTTAGGGTTCAGGGTCCAGGGTTCAGGGTTTAGGGTTAGGGTTTGGGGTTAAGGGTTTAGGGTTTGGGGCTTGGGGTACTTACCTTGGGGACCACATGAACCTGGGTTCATGGTCCTAATCCGGGATTTTTGTAGTAGAGGTTATATACTAGACCCGGGAGTAGCCGAGGAATACAGGGCACCCTTCTTGGTTCTAAGGGGATTATAAGGGAACCCCAACCCTTAAAAAAAGGAAATAAGTGCCTAAACCCTAAACCCTAAACCCTAAACCCTAAACCCTAAACCCTAAACAGGGTTCGTTTGGCTCCCTAGGATGGTCGAGCCTGCAGCTCTAAGGACTCTGAGGGTTTAGGGTTTAGGGTTTAGGGTTTAGGGTTAGTGGGCCCAAAGGCCGTAACATGTGTGGCTTTTTGGGCCCCCAGTATCTCCCCTAGGTGCATTCTGTTCATGGTGTCATGTGGGGATTGTTCTAGATTCAGGTTGCTGCAACAGCACCTCCTTATGATAAGACCCAAGTTCTCAAGACCCTTCAGACGGACAACCTGTTTGAAGAAACCCTATGTGCTAGGCTGCGCTGCGTGTTTCTTCTTCTGAGCAACAAATCATTCTCTTGTCATGGCAGGACTGATTTTGATGGTCTCCGATGCACTCCGTTCTCGCGGCGATTCAGAGTGTTGCTTTCAACAGCAAATGGAGTAGAAGACCGAGACATTTAGTTTTGTGTTCTTTCCTGTGCCGAATGTCTATCAAGCTCAAAGGCAGTGGGGCGGCATGTCTATGTCTTCGGACTTGCTTTCTTGTCCGACCTGAATCTAAGTAATAGGCACCCTCTTGCAGGTATCTTTCCTAATGGAAGCCCCTGGTTATTCGGACGGGTTCCGTGGTTTAGGCTTCTGGGGGATACTTGGCGCTGCCTGCGTGATGGTTTAGGGCTGAGGGTTCAGGTGTTTTAAACCCTAAACCCTAAACCCTAAACCATGGTTTAGGATGCCCTCCACGCCTGCCAATGTCACGCAGAGGAGGAGGGCATGAAAGCCTCCTTGGTCACCAGCCTACTCCCGAGGCAAGCCACTATAGCACTTCCCGTAAACATGCGGGGGTTTACGAAAATAGGGGACCCCCAATATAGATCCCTTATTGTAATCAGGAACCAGTAAGGTACCCCGAATTTTCGGAAACCCCCATGCAAATTCTGAATGCGGTTTTGGTGTCGAAGTCAGGGCCATGCTCGAAGCCCTTTTTGCAGACTAAAACCGGCCGCACGGGTCGGTGGCGCTGGGCAGATGCCACCTACCAAACCACAAAGAGAAAAAACCCTAAACCCTAAGCCCTAAACCCTAAACCCTAAACCCTTAACCCTATAAACCCTAAACCCTAAACCCGAAACCCAGTCCTGTTTTGTCTAGCCTAAGTAAGTCCGGCCCGGGCACTCGTAGGCATGGAGACGGCATTTGGCATGTGGCAGACAACAGATCGGTCTTGAGCCACGCGGGCTGCAATTCTCGGCGTCCGCAAGGTCGCGTCTCACGCACAACCCGCACCCCTCCCACCCCCAATGAGGCTTTCGGGCAGTTTTTGCAGACACCCTGCCGTTGCAAAGAAACGGCTCGCCCCCCTCGCCCCCCCCCCCCCCCCCCCCCCCCCCCCAAGGGCTTGTCATGGGCGGTTTTTTGTGGATGGAGTCTGCAGCAAGCATGGCGGCTGTTGTCCCTCACCGGCACTTTCTAACTTCATCGCACCCATCAGCGGCAGCAGCCGTAGCCAGAGCCAACCCCTCTACCAAGCCCTCTACTAAACACACCCCTAAACCCTAAACCCTAAACCCTAAACCCTGAACCTTAAACCCTATAGCCTATCCCCTGAACCCTCAACCCATCCAAACCAGAAGCCCGGCCCGGAATCGTCTCCCAGCCCGGAATGCCCCAAACATCTGCCGCATGTGAGGGAGGCACTCGGATGATGCCATAACCTGCGGCAAGCGCGCAGGGTTTTCTAGGGGTCAGGTATTCCAACCCTATAACCCTAAACCCTAAACCCTAAGCCATGAAAGCCCCCCAAAATAAACCAAACCACCGCACCCCCTCCCAGAAACAATCCGAACACTGAGCCCTAAACCTTGGGATGTTCCCCCCCCCCCCATACTAACAGTCCTTTATCGGATTTTAGTACCCCCCCCCCCTCTATAATCCCGAGGGAGATCCCCACATAAATCCCACAAATCCCCCCATGGCCCCAAGAACTCTCACAAATTCTATAAGGATTCTGGGCTATGTTGAGCCTGAGGGCATTTAAAACCCCATGAATCCCTGCAGTTTAAAGCCCGAAACCCCACAAACCCCAGAAACCTCGAAAGCCCTAAAGCCCCAAAACCCCTAAACTCCCTAAGATCCCAACCAGTCTCTGACATTCAGAACCCAGGGCACCGTCGAAATAGCCAGCGCGTCCGGCAACCTAGGATGGACTGCAGGACTGTTTGCCGCGACTTAGAGGGTTTGTTGAGTTTTCTGTTTTTGTGTAGGGGGTGTGGTGGTTCACAGACACAGACACGGACACCGACAGAGACACAGAGACACAGAGACACAGAGACACAGAGACAGAGAGACAGAGAGACAGAGAGACACAGAGACACACAGACACAGAGACACAGAGACACACAGACACAGAGAGAGAGAGAGAGATATATATATATGTATACATACCCGTGAACTAACTCAGGCAAGGTGCGTTGATGTCCTCCTTGAACGTGATGCGCACGATGGACACGTTGTCAGCCTGGCAAGGTGGGTTCAGATTTAGGGACTTTCGGAAACATGGCCATGCTTTCGAAGAAGGTGGCGAAAACCATGCACAAAGAAATCTGGGATCAGAGCACCAAAGGAACGTCCGGTTTAGGGTTTGGGTTTAGGGTCTCAATACCCTTTGGCCACGTAAAGGGTTCAGGGCTAGGCTCTTGCTTTGGAAACTTGGGTGTCTACGCCCTCTTCAAAGCCACAGACACACACATCAGATTTGAACTATGTATAGGGTATTTGTATTCCTGTAGGTATGTATGTACGTGCGTACATTGTAATACGTGCATATAAAGATATATACATACACTGGGTAGCCCAGAAACCATATCATACTAAGGGCACCCTTGTTTGGGTTGGCTACTTTATAAGGGACTCAGTACCAAACAAACAAAAAACAAAAAAAGGTAAACGGTACCACTGGGCTACCGAGACACAAACCCCAAACCCCAAAATAGGCAAAAAGGACCACTGGGCTACCAAGTATGTGTGTATTTATATACTTTTGCATTTAGGCATTTTTGCACATATACATATCTATCTCTGGGCCCACGTTCTGAATCAAGGCACCTTGCTTGCTTGAGGGTGCCTGCAAGGCGTAGATGGCCCGAGGCGTGAGCCATAGCCCCAAACCCTAAACCCTAAACCCTAAAACCTAAGCCCTAAGACCTAAGCCCTAAGTCCTAAACCCTGAACCTCAAAACCTAATCCCTAAACCTAAACTCTAAACCCTAAACCCTAAACCCCAAAAACCGCAACACGGCCCAGGCACGTGAAACAAGCGGCCAAGCTCGCGATTGGCGAAGCGCAGGGCCAAAATGTTGAGCACCTCGCAGAAGCCGTATGCAATCACTCAAAAGGGTTTAGGGTTTAGGGTTTAGGGACCCTTGAAAGGGAACATAAGGGTACTGTAAGGTACCAAATTCCCTTAACGGGTCGAACTTGGGGGAGAGAAGCTAAAGCCTAAATCCCTTGCAAGCGTATAGCTTAGGTGCCTAAATTCACCCAAAAGGGAAAAAATAGGAGATATAGAGTACCTAATTCGCCTGCCCTGTGCAACGTAGCTTGCAGGGTCCGGTCTTGAAAACCCTGAACCCGGAAGCCCTAAACCCTAAACCGCCTAAACCCTAGACTGTTTTCTATGTGGGAAGTTCTCTAAACTAGGGTCCCTGTTAAGGGGTCCTATACTTACAAGGTGCCGTACTCTATATATATATATATGTATATACATATATGTATATATATATAGGACCGCAAGAGTGACCCTACTTTAGAGAACTGCCCCATGTGTGTGTGTGGATAAACACGACACCCCGGAACTTCCCGCGTGCACCCTTGTGCGCTGAGCCTGGCTCAACTCTAAAAACCCCTCAACTGCCAGTCCCGCCGTCCTGATTGGGGAAGCACCCTTTAGGGTTTAGGGTTTAGGGTTTAGGGTTTAGGGTTTACCCGGCAGCGAGTGTCCAGGAACGAAGGATGTCTTCGGAAGGATGGGGTTGTATGCAACGAGTGTTGCGCCGAAGATACTGTTAGACCACAAGCAACTTGGACAGCTACTTCGCTATTAAGGCGCATGAAACCCCACCCTAAACCCTAAACCCTAAACCCTAAACCCTACACCCTACATCCTAAACCCTAAACCCTCTCCCATGATGCTTCTTCTGCCAGAGAAGCGCCATGTTCTTGGCCAGGTAGTGGTCAATTCTGTAGACCTGGGACCTTAGCACAGTCGTGACAACGTGTTGCAAAAAAACGAAAACGTGTTGCAAAAAACCGAACCTAGGCCACACCGGCCATGAAAGCAGCCATGGCAATGTCTGATCCTGCGAGTTCAAAGCTGAGCCCGACACAGCACAGCTCGAAAGTCACAGAAGGTTGTCCCTTATTATCATCCCCATATACATTGTGTTGACAATGTGAATGTCCCAAGTGCACCAAAATACCTACATGTTTTTTGAATGGCAGCCCTCAGCCCTCAGCCCTCAGCCCTCAGCCCTCATCCCTCCCTCCAGGCTGTGCCCTAAACCCTAAACCCTAAACCCTAAACCCTAAACCCTAAACCCTAGACCCTAAACCCTAAACCCTAAACCCTAAACCCTAAACCCTAAACCCTAAACCCTAAACCCTAAGTGCAAGTTGGGGCCCAAGCTCATTCAGGTATGCGGAGAGCTGGGATGCGAGATCCCGAGCCTGGCTGTGAAGGAGGCCAGGGTTGTTCGTTTAGGGTTTAGCGTTGAGGGTTTAGGGTTTTGGGTTTAGGGCTTAAGATTGAGAGGGTGTAGGGTTTAAGGTGTAGGGTTGGCTTCTGCCAGCCATGCAACGGTGAGGATGCAGGGCGTGGTGGTAGGGTCTTGGCTACCTGCACATTCCTGCGCTGAGCTCCTCGAAAAGCCTTCTCTCGTCCAAAATGCACTGCGAAATAGCACAAAGTACTCCCAGGGCTGCAAGGCGAGAAATTTGCAGTTGGGGTTGAGGGTTTAGGGTTCAGGGTTTCGGGAACCTCAAGCCCTAAACCCTAAACCTCTAGCCCTAAACCCTAAACCCATACCCCTAAACCTACAATCCCTCAAGCCCTGGAAGCACACTCAGGAGGGGACTGACTGCAGGTCATGGCCGAAGGGCTTTTCAACAATCACACCTGTGGCTCCGCATTTGTAGGGTTTAGGGTTTAGGGTTTAGGGTTTAGGGTTTAGGGATGAGAAAACCTAAACCTTGGGATGTTCCCACTTATACCAACAGTCCTTTGTCGGGAAGATAACAGGGGGTACTATAATCCCAATTAAGGACTGTTAGTAGCAGGGGGGAACATCCCAACCTGAACCCTGAACCCTGAACCCTGAACCCTGAACCCTGAACCCTGAACCCTAAACCCTAAACCCTAAACCCTAAACCCTAAACTGGAGCTTCGTTTAGGGGTTTAGTTGGGGTTTGGGTTACAAAGGGGCCCTCGAAGCCATGGCATGGGCGCTGAAGACTTGGGCCCAGTCAAAGCCACAAGACGCCCATCAAACCCTAAACCCTAAACCCTAAACCCTAACCCCTAAACCCTAAACCCTAAAAGCCGTGGATGCATTTTACAGCAATGCGGCATGGGAACAAACTCAATCGTTCAATTGCATGTTCAGAACTCGTCAATATCAAGCACTGCTTGATAGACCGGATGTACAAATGAGCACTCCCCGGGGAGGAACAAGAAGTGGACTTGCTTGATATTCACTTGGCGGGTCTTTAGATCAGCAGAAGATGGCTTCGTGAGGAGACTATGGATGAAGGCGTAGCCTGCTCAGATCATGACGTGCAGGTGAACATGACTGAGGGCGCGCACGGACATAGCCGGTACCCGGCCAGCACTCCTCTCGATTTGCTGAGCGACCGGGGAATTGCAAAGAAATAGGGCTTGGGGTCATGAGGACCTCGGCTGCAAGGGCTCAAACAAAAAATGCTAATTAGGAGAGACCACTACGAAAGAGCCTGTCCCTCGCCGGTCCCTTATCACGAAAGTGGTTACCCTAAACCCTAAATCCGGGTGCAGAACATGGTTTAGCTTGGGCTGCCGCATGTTGATTTGCTCTACGGGTAGCTGCATGGCCCCTTAATATGAGCCCTCTTGTATACCCCTTAAATACCCTATACCCCCAAGGGCCCATACTTCAGAGCCCTGTGCTGAGTAGTCTTGGGCAGGAGCCCGCCCTTGCGCCCCATGCTAAACCCGAAGCCTGTGGGTTGCTCCAGGAGCAACCCACAGTCTCTATTCAGCCTAAACACCCGTCGAGGGATTGAGGCTATCACACCCCGAGCGGGCTTCGAACTTTGCACATTTCTTCCGTGTCCCCTATAAGTATCCGAATTGCCCACAGGGGTGCCTTGCTATAAGACGGCCCCGATGATTTCTATGATTTCGGGTACCCAGAAAGGTAAATGACGTCACATGGAGTTTTACGGTACTTTCTGGGTCATGAGGCCCATAAAGCCTAAAACCTAAGCCCTAAGTCTTATACGTCCAAAGCCCTGAACCCAAAAACCTAAGTCAAGCCCCGAGCCCCTGGAACACCCTTGAGGCGGTCTTGCCGGATGAGCTTCACCGCCTCGTGGAAAAGGAAAGGCCTTAGAGCGGAATCTCCGTATAGGGTTTAGGGTCGAGGGAGGCTTAGGGTTTAGGGTTTAGGGGTTTGGGGGTTTCGGGTTGAGGGGTTTAGGGTGTCTGGGGGGTTTAGGGTTTAGGGGGGGGGGGGGGGGGGTGTTTTTTGGACACACTGCAGGGCACATGCGGGGGAAACGCGTCACAAGTGCCACTACACTCAGCAACAAACCAAAACACAGTCTTCAGGTCATCACTCACTTTTACCGAACCCTAAACCCTAAACCCTAAACCCCAAACCCTAAACCCCAAACCCTAAACCCTAAACCCTAAAACGAAGCAAGCCTTGCTCAACCACGTCCATCATCATCCAACAAACACAACCCCTTTCCAACGACCCGATAGGACTGTCTCCAGATCCTAGCTGTTTTTCTATTTCATTCAATGATTGATGTCCCTCAACCACCCTATGGGCACCCAAGGCCAGATAAACAAAAAGGGTGATGCAAACCTACACTTTTCCACACAGCAATACTCATTGCCCACTGACGAGGGGTTTAGGGTTTCTTTGTTTAGGGTTTAGGGCTAGGGCTTAACTTCTGAATTCCACACCCCCTTACGAGCCTAATCATGAGAGGCTTGAGATTTTCTTGGATTTTTGTGGACAAAACCAAGGAAACCGTTTCTAAGGAGGTTAGTGAACTGTGTGCTGCGGGCTTGGGGTCAACAGTTTCAGGAAGCCACTCTGTATCTTCACAGCACGACGTGTTCCGGGGGTTTAGGGTTTCGGGCCTACCCTGCGCCCCAAGGGAGAGAGACAAGATCATTAGGGGTTCAAGGTAAGTTCCCTGGCGACAGGAGACAAAGCCATCGGGACTAGACCATCGAGGCCCCGCCGCCCCCCCACCCCCCGCAACCCCACTGGCCCTCAACCTTAGAAGCCTTCTCGAAACCTCCTACAAGAGGGACCGCCTAGAC